GGCAGGGCAAAACATAAAGGGCTATGCAGTTTCACTCATAGCTGTAAGGCTAGATTTACCACAACACGATTCATCATGATAGTTCAGGTCCTAACAGTATCCATGCCAGGAAGGCGCTTTTCCTTTGCAGAGAGAGTTCCTTTAAAGTAGTCATTCCACACTGTCCTACCGGCTTTCAAACTTGGAGGGAGGGTAATCATCCCTGGGAAGACCAGAGTTGCTATTGGCACCCCGTGCCTCCATAACTTTCCGCCTCAACATGCCTCTCCACACCTCTAACAACCGCTTGTCCCTATGACCCTTTGCGCGGGGGGGGGGGGACGTAAGGGGCTAAATGGTTACCTACATGTTGATCCGAAGGCCGCAATCCCCTTTGCAGGGGTATCCAGAGGGCAAGATGTTGTTAGGCAGCCAGACGCTAGACCCTACCCTTTTAAGAAGCCAACACAGAAGGTTGTTTAACCCAGGGTATTTAAACCATGTAGGCAGTGGGTTGGCCCGTTTTGTCGCTCAGGACTAGTCAAAGGAGATCTCATCGCGGTGTCCAAGGAGGCGGACCGCGGCTGGGTCTACGGCGAGCGAATCAGCCCCAAGCGCCAGGATCCCACCGACGGCTGGCTGCCCAAGAAGGTGACACCTGGGGGTTCGGTCGGTAAGTGACAGAGGTGACCTGGGAAATAGCTGAGACTTCCCTCAATTTGTGCGCATGTGTTTTGTTTTTTGTTTGGTTCCGGTCATGCGTGTTTCGTTTTTGCACATGGTTCCGGTCATGTGCAAGCTCCCATCGGATTCTTGCTAGTTCTTGCCAAATAGCCCAAACTTGCCGGTTGTCCCGGAAGGAAATGTTATGTGTTTTTTTTGTTGGAGCGTCCCTTGTGGCACCCAGATTTGCAAGAAGGTTGCCACCATTCAGTCAGGAGAGGCCAAAACTGGTTGTAACCTTTAGCCTTGGACTAGGGTGACAGAGCCCAATCGGCTCAGTGGCTTGCCTGCTGCCTTTTTTCCCGGGAACGGGCCCGATTTTCTTTTGCGTGCATGACCATCCAAGCGCAGTGGTCAGTGACCCTAGTGGTGCGTTTGGTGAAAGGAGTTTACTTGGCAGTGATTTCCCTATAGAGTGCATATTGGATGCCACATCATCGCCAGTCATGAGTTTCATCAAGGAACGAATTACAGGTGCTGATATTGTAATTCTCATGGGAGGGGCAATGGCCCACATAGTGATGGTTCCCATTAGCGCAACCTCGTGAATGTCATGCAATTGTTGGGTGGGTTGGTCCAGTCTGCCATTGCCAAATAGTTCCAAGATCGAGCTGCCAATGCAATCCTCAACCTGCTGCTCCGACATCAATGTTGTGGGGTCACAGAGGTGCATGCTTGGATCCATCCTTTCGTGCCGACATTTTCCAGACCCCAGCAGAGACGAGAAAGAAAGCTGCGAACGTGACGGGCTAAACAATTACTGGCAGGTTGCTCCACGATCATGACATATGTTGTTTTGAAGTTACGAATCCCACTTTTATTATATGCACCCGTATAGCACATGACACACGTGGGTGCAGCTAAGATCGACAAGGCACCTGAGGGCCACGCGTGCCATTGGGCGAGGAAGTTCTGAAGCATGAAGCTGGGGGCCCACTGCTATAGCAACAAGCCAGAGGGGCACATGTTTGGGTGTTTACTTCCCCAGAATTAGCTCATTTCTTTTTTTTGGGGGGTCCCCTTGTTGTCCACTAACCAGGCAAACAAGATATTTTTTTGCTGGGGTCCTAAGTCCAGGCTAGTTTGCACGGGGCCAAAGGAAGCCACGTTGGTGATGGGTCGTTGGAGCAGAGCCGCCAGGTGCTTGAATACATCCTGGTCTGACAGTGTGAGCTACGCTCGCCGACTTTTAAAGCCTTGCAACTTGCAGATGCTGACCTACAAGCCTTGCCTTTCATCATGATCCAACCGTGTACAAATCCAGGCTGTGTGGCACTGTTATGAACATACTTGGCCCCGTGCCAGAGCTGAGAGGGTAGGAAGCTGCTTGAGACTACCTGAAATTTTGCTAGCGCAAAAAAAGCTGCCAGAGCCGCTGACCATCACTTCCTGATGTGATGTTCACTCGGCTTCAGTGCAATCGCTGTTCGTTCCCGGGGATCTGGAAGGAGCTGGGTCCTGGGCGTTTATAACTTTAGTACCAGTCATGGCATGTCATTGCTATCCTGCTTCCGCCCAGCAAATGCTGCTTGAGTGCTTGAAATTTTGCTTTGCTGTTGGCAATCGGCTTGCAGCCCGGCCGTAAATGACTAGAATGGGGCTGTGGTGTCTGGGTCTACATCAAATAGGACGCCCCCCCCCATGTTTGGTTTCCTTTCGACGTCCCTGTAAACCAACTGTCCCAAAATACACCCCACACGCGCAACACACGCACACACACACGAAATATATGTATACACACACAACATCACACACACACACACACGCCATACTTTTGCGTTGCTCGAGGGAGCTGCAGGTACTACCTGGGCAACACTGCAGAGTCTACCACCCGGGTGTTGCCCATCCTTTTCCACGGCGATGCTCGGATCTCGCAGCAACTCCTGGACTTTGAGTGTTTTTTGTTGTGCATTTGGGTGTGCCTTTTTCAGGTAACCCTTGATTGGTGGTTTGGATTGGTGGTTTGGGGATTTGAACCCCTGGCTTTTGTAGAGGGTGCATGGGAAACCCTTCCTTAACCACCAAACCACAGAGTGAAGCTGATTATTTGAGGTACTCCTTTCTGGTTGGTTTGAAGGAGGACAAAAGGGAAACAACACTATTTTGGGGATCCCCCCAATTCTTTTGACGCAACCCATGTCAATGGCGCGGAAAACATGGACGAGAACCTTTGTTGGGGGTGAAGGCTTAGGAAGACACCCGTGATCAAGCTTCAGCTTTGCATGCTTCCTAGCTTGCAGTGCAACTGGCGTGCGTGCTGCGTGGTGTTTGGGACAGTTTGGAACAGAACTCACCTGAAAGCTTCTGATGGCATGCATTTGGAGGCATGTGTCCAAATACGGGGACCCTCGTTTGCTTTTGCTTAAAACCCAGTAGATCAAAAGGAAGCCATCCACTTTGCAGTTCCCATGTTGGAGACACACCCATGCTTCTTTTGATTAACTTCCCGAGACGGAGGGGGACGCCGCAGCAAACACTTCATATCTGTGGTTGCGGGTGCTTTAAATTAAAGTCAACCTGTTAAATCTCGTTGTTCTCCCTTTGAGTCCAGTTTGGGAGCCAAGCTGGCGAATGGCTAGAGCTTTCCCGATTCTTGGGGCAAGGTAGAAGCGGTAGAAGTAGAAGGCTGTGCTCGGCAGGCTTGGGCATAACTCATCGCGGGGCAATGCCTCTAGCGCGACAATGCGTTCATGGAAATGCGGGGCCAGTTTGCCGGGCCTGACGTTTTGTTTTGACGTTTTGGGCGCTATGGGCTCAGATTCCGGGTGTCAAGGTCTTTGTCGCGGCTGGTTGGTACGATGTTGCATGCATAAGTTTCCTTTTGGTTGAAACATAGAGGGCGATTCCTGGTTTCCCTGGTGGCTCAAGCATCTACCAGACCCATCCATTTTCCAAAAAAGGACTCCTATGGTTGCATGTCCCGCCATCGCGCTCTAGGGCCGGGGGAAAATTGATGCGGGTTTGGAGCGGCTCAAAAAGCTGTGGAGCTCAGGGCTTGGCTCGCCTTCGGCATGCCGGAAGATAAATGTCAAAACCCTCCCAGGACTTCGTGCCTCTCAAGCTTGTGAAACCCCAGGTGGCAGAAAAAGCAGGGTGCTGATGTGTGGCATGTTTGGAGTGGTTGTCAAAACCAACGGGATCCCATTTTGGGGTAGGTGAATTCACCACCCACTGTGGAACCTATTTTAGTGGTTGGATGGGGATGTTCACTGGGGGTACGATTTGCATTTTGAGCCATGGCCATGTTCGGATGCAAATCGCCTCTCAGCCCAGGATGCCTCCTTCGCCGGCCAGGGCGTGGTCTACGAAACCATGCAGCTGGCCCATGTGCAGGAGGGCGTCCCCAGCTGAGAATCGGGCGCAGGGAGCCCATGACCCAGAGGGCGTGTTGTTTTAACTTGTTTCATCTCCAAACCGGTTGTTTGCTTGCAGGCAACTTTCCTTTTGGTCTCTATGGGCCTTAAAAAGGCAGGGCGGGGTAAGGAGGAGGAGCCCCATGATTCAGGTGATCTGAGGCTCATCAAGAGGTAGAGTTGAAGGGCAACATCGGACACTTGCCCCACTTTCTCACGGCTTGACCCGTGAGGAGTTTGCTGTGGGCGGCACCATCCACGTGATCATCAACAACCAGGCGTCGGTGTTGGACAACTAGCAATCAATTGTCAAAGGAATGGCCAGCCGCCCGCCCTGTGCTTGTGGGCAAGCGTCATGGCCGTGCAATACTCCTAGCCTGAACAGGCGGGCTTTCCACCAGTGTCACCGCATGTTAGTTAGTGCAAACTGCAAGATCAGTTCTTGGCAAGTTTCAATTGCAATCTTTGCCGGTTTTGTGTTGAAGGCGGGCTGAGACTAGTGAAACTGTTTGTGGTGCTTTGGCTGAGCTGAGTGTTCAGTGGGTTGAACATCTGGATGCGGTGCAAGAGCGTGGTCATTCTGATGCCAGTTCAAACAACAGATGCAAAATCTGACCATTGCAAGGTCCAACTCTCTATGGCTCGGTGGTAGGCTTGCCCAAGGATTTAACAGCATGCCGCTGGAGTAGGTACCCTTGCTAAGCTCCGTCGTTTCTACTTACCTTCTATACATGTATTCTAGAGTTGGCACTAGTGTATGTATGTAAAGGATCTAGGTCTGCAGGCCATCCCTCCCTTGTCGTGGAGTGACGGGTAGGTTTGGGTTGCGTGTTTCTTTCGCGGGGGCGCGGGGCCCCAACACGCTCAGCACACTGCGACTGAGAGTTGCTCTTTTTCTGGCGGCTTTCCACTTTGCTTGTCACTGGGCGTGCTCGTTTCGGGGGAGCGCCCCCCAACACGGCGCAGCTGGAGATTGGTACGTAAGTCTTTTTGTTTTTTGACTGGGTCCTGTCAGCCATGAAAAAAAACAAGCCACTTGTGCAGGTCGGCTTCACCACCGATCCGGTTGATGATCGGTCCACCATGTACACCTCCGACGTCGGCGCCTTGCGCAAAGAACTGGAAGTGGTTGCCCCTCACCCGAGACATACATTTCCATTGACTGGGTTTTTCCAACAATGTTTTTTTCAGGCAATGGTGGGGATGTGCCTGTGTACGTGTTTTGTTCAGTGCGCGTGTGAGGCAAGACATTCAACCTGCCCATCTTGCACGCAGCTGCGTCCGCAAATGTGCGGGCAGAGGGGGGGGGACGTTTTGCCGGTGGGCTTTCAGTGATTCAGGACAAACAAACGAAGCCCGGGCCGGTCTTTGGGCGGATCACCTCAACTCAACTGGATGGGGTTCCAACCCAAGCGTGTGACCTCCAGGCCAAGTCCCTGAACCAAACCAATCAGGTGAAAGGTGGCCGGGGCCCAAGTTGCTGATGAGTTTCCTTTTTATGTCCTAGGTCCCCCAGTAGTGCCCTTCTTAACCGCTTTTTTGGAGGGGGGTTCCCCTACTAAAATGGACTACAGAAAAAAGCGCACCCTTGTTCTAACTCCTCTCTACTGGAGGAATTAGCGTCATTTCAGAGAGGGTTCCGACATTTTGAGACCTATGCGCTTGGCTTCCGCATTGAACTTCAGGGAGGGTGGCAAAAAAAAAAAACATCGCCAAAAGGACTTGATTGGTTGGACCCTTGCCACTTCCAACTTGCTTTCACACCCGTTCATGCCCAGAATTACTGCTTTCGCCTCAAAACATAAAGAAGCTCCCTTCTTCAGTTCAAGTCGCGGTGTTGGATTAGTTGATTAGTTGATGGCCGGGCTGGCACCACACAACCCTTGCAGATTGACATGGACGTCGAAAGCCATCATTTCTAGATGAATCTGCTGTTGGGGGCCTACCCTTTTCCGGTTCCATAGTTCTGAATTTGCCGGGGAGCCGCCTTGAAACAAGGGACCCTGGCCAAACAGGCGGTTCGCCAACGGCTCATCTGCCGCACGGACCTTTTTTGAGCTTTTGAATTTCCAGTGTCTATGTTTGGCCAGGGCGCCCCATCCTTTTATGTCCAGGTTCTGTGGACCCGGACAGCCACCCTTTGCATACCCCAGGTTCAAAAATAACATATTTCCAGGTGCTCTAGAACGAGGAAGACATGGGGCTGTCCAAGGTCCCTTGTTGGTTGGTGGGTGGTTAACAGCAAAACAACAGGGAATCGGCCATGTGTGAGTCCAATTTGTTGACACAAACCCTACATTTTGGCCTCCTACTAAAGTGTTAAGTTACCTTTTGATTGCCCAGGCACCGCTCAAACATGGGTGGAGGATGTTGGTGGACAGACATCCGCACCCAAATGATGTCCACCAAAGGGCCTCCTAGTAACGTTGTTTGCCCAAATTGCCAACCAAAAGGGTGTCATTCTTTGATTCAGTCCCCTTTTTGGTGCACTTCCCAGAAGAAACTGAAGGAAGGCCTTTTGCTGCTTCCGGGCGGGTTTACTTCGTGAGGTGTGAACTGAAACATACGGCCGCCCTGTAGCTTTGGCATGAACCGACAACCCACCACCAAGCAAACCAAACAACAAGCAAGGAAGCCCAAGTTGAAAACTGTTTGGGAGCATGAACCAACAACCCATCACCAAGCAAATCCCAAGTTGAAACCTCGAATGAACCATAGCAAACCAACAACCCACCAACAACCCACCAACAACCCATGGTGCCAGCATGAACCAACAGGAAAACCCCATCAAGTTTTTGCGGGGCGCTTCGCGTTACCCGGCCACGTCGCACCGGCCACGTCGCGCCCCCGGGTGCCGTGCACGCCCGGCCGGGCGCAACGAGGTGAACGCCGACGACCCGGCGGCGGTGACCAGCGCCTTCGAGCTGGCGGCGGAGTGGCGCCAGACCTGGGCCACGGATGCGCCGCGGCAAAGAGGAAAGAGGCCACCGAAGATGAGTTCCTGGACCATTTTGGGGGGTTGGACCATTTTAATGGTAAACAAAAAGAGGGCCGCAAAGAAGAAAAAGACAACCGAAGATGAGTCACAACCAAACCCGGGTAAGTGAATGTTAGGGGACAATCCCTGTCAAAAGCAGCTGCGGCCGTCTTCTTAATTCTTTACATGGTTCTGGGTCGACCATTTTGATACCGGGTTTTGATGACTCAGCGGAGTTCCTGGACCATTTTTTGTCGGGGTTGGATCATTTTGATGGTAAACAAGTTGTTGGCCTTTTTTTCTGACCAATCCACTCAGAAAGCGAGGAGACAGACTTGAGGGCGTAGGTGTTGGTTGTAAGAACTAGTGTCGTGTTTGCCATTGGTTGTTTGGTTGTGTTGTTGTGTGTTTGACTTTACTTTTGTTTCACTTGTTTGGATGTACAAGCCCCAATGCTTTCCACGAAGAAACCAACGTCAGGCCCAATATGGGTAGTCTCCCTGTCCCAGATGGCCCCTTTCCATGACCCCTAGAAAAACGGAAAAAGGGGTCATAACCCCTTAATTTTGGGCAATGACCCCATTTTTCAAGGGTCAAGGAGACTCCAGGTAGCTTCTGGTTGGTCGCAGATTTTTTGTTGCTCCTCATGAGCAGTGGGAACAAGCCACAATGCCGGAAGCTGGCCTGGAAGAGGCCTTGCTTGAGGCTATTCCCTTGTCACCGTCTGAAGCCAACGCAGGAAGAATGTTTCCCAGCCTGCGAAGCCGATTCGCAAGTCAGATGTTCCCGTTTCATGTGGTGCTCAGGAGTCGATGGAGAAAGATGGATTATGTCATGTATGATCATGTGAGAGCACTGCCTGGAATTTGAAGCCTGCCTTTTGGAGTGTCATAGCAAACCCTCCAACCTTCCGAAAGAAAGGATTCCTTGTTTGGAGGCAAATTGGTAAGCTTCATGGCTTCCCCCCCCCCCCCGTATAGCACTTGCATTGCTACGACGAGCTTAAGACCTGACAACAAGATTGTTCTTGCATGTTTGACGAACCTTTGATAAACCCAGAGGGTTTGTTTGTCTTTCTGGAGGGAGGGAGGTTGAAAAGGCAATTGGACCCGTAGGGAAGCGTCCGCACGGGTTGCCACTGCAAGGGGCTTGGCGCTTAGGTCATTGTGGATGTGGAGCCTGGGCTGCAGTGCAGCGCAGGCTCAAGGTGTTGCTTCGGCGGATGGCCGGCCCAATAGAGTGAAAACTACCTTTGCGGCCCGGTTTGCCTTTGAGGCTTATGAGAACTTGACAGCCATAGACTGACCTCAGTGAAAACATTATGTTATCATTTTGTTAATATGATAAAAACAAAACATATAACTCAAAGTTTAAGCCACCACTTAGAGGGGTGTTGGTGATGCCACATGAATGGATCTAGGTGGAAGGGCTTTGTTATGTTGCAGAAACCCGCAACTCTGTTTGACAATTCAGCGACGGGGATGCTGCAGTGCCGGAGGGGACGTGCAATTCATAATGTAATGCGTTGCATTCACTTCAACCTCTTCATTCAAGAGAGGCATACAGCAAACATGGTCATCATTTTTTCTCTTTGAGCCAAGTGGATTGCACCAGGGTTGGCGAAACACGACTGAACTTCGAGTGACTGGATGCTTGACCCTTGCCCTGCCCTTCTCAGATTTGCTACCGCCGCTTCGGGCACAACGAGACGGATGCGCCAGAGTCCGGGCCACAGCCAGCGGACACGGTTAGGCACCAAGTCTTCCATTTGCTCAAGAATACCCTCCCGCCAACTAACATGGGTTTGTGCAAAAAGGCCCTTTCCAAGAGGAAAGTAGTCTTTCTACAGAGGTCTGTGCACTTCCATGTTTGCTGGTGGGAGGGTATTTTTTTCATTTTCCCTTGGAATCTATCACTACTGGAAATATGTTTATTGTTTCCCGGGGGCTTAGGCAAATGGAAGAAGATGAATCACGCTTAAAAGGGAGGCGCGCAGTGAGTTTTGTAGGTAGGCATGAGCCTTCAAGACCCCGCAACGTGGCTGAATCTGGCTGTGATGTTTAATAGGGGGTCCCTCCAAAATTGTTGGACAAAGACCAAACGTGTCTAGGCGACCCCGGCCAAAGGGTTGGGAATCAACATTCACAACTCGCATTTTTCCTTTGTTGATGGTGTTCTTCTTTATTGCTTTCGTTTTTTCGTTCTTTTAGTTTTCTTTTGTTTCTGTCTTTCTGCCTTCTTTCCTTCTGTCTTTCTGTCTTTCGCGGGCATACCCAAGCAAAGAATCACCAAGCACGAACAGGCACGTATTTTCTCATGCGGGCAGCGTGTGTCAGGTGTTGCAACGTGTGATGTTTGCTCGAGCGACTTTGACGATAGTGAGCATCGAAGTTTGAATTCGCCCACGTGTCAGACACAGCGATCCTTCATGTTTGCTGCGCAGCTTCGGCCATTGGCCAAGGGCCTCGCTGGGATGTGAGCATGCCGAGGTATACCCAGCCAGTACTCTACAAGCAGATCAACAAGCATCCCAGGACGGAGGCAGTGTGCCCCGAACGCATTCATGCTCGGAGAAGGCTTGAGTTTGCAAGGTGGCAAGCTGTTTATGCTGGCAGACACCCAACAAAAAGGGACATGAACTGGCCTTTTGCCCACATCCTGGCAGCAGGCCGGAGCCACGTGTTGAAAGCAGGACTTCTAGAATTCGGGTTCATGTATTTGCGCGTCTGCTCCCCACAACGAGCCACCCAGCCTTGGCTAAATTAGCAGTTTCTTTTCGAATTCCGGCTGCTTTGCTGCAGCCGCGGCTGCTACGTCCTTGCCAGAACACACCACCATCTTTGCGGGTCTCGCAGTTGATTGCGGGCGGGTGCATGTCACCATGACCGAGTGGTTTCTGAGACTTGCTCACGCGCTAAACTGAGGCAAACATAGATCCCCATTCCCGAAATCCTGTACGGAGGGGGAGGAGGGGGTGTACCCTCAGTCGGTGCCAGGGAAGCCACCCAAGGTATGCCGCTAGCCTGGTTGAAAGTGGCATCGCGACGCAGAAGGACAGGGACGCTGCGGTGGTTTTGAGCATGACCCCGGGAGCAAGTACTCAGTGCTTTGGCTTCAGGTTTTCCGATGGAGTTGTCAACTTATGTCCAACTCCACAAAACTTGGTGGCTCCCAGCCATCCCCTTAGCCTTTTAGCCTTTCAGTGTTTAGTGGCAGTTTCCTTTTAACCCGCCAAAAGTTAAACTTTTGGCGGGGGATCTGAGGACAGCCCAGGAAAGGTTCTTGAACCCTGTGAGCTGGGAAATCCAAGATGATGTGAGCTTCCTTCTGGGTGATGGTTGGCGCATGACTCACGTGGATCCGGGGAGGGGGGCAAACAAAAGCATTGGAGAAGTTAGCCTGCTAATCAGCTTGGCCTCCAAACTCAAGTTATTGACGGGATCAACTTGACTCATTCGAGTTGTTGGAGCACATGGCCCCCAGAGTCAAGCACGTATTTGGTTTGTTCAATGTTCGGCTTCTTTCAGGGACATGCCCTGCAGTCCTCCCTGTCATTTCCGACCACCCAATTTTAGCATGTCAATCAACCACTGCTCTATTAGTCTGTCCCAAAAGGCAGGAGTTACGCTACACGTCGGGTAGTTAAGAGACAAATCCTGACTGTGTCGTTCGGGAGAAGGGGGGAGAGAGACAGAGAGAGAGAGAGAGAGAGAGAGAGAGAGAGAGAGAGAGAGAGAGCGAGGGCGACAGAGAGCGAGCCAGCGAGAGACGGAGAGAACCACCAACCGGGCCGGTCATCCAAGCAACCTTTACCTTGGTCCAATTTTCCTTCCCTTCGCAGGGAACAATAAGTATTGGTACACCAGGGTGAACGTAAATGGTAATTACAATTCCCCCCATATTTTGTTCATCCCCTTTACCCACACCTGGCAGGGAGTGTGCTATTTTTTAAGTGAATACGTCCGGCCTAACCTGGACACATGGTTGAAAAACATGTTTAATCATGTTAACCCCTGGTTGGTTGATAGGTGCATGTCCCCTTTTGCTGGGACTCCTTTTGGGGGTGACTCCCCCAGAACGTCAGGAGCTGGAGTCCATGAAGGCTGCGCTTCGGCGGAGATGGGAGATGGGAGATGGGAGATGGGGGTCGGCCCGAAAAGCGGCCCGAATCGAAGGAGCAGTTTCCACGGGCGGTTCCACAACTCCAAAAGCACTACCCTCAAGGGAAGATGGTGTATTGGGGCCAAGTTTCGCAGAGGGCGACAGAAGTTTTGCAGAAGGTAATGGCAATCAACAGCCACAGTTTGGAGCACGCTGCTTTCCACTTTTGGGTGCTGAGACTTTGACTGTGGTTTCAACAGAGGAGCCTTTGCCAAGGCTTCCCCGGCATCCAAGCCATAAGCGGCGGTCCCTGAAAAGATACCAGCTGGGGTCAGTGAACAAAGTCACCCACGCAGAAGCTCATTTTTCGTTTTTGGGATGTCTTCTTTCAGGATCCTTGTTAGTGCGGGGGTTCTCCTAACAGAGGGAAGGCGCCAAAAAACGCGTCTACCGCGCAGTTTGGCCGAGGATTTGTGGAAGGAACACGAGAAGGCCTTCAAGGCCTCCGGGAGAGAGGGGGACGTAAGCAGAGAGAGGTGCAGCGAAGCTGATTTGCAAGATTGGCCTTTCAGGCTTTGGTTGTGTTGCGACAATCGCCAGTGCCGGCCGTGTTTTTTTTGCTTGTCCGTTTTTTGTGCTCCTTCAGCGCGGCGAGTAGCGATTGATGGTTTTAGACTGACGCGGGGTTGTATGGGTTTGCCTGCACGCACACCCTTGCATTTTGCCAAGGGATGTTAGGACTTCAACTTTTGGCCAACGAATGGGTTTTCAAACCAAAAGTAAAACACCTCTAAAAGTGAACCACTAAGAGTTAGTCGCTTTTGGCCGGGCTTCGCAGATAACCGAGCGCCGGGACTGGGCAAGCCATTGGCGGAGATTCGGCGGAGTTTGTTGCCTCCGGCTCACGGGTGTGCGGTCATGTGTGGCTCGCAAGCAACGTAGGCTCGCTGGAGCGACAGAAGAACAAATGGCCATGAATTTTCGGAGTAGGGCTCGAACATATTAGTATTCCTGTATCCTTCTTGGCCCTGGTATTTCCCAGCTTTACGTGAACCACCTCCACATGAGCCATGATTTTAATGGGGGAGTCCCTGACATATGCTTGGTGGACCTAAATCCAACCAAGCAAAATATTCCCCCACATAGCCCACCCTGCATGTGATTGGTTGTATGTTACTTCGCCTTTAACACCTTTCCCCCCAAGGCATTCACCTAAACCTCACGCACAGCCAAGCAAGCGAAGCAACCATTGGATCTTGTAGAGGGTCTTGTAGAGGGTTAAGTTCCGGCTCTATGTACATGTTTCGCGCAGTGAGGAGGCCGCCACCGTGGGCCCTGTGCATGCACATGGGCTATTTGTCAACCTCAACCTGGCCGCATGTTCTCCCCCCGTGGGTGGGAGAGCTATGATATCACGCTATGCATCCTTCCTCAAAGAAGCCAATTGCATGACATACTGACCGTTTCCTCTTGGCATGAAGTCCATGTTTGAAGTAGCGCTCGATCAGCTTCAACTTTTCTAGGGGTTGATTCCCCATTCTTTTCAGCCATCGTTCTTTTCAAAAACCAGCCATTTCCCCAGGTGTTTGGTGGTTTTCTAGCAAGATCCGGATCCCTTGAAAGAATGGGGCAGTGTCGCCCCAGAAATTATTAGCTTTCCTGCATCCTTCTTGGTCCTGGTATTTTCCAGCTTTACGTGAACCACCTCCACATGAGCCGGAAGAACTGGAAACGGTCTTGTCCTCGGCGGCCCTCGGACCCGCATGGAGCCGGCAAACGCGCTGCTGGCATCGCTGCACCAGCAGAGGCTGGAGCGGCAGAAGGCGGGGGGCGCATCCGCTTGAAAACGTGGGTGCGTCCCAAACTGGGTGCCTAGGTCCCCCAGTAGTGTTCTTTTTCCTCTTTTTTGGGGCAGGGTTCCACTACTAAAATAGACAAAAAAAGAAAAAAGAAAGGGTACCCTTATTCTAACCTCTCTACTGGAGGACCTAGGTGCGTTTCAAGCTGTTGGGTCCATCAAAGTGACATTCTCAAAATGATCCTCCAAAAGATGCCAAAAGTAGTTTTGAGAATCTGTCAACACGTTCACTTTGAAGGCCCCAGCACTCAGTGCGATGCTAGATGGTAGTGGCTTCCCTACTTGTAGCGGTGCCCCACTAAGGATGACAGATAAGGACTAGGGATCCCCCCCTAATTTGAAGGACCCAGATGTTAAAGCGACCGTTTTAAGGCAGTTATCAATGTTATCAAGGTCACTTTTGGAGGGACTTGTCATTGTCAGACCGATAGGCATTTCCGAACACCCAAAGCGAAGCATGTTCATGTTCACCACCTTTTAGAGGGTGGTTGTGAAGGTGTCTGTCAGCATTTCTAAGCCCTGTCAAATGAGTGGTTTCCTTTGGCGACCATAGCCCTCAACAAACCATGCTCGTTTGGAAGGACTTCCCTGTGGCTGCAGGGATCGCGGAGCCTCCATTGGCTTGAGCAAGCAACGGTGGGCCTGGCTATGGGTCAAAATTAAACCACCAGGAGACCGCAGATTTTAGCCCATGTGTCCAACTGCCAGTGTTCCATTTTGGGCGCCTATAGTTTTGATCCACACCCACTTGACAAAGGTGTTGGTTTGCCACCGATGTTCTGCACGAGGAAATATTTGGTGAGATCGGTTGTTTTCCCTTTATTTTGAGTCGACATACTATCGCACAAATTACAATCACTTCCCGGGTCCCCCAAATAACCCCCCCCCCCGAATGATGGATATTGATTTGCACAAATGCATCTACTATTGGTAGCGTTTCGGCGGGGGAGGGGGGGGGGCCTGTCGTCGTCCAAATGGGATCCTGGAAGGAGCGACGATGGACCAATCCCGAGGAGAGGTGGACGGGGACGAACCTCCGCGGGCTTCAGTTTGGGCAGCGCGGGGCAACCTCGGGAGAGGTGAGATGCATTGGTGCCATTCGAAGAGGCAGCAATGGTAGGTTCTCCTAGGGTCTTATGGCCCTTTAAAAATGGGGTCATTACCCAAAATTAAGGGGTTATGATCCCTTTGTCTAGGGGTCATGGAGACTCTAGGCTGCTATTTAAGACATAAAGCCTATTAACCTCTATATATTTAAAGGACTTGCTTGGTCTCGAAAGGAGAAACCAAAGGGGAGTGCACCCCATTCTGCACCACCTAAGAAACCGTGGAATGATTCGATTCCCCCTGCAAATACCAACAAACTTTATGGTTTCAATCATGGTTTCTTAGATGCTGCAAAATGGATCTCACAACTATCCACGGTAGCACATACCCATTTGGCTGTGGGTCAAAATCAAACCACCAGGGGACCGCTGATTTTAGTCTATGCTTCCTCTTACCAGGGCAAGCCATTTTGGGCACCTATTGTTGACCCTCAGCCATTTAGCTACAAGTCAAAAATGGGTATCCATTTTGGAAACCTGGTAAATGCAACCAAGGACTAAAACCTGCGGTCCCCCGGTGCTTTAATTTTGACCCATACCCATTTGGAGATCAATTGCTGGGACTTTTCCTGTGCGCTGAGCCAGCTGCGAGCCGCGAGCCGCGCTCGCGCCTCGCGAGGAGATGCAGCTGGGAGAGGTGCAGCTGAGGCTTTGCTCGCTGCCCTCGGCGCACCTGGGCGCGCAGGCGGAGTGAACCGATTTTGTTTGATGGGCGCTGGGGGGCAGGGAGGGGGGGGGGAGGAGCCCAAATTTCGAGGAACAAAATTGCCCTTGGCAAGGTTTTAGTCTCGGCTCCCCCCCCCTTCCCTCCCCCCCTGAGGCCCCCATGACTGGAGCAATGAACTTTGGTTCCGGGCGCGGGGCTTCTCAAACTGGCTTTTCGGGGGTGGCTGGTCTCTACGTAAGACCAGTAGATTTGTAGGGTCTCACTTGGAGGATGACACCCCCCTTGACGTGGTTCAAGGATCTCTTTATTCAGGCCATCGCGTGTTTGTTTTCTTGTTGCGCTTTGGTTTCAGACTATTTCCGGGACATTCAAACTGCTTGTTCTTGTGCGTTTGGTCCCCCGAAGGCTTGGGAAAAGGGGCCCTAAGTTGGGCGGATCTTGTGACGGTCTGGCTTGGCATGAAAACTAAAAAGGGGATCCTGTAAACGGGGATCCCAAAAAGGAGATTCCGAGAGTCCTCAAAGATCATCCATGCCAATCTGCAGGCAAAAAAAAACTCGAGTCCAGGGCTTTTGGGCAGGGACCTGAACAAAACCAACTGCTTTGAGTCTCTTTCCTACCTAAAACCTTCCTCAGAGAGGCTTCTTCAACATGTTTTTTTCCGTCCTTCAGCCTTTGGGGCTGTTTTTTTACACAAACTCCCTGGACTTCGAACCAACCCACCATGTCTTGGGTTTCCTTACGCAACCAAAAACCCAGACAAACCTCTGGGGGAGCAAATGAGCAAATGTTGGCGGGTTTGGAGAGAAATTGAGCAAGCTGCACCCAGGGAAAATCTGTCTGTTGGTTGGTGATCGCCTATCTAGAAATAGAAGCTGTTTTTTTACAGAAACTGTTTTTTTACAGAAACTCCCTGGACTTCGAGTTTCGCCATGTCTTGGGCTTCATTGAGCCACCAAAAAAAACACCCAGACAAACCCCTGGACTTCGACCCGGAGCCTTTTGGGAGGTCTGGGCCTCCGGCCTGGCCTTGGCCCAGCACCTCGGCGGAGGCGGCGGCGAGTTGGTGCGGGGCCGGCGGTGCCTGGAGCTGGGGGCGGGCCTGGGGCTGGTGGGCCTCACCGCGGCCAAGCGGGGTGCCAGAGAGGTGTGGGGGGGAAGTGGGGGGGGGTTAGGGGGAGATGGTACATTGCGTGTTTAATAGGGGCGCACATAGACTGATGTTTTTTTTCTTTTTTACATCGTATGTTTGCGTTGTTGCTGACTCGTAGTTGACTTTAAGATTTTGTTTGAGGAAGGAGGCCTACAGGGACTTGAAACAAGCTTCAAACATATGCCAGCCTGACTGGAAGGCCATCGCCTATTTTGCACGTGTGTGAAGATGCCAGGGGTGGAGGTGCGGGCCAAGCAGCTCTGTGTTGCAAGTAGTGACCTCGGCTTTCAAAGGAGGGTGGATTCCCACGCTGACAATGACACAGGCACGGTTGATGGCCGCGAGAGAGAAGTTGTCCAACCAGAAAGCTTCATGGTGAATGGCCTGAACGTGCCCTGAGCTGTGCCTCCAAGCGCGGGCATTTGTGCGGCCAGGTGTTGCTGACAGACTTGGATGAGATGCAGCCCTTGCTCCGCAGGAAGCTCGGACGAGGCCAAGAACTGGGGCAAATAACGTTGTTCATGGTGGTTGTTGGGAAGCATGTTACATTTTTGCTTGTCGTTGTTTAGTGGTTGAAATCCCCACTTAACTGCTAAAATTTGTTTTTTGTTGCTCCCCTGCCAACGTCAACCAAGTGTTCTTGCAGTGGCTCGCCTTGAGCTCGCTGAGGAACATCGAGCTGAACGAGCTGCAGACGGCCTGCCGGGCTCGCACGCTGGTCTGGGGCACCAGTGAGGAGGGCCAATGGGATGTGGTGCTGGCGGCGGACGTGGTGTACCCGACCAAGGGGAGGACATCGCAACACCGCAAGCACCCCGTGATGTGGCTGGAACCAGTAAAGCAAGTCTTTCCAATGGTCAATTCCGCGGATTGAGGCATTCTTGCCAAGATACGGGGGTCCCTACTACCTAGCCAGCATGTCCTCAGGTTGGCTGGTTGCTCAACAGCATCCATTTGTTTCCCACTAGACATGGTGGCGCGGAACAAAAAGGAAGTGTTTTCCTTTTTTGGTGGCCGAAGGTGGCCCATCCCCCAAATCTGTTCCATTTTACCCTGGTGAAGGGTCCGGCGGTCAAGTACCCGCCGGACATGGCACCCGTCGCATAATTTCCGGGGTTGCTCCAAGCCTCCAAAAGATCGTCCCCCCTTACTGTGGATGGACGAAATCCGTTTCGCACCACTTTGAAACCATGAAAAACCATTGTTTGTTGTTATTCACAGGTGAATCGAATCATTCCAGAATTTCTCAGGTGGTGCGAAATGGACTTCGTCCATCCACAGGGCCAAATTCTATCCTGCCAGGGTCTTTGTAACAACATTTTGGGACGGCGCCCTCCAGCCGGAGGATCCTGCCACTGCTGCTGCAGAGCATCCTGCAGCTTTGCCCGGAGGCGAACGGTTGGGTTGAGGGCAACTTGGATGACCAGCCCCCCGATGGTTAGTCTCCAGTAAGCAAGCTCCCCCAAATGTTGGATGACCAGCCCTGATAGTCCCAAAAATGCAGGTCGTAGGGTAAAGACTTTGGCCTGATTGACGCCCTCAATGGCGTCAATCAGCCCCAAGGGATTTGGGTATGGGTCAAAATTAAACCAGGGGACCGCAGGTTTTGGTCCATGTTTCCACTTACCAGGGCAAGCCATTTGGGGATTCGATTTTTGAGTCACAGCCATTTGGTTCCACGGCGCGCGCACGTGTCGCAGGGCTCATCCACTCAGCTGCTGCTGGCCTATCAGCCGCGGGCCGAGGAAGATCAGCGCTTCCTCCGGGAGGACCGGGACGTATTGCCGGCCCCCGATAAATCAACCAATTCGCCCTACTCAGTTGCCCAAAGCGAATCGACCTTTTGGTTTCTCCTTTTTGGTCTAGTTTTAGTCATGGCCCCAAAAGGTTAACCTTTTTATTTCTTGGTCCTTTGGGCAAGTGAGCCAATGGATTTAGTGGGCCCGCCCCGAGTGAGTGTGCAGACACAAAAAAAGAAAGCCCATAGATACATTAAACCTATTCCCTCCAGCGAAAGATGCCCTGTGAATTAAATGGGGCACCCCCGATGACTCAACTGCCCGCTTAAGGGGCCAATGGCAAGCCCTGGCCGGGCTATGGCGCACACGAGGTCCCAAGTCTTAGGCTCCAAAGTGGCGCCATGTCCCTAAAAATTCAGCAAAAGTGGTTCATTGGGGTGGTCACCAGGCTTCAAATATTCCTGTCAAGGATGTAGCTTGGCGAAGGGACGGACAAACAAGTACCCTATGCACATTCAATCTTGCATCCGTCATGAATATGAATTGAATATGACTGCCTTGCAAGGGCAGTAGGCGAGTAGGTGCAGAACAATCGTTCCAGACTTGTCATTCAGGGTGCGCTTCAAAGTTGTTTGGTTCTAGCCCTTGCACCAAGCAGTCCGTGTGGTGCAATTTGTGACGTAAAGCAGTCCATTCCCGCACACGTGCTCATGCTGGACATGGCTGAAGTCTTCATGCCGGTCTTTGCTGATCCTCTCGTCCAGAACCAGCTCCCTTTTGGTGACCAGCATTAAGGGACTCGTTCAACAGGTTAGCTACTTTTTATGAAACGGGTTCCGAGAGCTTTCGTCAAAGGACTTACAGCACCCCAAAAACAAAGCAATCCATTTGGCAGAACGCCAATTGCTAGAACCGGTTGGTGGAAGAACCTCCATTTGCCAGATCCGATTTGCCTGAACCGGTTGCTTGGTGACAAGGAGCTGTTGCCGCACTTTGAGTTCAGCTGCGAGGCGCTGAATGACAAGTGCCAGCCTCCCGGCTCGAAAAGCGCGGCATCGCCTGTTGCGCTCGCAGCATGACGGGAGGCCTAAGCCTAGGAGCACCTTAGAAAACACGCGGATATGGCCTCCTACTTGGGTCATCTTAGGTCTTTGGGGGCCTTGGAGCTAAGAAAAAATGTTCACGCATCATTGGTGCTTTTGAGTTTCTATTTTTTTCTCGGATGTGTGTTGTTTTCATGCGTGCTGAAAAGGAGATTTCAACATATTACGGAACTCTCCACCCACCTAGGTTTGATTCAAGGAAAAGGCAAAGTTTTCCAAATTGTTTACCAGTCCGCGACCAATGGCCAGAAGCAGTGTTCAGGGCGTTGACCCAAGGAGTTTGGCGGTGGATGGCCACGTTCTGCAGACTGAACAGGGCTTAGGCCTGTTTACCCCTATGACTTGTTGAGGCCACACCGAAGCATGTGTCATCTGATGTTTGTGCAGTTCTATGGGCGGGGGGCTCTGGAGGGTCAAGTACAGGGGGCCGAAAAACTTCAACGAAGCACCGTAGGTGTCCTTTTTGGTTGGTTTGGCTGAAAAATAGAGGGCCCTGGTTGTCCTGGTGGTTCAATCAACTACCAGGGCCATCTATTTTCCCAAAAAGGACACCTATGCGAAGCACCGCTTGCACCGAAAGAAAACCTCTGGGTTGGATTCGCGATGTGCACTGAGGGTCTGCTTGGATGCGCTCAACGGCCACTGTAAATGGAGCTACGTTTTTCAATTGTCTTGGGAACTTTCATGTTTAGCTTGAAAGAAACTGGGTGAATGAAAACGACCTCACACGACCTTGCCCCAAATGGTGGTTTATGTGGGGAATGGCCCCTCAACCACCGTATTTCAGGCTGGTGAAATGCTTTTATTCACCCAATTCAAAAGAAAGTACTGGTCAACACCGCTTGCTTGGGGATTCCTTGTTTCAAGCAAGTTTGACATTTAAACTGCCCGTTTGCAACACTGCGTTCCATGTTTCAAATGGCTATGGTCACTGGACAGCTGGGTCCAGAAGCGTTGCCAGCACCCCGACTTTGCCCTATGAGCTGAGGCTTTACATTTGTAGGCGCAAGGACGGGGCAAGAGCTTTGCACAGCCTGCGCCATGTGCATGCTTCGTGCGCCGCGCAGATAGCTGGCATTTGGCCAGGCCATCCTTGCAAGTGGTGTCCGGATGGGCCTTCTGCTGCGTATGGCATTGGCTAGGCCATTTTAATGCTAGAGCCTGGATACACCAATGGTGACCCACATAGGCCTGCATATGTTTCGTGATTCTGGCGTGCTTCTGCTTTTCTGTTTCCTGCCAACGTTCGCAGTTGCAGTCCCTCTTTCATAGCTCATTGTCTTGTCGCTTGTCCCTGGCACATCATGTGCTTGGTTTTTCGACAGGGCACCGAAGAAGACTCCATTTTGGGATGGAAGATCATACACTTCATATCCGACATGTCCTCACTCAGTAACCGCACTGTTACAGGGCTGTCAATCTCTTTCTTTGCCTGGTTTGGGCAGCGCTTTAGCTTCTTTGCACGCCGCAAGTGCAAGGCACATCTAGCAATTACGTTGGCTTCATGGTGTCATCACGGCCTTGCTTTGATTCTCACCAGGTGTTCCAAGAGGTCAAACAAGCATCTTGCTGGCACGGCAGAACGTGCCACATACTTTGCTTTCGGGGCCTGGCCAAATGAGTTTCCTCCACCATTGATGTGCAAAAGTCCGAGCAATTTGTGTTTGCCTAAAGTTTAGGGCCTGACCGTCCCCAAGTTGGGCACTTGGGAACGTGCGTGTTCTGGCCTTCGCCAGGAGGCAAGCTCGGTGATGGCCACGGCCCTGGGATCCGGGCCTCCGGACGCTTTCCATCAGCTGAAAAGCGTCGAGGGATGGAAAAAAGTGAGCGGGTGCCAGCTCAGCACTGGGGTTGGGATGGGTTGGGCAAAGCGAAGCCTCCCGCAAGTTCAAGACCCTGTTGGCCAGACAAGGAGCTAGGTCCCTCCAGTAGTGCCTCTTTACCTTTTTTTTTGGGGAGGGTTCCCCTGCTAAAATAGACCACAGAAAAAAGCGTACCCTTATTCTAACCTCTCAAATCTGGAGGACCTGGGGAGGGCGAGCCAAGGATTTCAGCGCCGCCTGCGCCTTGACCATGCCACCCCCCGAGTTCGCGCCCGGCCCGCCAGGCCGCGGACGACTTTAAGCCCGGCGAGGAGGCAGAGTGGGCACGGGCCCTGGCCTTCCGGTTCCCTCGCAAGGCCTGTTGAACAAACGTCGCCCACAATAAGAAGATGTGATCATGAGATTTCTCCCTCCCGTGCTCAATGACACCTGCAGGTGTACATGTATTTGGCAGGGCCATAAGTTTCCGGTGAAAAGTACAGGGCGATTCCTGCTTTTCCTGGCGGTTCAGTCATCTACCAGGGCCATCTATTTTACAAAAAAGGACGCCTATGCCAAGGGCGGGGAACGAACGTAGCCCACAATGAGATGTGAACATGAGATTTCTCCCTCGGGCACACCGTTTATGCTCAGTGACACCTGCATTTGTACATATATCAGGCTCCCTCAACATATGTCTTCACACCTCAGTTGGTGGGTGCACGCGAATTTGGGCGCAGCATTTTTTCAGGCTTCGAGCAGTTCACGTGGGCAATCATTGGACGTATTTGCTTGTGTTTATGGTGGACATTAATACTTACGTACTTGTACTTATATTTCCCTTACTTATTTCCGCTACTCCACACCACCAACACATACCTCCAGGGGATATATTCCCGGACATACAAGCAGGTTATAGCCACTATGTAAGGCTTCAAAGGGTATGGCCTCTTGTCCCGAGGTAGTGGTTTGGGGGGGGGGGGTGAAAATTACATTCAAGTCGCTTACTTTTGGACAGCTGTGATCCAGTACAGCTCAGGTCGCCACCAAGTGGGAAGGCTTCGTTCGACCCACGGCACCTGGGCTTCAGATTGGCTGGTGAAGCGGAGGGCTTGGACCCTGAAAGGCGGCCACGACTGAAATGCGGCTGCAGGTCGGCCAGCCCCCCCCCCAAGGGCATGTTTGGAACTAGTCTACGCAGACTCACTCCTACTTCCTGGATGTTGTGCATATTATAGGGTATGCAGGGTATGCCAGTTAGGGATTTGTGTTCAAAGAGGTCAGTGTTGGCTTCCTAAAGAAGTCAGAGTTGGCTTCCTTCGAACACCGCCCCGGCTTTGACACAGCCATACTTTGTGTGCACGAGCTGTTGGATGCTCAGTGCAATACCAAATGGTGGTTGGTCAAGCCCTCGCAACAGTAAAGAATGACATACTGGAGCATCCGCAGTAGCCATAATGAGCCACAATGTCTCTACTGCGTGCTTCTCCTTTGGCTCACTTTCAACAGTCGCCCAGCTGCTGTGTTCTCACTTAGCTGGTGCATCCTAGTTTTCAAAGGGTTTCACTCATCCCAGCTGGTGCGAAGCGGCTTACGCTCATCCACCAGTCTCCCCCCACTTCGCTCCACTTAGGACAAGTCCAACGCCCACCCCACGGGCGTGGACATCGAGCTGCTGCGCAAGATTGGTGAGAAGCTTTGCTACACACCTCCGGACTTCAAGGCGCGATTTCCGTGAGCAGTCTGAGGCTATCGCTTTACCCCACAAATGACCACGGAAGTGGCCAATGAAAAGACGACCCCCGCATGTTTGGATTGTTTTGCCGAGGGTTCCCTGTAATTATTTGGACAAATCAGGTCGAAGCGCACAAACCCCCTGTGGAGAACTACTGTCCTTTTGGAAAAGGGCCACTTGATGCCACTTGCTTGGGACAACTTGCCACGCGTTTGCCAAGCGGGCAAAGAAGGGTCAGAGTTGTGGTTTGAGAGAGATCCCATGCTTGCGCATGTGGCCTCGCGCTTGTGTTTGTTGAAGTGTTTGCGGCGAGGCATCCAATCTAGCCCTCTATAGGTTCAAGCTGTTCCATCTTGAGCCCTTCTCCCCAACCAGGTCCTTCCTAGGGGGTCCTTGGTTTTGATGCATACATCACGCACGCGTCCGGGATTGCACAAAAACCGTGTTAAGGGGCTCACGGCACTCATGTCAGGCCCACCCGGGCCTCAAGAGGCAGCTGAAGAAGAAGATGGAGGACCCACCTTCTCACTCCCACCTCGCCTGAAGGGAAACACAGGGAATCCGTTCTGTGTGTGAGTGTTTTTATCCCATTTAAGGACAAGACTACATAGCAACCTGTCATGTCAGCTTAGTTTCGAGACTCACCTTTGTTCGCCGCCATGTGTGTGTGTGTGTGTGTGTGTGTGTGTGTGTGTGTGTGTGTGTGTGTGTGTGTGTGTGTGTGTGTGTGTGTGTGTGTGTGTGTGTGTGTGTGTGTGTGTGTGTGTGTGTGTGTGTGTGTGTGTGTGTGTGTGTGTGTGTGTGTGTGTGTGTGTGTGTGTGTGTGTGTGTGTGTGTGTGTGTGTGTGTGTGTGTGTGTGTGTGTGTGTGTGTGTGTGTGTCTGTCTGTCTGTGTGTGTGTGTGTGTGTGTGTGTGTGTGTGTGTGTGTGTGTGTGTGTGTGTGTGTGTGTGTGTGTGTGTGTGTGTGTGTGTGTGTGTGTGTGTGTGTGTGTGTGTGTTTGTGTGTTTGTTTGTTTGTTTGTTTGTGTTGCTGTTGTTGTGTTTTGTTTTGTTTTGTTTGTTTCGTTGGTGTGTTGCTGGTTGGTTGGTGGCCGTGTTTGTGCTTGATTGCTCTTGCTTTTGTGTTGTCTAATGGGGTCTCTGAAGGACCCCCTGCAACAAGTGGACCAAGCCAAAATTTGGCGCAAATGCTGGGATCCAAAGACCACATAGAAGTCACTGGAAAGGCATTAGGAACCACCTGCTTCAGTGGTCAATACCCTGGACAACCACGTGTTGCCAATGCTCTCGATGGTGGCGACCCCTGTCAAACATGTTTGATGTCCGCCTTGACATCAATCACAACCGCAACCACAACAAAAGCCACACAACAGCAGCAACAATTGAACATTGAATTATTTCAAGGGCTACTCCCCCACTCCCCCCCCTCCCCCCCTAGGAACGGGGATTGCACAAAGAACACCGCCAGGACCTCGAGCAAGGGGAGACCATCGACTGGGCCACAGCGGAGGGCCTCGCCTTTGGATCTTTGCTGCTGGAGGGGAACCACGTGCGCAGCTCGGCGGCCCCGTTTTTGTTGGCGAATCTTTGGGTGAAGAGCTTGGGTTACGTTGGGTTTTACGCGGGTTTTGTAGTCTTTGGGTTTTTGGTAGCCTTTGGGTGAAGAGCAGGTTTTCGCCTTTGGTGAACCTTTGCCTTTTGGTGCCATTTTGGTAACATGCTTTGAACTATTGCCAAGGCCATTGTTTGGTGACATCTTTGGTGCTCCGAGCAAGCCAAAGGGCTTCAAAACGGCGGGGGTTCAACCTCCAAACCGGAAGTCGATGCCTGAACACAAGCGTCCCGGCAACAGCCATTGTGAATGTGACCAACCCAGCCAGTACTGGGGTAGGCTTTGGGCAATAGGTTTGCCACTGGCAGTTGGGGTGGCTAGTTGTGAGGGGGATTTTGTTTGATGTTTGAGGAGGACAGTCGTCAGGAGAGCTTACAGCCCAGTGGGCTCGGCCGAGCTGGCTTTTGGAAGCATGACGGATCCCCGCGGCTCAAACATCGGCGCCGTTGCAGCGCAAAACTGCGCATGGGAGAGCAATGCTCGCCATGGCAGGGCGCCATGGGAATGACCCGACTTTCAGCAACTGACTGACAGCAAAAACTTCAGGCAGGCTGAACATGGCTCCAGCATCAGCGCTGGAAACCTGAACCGGTCCTAAACGCTGTTAAACAGACCTCACTGCAGCGAAGCCTTCGAAGCTCCAAATCCAGCACAAGCAGGGATTCAAGATGCGTTTGTGCGTGGGGACCCGCTCAGGAAGTGCAACCACCAGTGACGGGTTTCCATTTCCAAACCTGCTTTGTAGCTTCCGCGCCGGAGCCATGCGGAGCGTGGCTGGCGCTGGCAGAGGGCCATGCCAAAGGCACGAAGCGGAAGTGTGAAGCGGTGTTAAGTGCATTTAAATGGCATAATGGTTGAACAAATGCTTATGCGCTTATATACGCGCACCTACAAAGTTGAATGGCATATGTATTGCTGCTTGTATTTGTACATGCGTTCTCATTGTGCATGTGCGTTGCGCGTTTGTTCACCGGCAGGGTGTGGCAGACGCCCGTGGATTGTAGAATGTTCAGCTTCAGGAGGCCCGACAGTATTGAACAGCTTGTATTGCAGTCATATCCCTTTTTTTGTGGATGCCAACCGTGTTTTTCCCAGGTTCGGCGGTCTTGGTCGCGGAAGCGTCCCCGGTCGCTCGGTCGGTTGGCCGTGGGTTGATGAGCCGAACGCCAGCCAATATCAACAGGATACATGCGGCAATGTCATTGGAGGGATGTTTTCAGTTTCTTTTGTTTTTGCCTTCCTCCAGGCTGATTTTTGGCGTTTGGCTTCTTGCGTTTTGTTCGTGGCTCTGAAGGTCCTGAAGGATAGCTTTTGCAGACTGACGTCAGGGTTTGTCCTCAGATGGGGCACTTTGGCCAACCCCTTATCATCACCGGGCAGACTTCTTGAAGGGTAAGAACTCGAGGTGCTTACGCCCCTGCTGGAGCTGGAAGCTTTGGGTTCAAAATGCAGCAGGGGGGCCCAAGGGCAAAAACCAGGGTTGGCCTGAGTTGGGAGTTCGGATGACCTTCCTCTAGCGGCACTGGACAGATCCATTCAAGAGGAACACCTTTGTGGGATCAAGACGGATGAATTAAAATAAGGCCCACCTCCAAGGCTAAAGGAACACCGTTTGAGGTTGCAATGGTTTTGCGGGCTCACAATCACCTGATTTGCTGCTAGCCAGGGGTCATGGCAAGCTTTGATGAGGACCCTTAGGCCCATCATCAAAGAGTAGACGCGCGCGCGCGCCCAGGAGTGAAGGATAAACTGAATGGAGGAATTTGGAAGACTTGCTGAATATGTGTTGCCTGCACGTGCAATCATGAGCTTATTAGAACCCATGACCTGCCATGTTGGACACATGTTTCAGCCATGCTTTACGGCCCCGGAGCAAAAACGGCTAGGCCAGGAGTTCACATGTGGTTTCATACATTCAAGCTTCGAACCGGGACTGCCGCAAGACATGCCGATGGTTCAAGGGAAGGATGTTCTTAGCACCTGCATCGACTGCAGGTGCTATGGGATTTTAATACATCCTGGTTCAGGGCCTCTCGTTCTGGCAAGAATTCATGGGCGTTGATTTGGAGGTCTTTTTTTTGGGGGAGGGGTTCCCCTACTAACATAGACTACCAAAAAAAGGGTACCCGTATTCTAAGCTCTCTACTGGGGGTCCCTTTCTGTTGATTTGAGTCTTGTTGCCCCAGCTGTGGCTCCACCCTGAAGGCGTTTAAGAAGGATCCCCGCGTTGTTGGCATCCGACGTGTTCCCCAAGATCGAGTCGCCCGGGGTGACATGTGTCAAGTCACGGGCCAGAGCTTCCAATGTTCCTGTGGCGGTTCTGTCACCCTAGGCCCTTTTAAAAGTGGGTGTGATGTTCACAGGTTGTTCATGCAGGGAACGCTGACAAGTAATGATCACTTGAGCCATTTCCAAAGAGGCAAACACCCATTCACAAACCAGCTGCTTCAAATACTCCAATAAAAGCTTTCCGGCTTGCACCAAAAGCCATTTTTTTGCGTGTAGCATCCTAGAACCAATCCATTTGTTAGAGCCGACTCAACGGGTCTCCAGTCTTAAATCTTGTTGCCCGACTTACATCTTAGCCGTGTTAGCCCGACCGTTTCGGGCCCAATTCAGGTACACCTTCGTTGGTGGTTTGGGTTGGTGGTTTGGGTTGGTGGTTTGGGGATTTGAATCCTTGGTGTTTGTATATACAGAGGGTAGATGGGAAACCCCTCCTTAACCACCAAACCACAAATCCAAACTAGAGCTGACAATTTTACAAAGACCTGCGACTGGCCGGCCGTCACGATTGTTTGCGGCTGAGGCGCCGGGGCGGTGGCGGAGGTCCTGCGCCGGCATGTGGCTCTGCAATTCTGGAAGGGAAGGTTGCCCCAATTGTCTCGGTAGGGTTCCAGGGCGTGGTTGAAATTGTGGGTTTGATGGCCAGGTTCTGAGACATCGGGGGAATCTCAACAAGATTGATCGAGTAGTCATGGAACTCAGGCATGCGTATCACAGACTGGGTTGGTTTCCACAATCGTGTTGCCGGCAATCAAGCTTCAGCTAGGTTGCCCTTCGGAACTGATCTTTGGCCCAGTTGTTGCATGGGTTCCACCCTTTCTCCCTTTTCGTTTGTGAACCCCGTGGGTTCCTTGGTTGATTTCTTGGAACTCCTGGTGTCGCTTGTGTCTCCACTGCGTAGCGGGAAGCAAAACTGTAGGGGCGAAGGCCAGTTCAGTTTGATCTTCCTGCCGTTTTCAGAGATGAAAGAAGATACGGCCGCTAAGGCTCATGAACCCAGCTTTACATGGTTTGGAGCTGCAGAGAGTATTTGGTCATGGCCACTCTTTAAGCATCAACCGGTTACTTTGCAGCCTTTCCGAGAAGTGAGGTAGACAAATGGCGGAGAGAGCCGAAGAAGTCAACGCTGCTTTTGCGCCTTGGCTGCATTGGGGGCTAGAATCAGCTAGAATGCGGGGCTGATGACATGCCCGATTTCCTTTGACACCATTGAATGACCAAGCAGGGAATGCAGGGATCAGGGATCGAACAGACAGAAGGTGATTGCCAAGTTCAAGTGACTGATCGAGAAAGTTCCGCTCATAATTCAGGTCCTGGCCTAGGACCCAGCAAATGGATATAAATGGATAATTCTTTGCACGAGCTCACCCACGATGAAGTTTCCAGTCATGCCCATGTCTCCTCTTTTCGGCCCGCCTCTTCTCACCGCGCCCGTTTCGCGCGCGCGCCGCGCGTTTCTCGCAGGAACGACCTGGCGGAGCTGGGGAAGGCCCAGGTGGCGGTCCAGGTGTTGAAAGCCATGAGGCACCTCCAGGCGGGGCCAGGGAGGGGCCAGGGACCCCCCGGGAGCTGGGCCGGAGTTCCGGAGGTCGGGGGGATGGCGAGCTCCACAAAGCGACACATGGGAAAACCCGAGGCATGTGGTTTGTCAAGACCATTTTTTTGGAACTAAGGGCGACCTTACGAAAGACATTTGTGGGACCTTGGCGCTGATGGAAGCTGTTTTCCACAAGGGCCGCTGACTTTTCCTTGGTGTGGATTGATGGTTCCCAAGCCAGATTTATTTAGGAAGCCCTGGTTTGAGTGGTCGATGTTACGATAGAGGACCCCCCCCAAGTGTAGGTCTCCCTTGGGGTAAGCAGAAGATTGAGCCAAACTTGGCTGGTTTTCCCGAAAGGCCCGCACAACTCCAAAAGGGGTACCATCAACAACTGTGGCGTTCAAAGAGTGTCCAACCACGGGGTCCCTATTGTATTTCCTCGAAACTCTCAACATGTCAGCGTTTTCACCCCATGCCACACGCTTTTGTTGTTATGAATGTATTTTGAACACGCACAGACTAAATATGTGATCTGATTGGGAACAATCATGAAACATCCCATGGTTCTCAAGGAAAAAGGCCCTGGTCGGTTGTTGGGGGCCCCTGGCAGCCGTAGGGTTTTCTGAGAGAACCCAATGGCGAGGTGCCCGTCAACGTCTTCCACCTCAACGTGGCCATCAAGGCCTGCCGCAGGGCCAAAGCTCCGGTCTCCATGGCCCTGGAGCTCTTGGAGTCGGCGGAACAGATGCGGCTCCGATCGAATGGGGCGGGAGAGGGGACGGACGCTTCCCCGGATCGTGGTTGTTGTTGGGAAGCATTTGTTCCCATGGTTGCTTATTGTGGTTGAGTGGTTGAAATCCAAGCACTTAGCTGCTAGAATTTGAGTTTTTGCTCCCCTTCCAACGTCAACCGAGATGTGGAGGTTCACGTAATCCTGGAAAATACCAGGACCAAGAAGGATACAGGAAAGCTAATAATTTCTGGGGCGACACTGCCCCATTCTTTCCAGGTATCCGGATCTTTCCAGAAAACCATCAGAACCCTAGGGGAAAAAGCTGGTTTTTTAAAAGAACGATGGTTGACAAGAATGGGGAATCAACCCCTAGAAGGATGGGTCGGATGGGATGGGGACTCGATGGAAATTCGATGGAGAGATGGGTGGGTGGGTGGGTGGGTGGGTGGGTGGGGGTGAATGAATGGACAGATGGAAAAGTCTGTCTTTTTCCCTGATCCTAGCCCATGTTTACCCCCCCCTCCCCCAAAATGCTGAGTGAGTAGATCAAGAAGGTTCTAACACAGCGAAACGAGGGTTTGCTCGTGCTCCAGGCAGGTTCGCCCTGATGGTGTTACCTTCAATGCAGCCATCAGCGCCTGCGATGTGCACGGCGACTGGGAAAAAGCTGTGGGCCTCCTCTCAGAGACTTGGCAGACTCGGCAACTCAGAAGCAGTGTACCACTTGGTGTGGACCCACACCAAAGGTGCCAGAAAGAGGAACAACCAGGGGAAGTGATGGTGGAATACACGCAAGACGCGTCCACACCCGTTTTTCAGATGACCAAGACGTTGTAAGACGGAGGGGTGCGGGAAACGATAAACAGGCTCACTTGAATAATTTGTGTGAGAATATGGGAGACAAGCGCACTTCCCGGTTTTCCAGCCTGGGTTCTGCCCGAAAGCAGCCATGGGATTGGGAAGAATCCGCTTCTTACTGGAGATGAGCCTTTCTCTTGGGTTCTCGTCCGAGGATATGGCGGCCTTTTCGCCGAACGATGCTCGGCGCTGCGCAGAAGTTGGCACCACTGTGCCGGGAAAGTGTTGGGTAGCTCGCCCCAGCGCAAGGTACGGGTAGCTGCTTCTCGTTCCCAAACATTCCACCAACCTGCACCCCAAAGCAAGGCGGAATCCAGGGTGAGCAAGCCGGAGCTTTGCAAGTTCCTGCCATGCACTTTTGGGCTCTAAGTGGCGAAAGCCACACAGCTAGACGCGCTGCGCCTTTGAGGAAACTTTGGACAGTGTCTGGCAGGTGTTTCGCACCTTTCGCGAAAAGACTTGATGTTCCAATGTTCCAACAATTTAGACTTATACTCTTAAGTTGGCCTTCAATCGGTTCGTCAAACCCAGTTGGTTGTTGCTTTTCCGGCGTGTGGGATGTCTCTAAGCAGCGGGTGTTGAGGAGATCAGCTACAGCGCTGCCATCAGCGCTTGCGAGGCGGCGGGCGAATGGGCTGCTTCCCTGGCCCTCCTGCAGGACATGTTGCAGGACGGGGTTGGCGACATGAAGGGTTGGCTACTGGGGTGATTTACCGGGTGTTATTGGTCTCGAAGGGTGTTGATGTTCCAACAAGAGTGGCCATTGATTCGGGCTTCAAATTATTCGAGCGGGTTGTTCAAGATATGTTTAGTTGTTGGTTAAGGTGGTTGTTGAAGAAAGGGAAACATGACCAAGATGCCAGTTAGTCTTGGCACAAGGGTGCAGAGGATAACTTTCAATTGTAGGCTTCATGGATTCTGACATGTGTCTGATTCTTCAGTCAGCCATGATCACCCACCCTGTGGTGACAAGCAAGCGCTCCTCCTGGCCAGAATGGAAAACCACCAGTGCAATTAGAGGTGTTTTGACCAAGCCATGTGAGAAGTTGAGTTGAACAGTGCTGGTTCGAAGATTGGTCCAATCCCTGTACTTGCAAAGTGGAATTCCCAGCGACAAATCTCGCCGCTAGGCTCAGCTTGTCCACCTGCCCGCCTTCAACGGAGCGCTCAGCGCCTGCGCCCGGGGCTCACAAGAAGCAAAGGCGCGGCAGCTGCTGACAGAGATGGGACCTTTGCAGCTGCAGGCGGGGATCCTGTGCTGATTGGGGTGTCTGTGTGTATATGTGTGTGTGTGTGTGTTTGTGTTTGTGTTTGTGTTTGTGTTTGTGTTTGTGTTTGTGTTTGTGTGTGCGAATGTATGTATAGTTTGTGTTTGTGTTTGTGTTTGTGTGTGCGAATGTATGTATAGTTTGTTTCATTGGTTCTTCCTTTCTTTCTTGTTTCTTTCTGTCTGTATTTCTTTGTGTCTTTCTTTCTGGCTTTCTTTCTTTCTTTCTTTCTTTCTTTCTTTCTTTCTTTGTTGTGTGCTTGTTTGTTCGTTCGTTCGTTTGTTTGTTTGTTTTTTGACGCTACCCTTTTCCCTGGTTCCAAGGGAAACCCAACGGGACACCAGTTTTGTTCAGGATCCACCGGAAAAAATCAGTTCGGATCCCGGCCCTCGGTCTGAGTCGCTGAGCGCAGGCGGACGTCATCAGCTACAACGCAGGCATCCGCGCCTGTGAGCAGAGCAGTTCCTGGCAAAGCGCACTGGAGATCCTCTTCGGGCGCCTCGGCAAGGACGGCGTTGCATGGTGGTTTCCCCTAGAAAGAAACGGCGCTTGCGCAAGGTGCAAGGTGGCCCCAACTGGGGCAGACCTCCCATTTAACACCTGTATGGTTGTTTAAAGGATCCCTTCCAATTCGGCGCCAGGATGGCGCATGCATCCACCCCGCCGGACACGGTGAGCTTTAACACGGCCATCAGCGGCTGTGGCAAGGCTGGCCAGTGGCAGCGCGCGCTGCAGCTGCTGAGTTTGACGCTCGGAGCGGCGCTCGAGATCTCGAGTCGAGCTGCAGGGTGGGGCTCGGGGGCCAGGTATCAGCAGGGGGGTTGTGATCCCTTGATGCAAAGCTGAAAAGGATATGGCCATGGGTCAAAATCCAAATCGTACCCCCAGTGAACATCCCAATCCCCACTAAAATAGACTAAAATGGGTGGTCCAAAATGTTAGCATTGGTTTTGACCCACAGCCAGATCCTTGGCTGGGATTCTTTTTGCAAGGAAGCCGTATTCAGGATGTGTCAGCCATGTTCTAAACATCTCTGGGCAATAGTGTTATAAGGAAGTCCGACCTCCTTAGGAAATTGAAGGCTGATGTGCCCCCAGTGGATTTACACAGATCAGAATCCGCATGTAGGAGCATTTGCTTTTGGGGTCCTGTGGCCCAAGAGGAGAGTTTCTCAGAGCATGGCGGCTGCGGGGGGGGGGCTTAAGGTATCAAAATAAAGAATAGAGTTCGGCGCTTTTTTTGAGCACGTTGCATGTTTAGCGGCTCCCAGCCATCCCCTTAGCGTTTTAGCTTTTTAGTGTTTAGTGGTAGTTTCCTTTTACTCCACTAAAAGTTAAACTTATAGCGGGGGATCTGAGGGCGGCCCAGGCTTGGGTAGGCTGAGCCGCCAGCTGAGGACTCCGCGCCCAGATGTCATCACTTACAATGCAGCCATCAGCGCCACGGCTCGCGAGGGCCAGTGGCTTTGGGCACTGCAGCTGTTTCGGGACATGAGACTTTGCTGAATTCCCACTCCCTCCAAACTGGAATTCGGGAGGGGCGCCCCCCCCCCCAGGATTCCACTTGTTTTTTTTGTTTTTTTCTTTTTTCATTTGCCCCACCAAGAACAGAAAACCAAAAGCCCGCGCCTATGCGTCGCCTATGCGTCGTCCCTTTTGCCTTAGCTAGGTCCTCCAGTAGTGCCCTTCTCTCCCCTTTTTTGGGGGACGGGATCCCCTACGTACTAAAATGGACTGCAGCCAAAAAAAAGAAGATCGGGTACCCTTATTCTAACCTCTCAAATCTGGAGGACCTAGTTAGCTTCTGAGGAAACAGAGGCTGAAACCGGACGCCTACACCCACAGCTCCGCGATCTCCGCCTGCGCGCGCGCGGCCAAGTGGCAGATGGCGCTGCAGCTCCTGGAAGCGACTGGGCCTGAGGTTCCAGGCTCCTCACGGCTCAAGTACCTCTTGGGTGGACAGCCAAGGCAGTAATAACTCTGCGTATGTAGTATGTTCTGTTCAATGGCGTTTAGGATTTACTTGGGTGACCGGACCTCTTGGGTGACCTGCCAGGGCAGTAATAACTCGTATGTAGAAGTTTTTGCACCTCTTGGGTGACCGACACTGAGCCACACATGTGACATCTACAGGAAACTCGCGTACCGCCAATCGAGGACGGCAGCCAAGGCAGTAAAAACACTGCGTATGTAGTATGTTTTGTAGGATTTATTCTACGCTCACTGGCTGGGGTTACTAAACTTCCCGACTGGCCTGGTCATGCCTATGGAGAGAGGGGCCCAAATTTACAAGGGCAGGGTCACATGAAGCGGCATATGCCAGAGTTGAAACTTGGATGTTTGACATAAAGTTTACCAATTCTAGTCAGGTTTGGCTCAAGGTGATTATCAGTACTACGGATACACTTCTATCACTTTGCACGTTCCAATTCTTGGGTCCGGGATGTTCTGTTCAGGGTTACTGGTTCACCTTGTTGTCAAGGGATGCCAAGGGAACGCCACTATATTTTAGGGGTCCCCTTTTTTGACACACGCACACACAATAAAACTTGCCGGTGCTCACGAAAAAATGTGGGAATGACCCCGAATAAGCCATCCCCTGTAGTTTCCTTTAAGAGGACCAAAGCCTGGGTTCATTCCCTCATTCCCTACCTCTCGCACCAGCAACCATAGCAGCCTCCAAAACTCCCCCACAAAGCGCACACCGTACAAAAACAAAAGCAATGTTGTCGAACAAAAAGCAACAACCTTTTTTTTGGTTTTGTTTTTTTGGAGTGGGGGGGGGTGGGGGGACAACTTTTGTTTGGGGGAGGGGAGGTCCCCGTTTTTATTTTTATTTATTTTTGCCAAGGGGAACGCACGCAACTGCTCGTCGCCCTTCACCCCACAGGGCGTGCCTTCCACTTCCGCGCAAAACGCGGCGTTCTCCGCGGCGCTGGGCGCCTGTGGGGAGGCGGCCCTGTGGCGGCGCGCCGTGCAGCTGCTGGAGCGCCTCGGTGCAACGCGACTTGTTTTTGTGTTTTTTTTGGTGTGTGTGTGTGTGCGTTTTTTTTTTTTTTTGAGGGGGGGGGAGAGGGTGGGGGGGAGAGTGTGGGGGGGGGGGGGTTGTTTTGTTGTTGTTATTTTTTTGGGGGGGAGGTGGGGGTGGGGGGGGCGGCGAGTTTTTAGATGTGTTGGGGGGAGGGGAGTTTTTAGATGATACCCTCCCACAATGTAACATGAGACCTGCCAGGGTGCTGGGACCATAACTTGCTCCTTCTTTGGATGGTTGCGCTATTTTAGGGAAAGTAATAGGACAAGTTGTTTTTTTGCTATTTTCCACAAGTAGTAGGACATGTTTTTCTTTCTCAGGACCAGTTGTTTTTCTTTTCCTGGCGGCCATTGAGCCAGTAAGGTCCATGCCCAGGCCGGCCACCAGCCGAGCCGATGTGAGCCTGTGAGCCGGAATGACCGGGGGGGATCAAGTCCTCGACACCTTTCCCACGAACGTGGCAGTGGGAATCCCGGCGGCTACCTAGAAGTTCGAGTCTCCCTTGATGGGACCCCTCCTGGAACCGCCCAGAAACCCCAAGAAAAACATGCGCGAAACCAACCCCAAACCGGAAGTAATGTTAGTGGGGCGGGGGTCTAGAGGGTCAGTGCCCAAGACTGTGGCTTGCTTGCTTGCTGCTTTCCACTGGCCGCTTGGCATCAACCAACGGTCCACCTTCTTCCTGGGGTTTTCGAGCTGTCCAATGGACCGAGCTTTGTAGGTCAACTTTTCGGGCTGTCGGAAGTTGTGTCCAGGATAGGACCCTCTTGCCAGGAGGACTCAAAATGTTTATGGTTTGTGTAACCATTAGTGGGGTTTCTGTGATTTGTTGCACGGGTTGCCGAAATCTTGGGCCCTTCGTGGCGGTAGGCGCCAGATCCAGCCAGACCAGGGCAGCTTCCATGCGGTGGCAGGCGCGTATGCGCAGGCACGGCGCTTGAATCCGGTTGCGGGGGGAATGAAAAGAAACATCTTCAGCAAGAGGCTGAAGAGGCTGAACCTGACGCGGCTGGAAGAGGCTGAAGTTTGAAGTCTTGGTAGGGCTGTTTGATGCTGTTTGTGGTTAAGGATCTCCTTTGAGCACCGTAAGTGTCCCAATTTTCCCTGCCCCCGATGGAGATGCAGCATAGGATGTGCGTTTGGCGTTGGCTTCGAGGTCCTCAAGGACTCCGCCGCCGGCAAACGAACATGGAGTTGCATGCAGAGATATGCAGATTACTTTTGGCAAGAGTTCCTTGCTTCACTGGGGGCCTGTCCGCTTCCATTGCTAAGGGCATTGGTTTGAGGCGAGGGGCCTGTAGATCAAAACCACCCCTTAACTGCCACAAGGTCAAAAGTCCACTTCCGTGGGGAGAGAGAGGGCTGGCTTTCTGGACTCGGATTGGGAAACTGCCAATTGGCCCCTCAAGAGGATCCTTTGACAGGACACAGGACTTGCCCCTCTGCGTTTTGTCTTGGATGTCAGCCTTCGAGAGTGTGCCACTTGCTTTCAGTAGAATTTCACAGCCCAAGCCTTTTGGTGTCTTGACTTGGCGATGGAACAAGGCTACCGTTACCAGGCGAGCAACGGCTTGCACTCTCAGGAAGCCTTCCATGGCTAGACGCTTCGCATACCGAGAAAGCAAGACAAGCCACCTGTTGCAGTACACAGGACAGCTAAACACAAAAGAACAGGCTATGGTGCTGAATCTGGAACACCCTGCAACACCGGTGGCAGTGAATCTCCATATAAATGACTCTCCACCCAGGGGTCTCACCCACTGGCATCACAACACTAACTGTCTAAACCAAGGGTGCCATGGTAGACTGTGCACCACCCATTTTAGAACCTATTTTAGTGGTTGGATTGGAATGTTCGCTGGGGCCAGCAGGGCTTGTGACACTGGCCAAATATAGGCAATGATATGGAGTAACGGCTAGTTGCTCGACCTACCAAAGGTGGGTGGGTTCAAATCCCCCACCTCGGTGTGACTCATGGCCAAATGGCCAAATGGCGACCCACGACGGATGGCCGTCAGGCCGCCCAATGGCAACGCGCGCTGGACCTGGCTCAGCTCCTCCGGACGGAGGTGGCGTTCGCTGCGGCCATGACGGCGGCAGAGCGGCTTGGAGACATGAGTCCCAAGGACTCCCACGGGTATTCATCCACCCAGAGGCTCCTGGGGCTTACAAAGAAGACAAGAGATAGGAATGAGACCAGAGATGGGACTACCTTCGTTTGCAAGTTAAACTTGACTGCTATTGGGTTGGATCTTTAGACTTTCACTTGTTGCTTGAAATCAAGTTGGGCTTTCCACTACCCCCCCCCCAAAAAAAAAAACAAAAAAGAAAAGAACAAGAAACAGTGATCAACTTTTTGCAGGGCGGTCAACAGCAACCAAGTCACCCGGGGTCAACATGTGCCTGTGTGTGTGTGCGCGTCGTTGTGAGGTTTCCCGTTTGAAGGATAGCTTAAAGGGAAGACACAAGAAAAACACACTCATGCGAGGGCACGTACCCAGAGGAGTTGAGAGATGATCCTGCGGAGCTCCACCATCCTTTCATCACGTTTGTCCTGTGGGAGGGCAGCAGCTCGACATAACACCCAACACCGCTGACGGTAGAACACGCCAGGTGTCAAACAGATGTCCTCCCTTGCACTTGTTCTACAGGGACTTGCATTGCTTACAAAGAGGACAAGAGATAGGAATGAGAGCAGATATGGATGGGCCTACCTTCCGTTTGCAAGTTAAACTTGATTGCTATTAAGTTGGATCTGTAGGCTCGAAGTTTTGATTGAAATCAAGTTGGGTCCTCCACTAAACCCACACAAAGTTAAACTTTTTGCGCAGGGGTCAACAGCAACAAAGGTGAATCCTCTATCTCATGGTCTACCTCTCTACCACCCACCCGCTGCCACGAGGCGGGCCGGGCACTGGCCCACGGCCCTGGCGCTGCTGGCGGCGATGGGCTCGGCGGAGCTGCGGGCGGATGCCGTGTGCTTCGGCGCGGCCGGGAGGCCCAAGGCGGCGCGAGCGGCGGTGGCGCCACTCCCGCTACGGATGCCCGAAATATTTCAAGCAAACCACGCTGAACCACAAGACCATGGTAAATTGCGGCAAACCAACCACGCTCAAGCACAAAGCCATGGTAAATTGAGGTAAATGAGGGGATTCCCTGACCCCATTGCAATATTTAGGGCATCCGCCGTAGATGTGGGCACATGGGACGACGAAACCATGGGCTGGAATTGGATTCGCCATCTACTTCCAGCCCATGGGTAAAGGCTGATTGTATGGAGCCTTGAACTTGCCATTGTGGCCGCCTCTAGTTGTTGCATCCCCAGCAACTAAGCCAATTGTCAATTAACCACGAGAGTATGGGCGACGCATGGGAAGAAGGGCCTGCCAGAGGTCTGTTAGACAATCCCGCCCCAAGTACAGTACGGTATTGTTGGCGGTGGTCCCCATTTGCAGCAGGTCAAACCCTGGCACTGCTACACACAACTGTGAGCCTGTGAGGGCAGATTTCAGCACGTTTAGGGTTTTACTGCTGACTCAGCCGCTGACTGTCCGTTCTCCTTTGCGTATGGAAGCAAGTATTTGGAAAGAGTCAACACGTTTCAGAAGTTCAACGCAGCACAGGTTTGCTCAACATTCCCAATCCAAACCTCAGGGTGGTGTTTGCAATGTCTTGTGTTTTGCCCTTTTCCGTGAGGACTGTTTGTTCAACGCACACCAGGTGTTATTGGGCGATTAAACTTGGGGGAATGAAACTTGGGTGCTAAGACTGTGTGCTCACCTCACCTCTTCCGCTGGCAGTCTCAATGGAGATGGCAATGGAGAGAGAGAGAGAGTGAGAGAACGAGAGAGAGAAAGAGGAAACAAAACTGCATGGTGCACCAAAAGGTGGCGCCCCATATGGGTGTTTCTCAAAATTCGGGATCCCTCCAGGTTGGCGGATCCTTTTGGTTTCCCTTTAAAGCCATCCAAAAATCCAGCCCCCCCCCCGGCTTTTCGATGGATTCTGAGGCCATCAATGCCTGCACAGCATGGCCCATGGCCTTGCAGCTTCTTGAGGATATGGAGACGCAGGCGACGGAATTCGACATGGACGATGGGTAAACATCGTATACCTAGAGTCTCCATGACCCTTAAGAAATGGGTAATGACAGAAATGACCCCATTATTTTGGGTAATAAGCCGTTGTTCTAGGGGTCATGGAAACTCTAGGTAGGGCCCAGGTCATGTGAATCGGGGTGATTTGTCACGACCTCACAGGACCTCACCCCAAATGGTGGTTTATGTGGGGAATATTCCTCCAACCATCTTATTTCATGCTGGAGAAATATTATAATTCACCCAGATGTGAATGGGATCTGATTGATAAAGAACAGTTGTTGGGCTGCAGGTTAATTTGCGGGGGGAATTGCCAAACAGGACCGGTACTAACCACTAAACCACTAACCACTGTGGATCAATGTTGTTACAAACACGGCTGTCAACACCAGGAAGGAACTGCTTCATTTGGTTGTGCTTGCAACATGAACAAAAAGACTCTTTAGGTGCAGTTTGGATGCCGCTTTTGGCATCCCCTGTAAAGTAGCTCACGGAGGGTTATAAGAGTACCAAGGGGAACTTGTGAAAGAACCACGCAAAGCTGGCACATCCACACAATTTTCCAGCCCCTAAACAGGGGGTGCTAAATCATTGCCAACATGATTGCCCATGATCATGGGGCAATTTGGTTTCATAGTACCCCATAGCTCTCTTTGGAGCTACAACAGGCAACAAGGACTGCCCGAACCTCGTCCAAGCCTCCCAACCAAACCTTGGCAACAAATTACCCCTTGCAACCACTTTGGTGGTGCGTACATGACACTTGCATACATTGATAGAGCTATCACACATTAGAATTGGTTGTGATTTCTGTTCCCTTGATCCGTGAAGTCACACCTCGTTCCATGTTGATGCGGCTGTGGGTGGGAAAATGTTCACTTCGGCACAAACCGCACTTTCGACATCGCCCTGCAGGCCATCCAGCTGAACGAGGTTTGCTTGAGCGGGGGCCTCAAGCCTGTGCGGTGCCCACGTTACTCCCTCTTTGTTTGCGGAGGCCGTTTGGGATCTATGTTGATGACGGGGCAAAAGTCGGGCTGTGCTCATGTCCCCCTCAGGGTGGGCCCGCAGTAACTCCAGTTTGAGCAGAGGGATTCGTGACATGCCAATTGAGCTGGGGCACCGAGGGGTTTGGGACCCCACCAAGCTTTTTCGTTTGGGACCCTGGTTTTTGGCTTTGTGAATCTTTCCACTTCACCCAGATTCAACAGGGGCACGGATATTTGGGGAAGTCTACTTTCCTGTGCGTGAACATGGAATTCACCAGAGGGTCACTTGTGGCGGGAACTTGTCTTCCGAAATTCCAGGACCCTGCAGTCAGGTTCCATGTTTGTGTGTGGACGTGTTTGTGGCGTTTCCATGTTTTTATTCTTCCGCAAAATGAGGGAGTCTCAGAATCACGGGGTTTCCATGGGTTTTGCTGTGTAAATCCGAGCAACAGGTGGTTCCCCCCCAAATTCAGCCGCCCTAAGCCATGGCTTCCGGGCCTTGGCCCCAGGTGCCGTTGTGGCCTGTGCCCCTTGGCACATCGGCCTGCAGCTGGTGGAGGGGCTGGGCGAGCCAGGTGGAGCGGTGGAGCGGGAGCGGGGCGGGCGGGCAGGGTGATTTGCAAGCCTCGGATGCGAATGGTGTGTGTCACGGGTGTTTGTGTGTGTGTCTGCGTGAGTATTTTGAGGGAACCCTTTTTGGGGTGGTGTCAAAGGGACACAAAAGGGAAACGATGACCTGCCATGACGAAGAACAGGTGACTGATGAGCAGTGCCCAAAACCCCATTGGCCATTTTGGCAGGTTGTTTTACTCTAGCTGCATATAGGTCATATCAAGGGCTTAAAAGCCTTTGCACGCATTTGTCTGGCAAAAAACATTCCATGCTCCATAGCTGCTGTAATGTCAGGAGCTAGGCCTGGAGTGCAATCCCAACAAGGTATTTGATGTTGTTTCGGGTTGGGGGAGACGCCTGGCAGTGCCAAAATGAAAAGTCAACGGGCTGCTCTTTTTTTTCCTGGAGAGACATTCGCCGCAGGCTATGGTGCAGCCATCAGCGCCTGTGAAGGGGCAAGCCAGTGGGCGCCTTGCACAGTTGAGCTGGGCCCTTTGTGGCCAGGGTGCGAAGTAGTCCATGGGAACCCAGGCTTTTCGACCCCCCAATTTCTGTGAAACTGAGTGGGTGGCCAAAAAAAGCCCCCCCCCAAAAAAAAGCCCGTGACCGTTGGTTTTGAGCCTGGAAAAAGGCCATCCGTGGCAACTTGCTGGGTGGGCCTGCGTGCCTTGTACCAATCGGGTGGCAAATACCCGCAACTTTCCACAAAACCGTTGAAGGACGCTGACATCTTTTCAGGCGCGCTAAAGTTATTTTTAACCACCAGAGGGCTGTGGTGCAAACTAAACGCCATCGGTGTTCGGATGAATCAACACGGATTCATGGGGGGGGGGGGGCGCCCTTCAACAGTGAAGATTTGTATAGACAATGTTCGGATTCACATTTGTTATGTTGATGTCACCCAGACGCTCTGCTCCGCTTGTAGGTGCCGGCTTTGTGCCTGCTAAGCGACATGTCCAACATCCGCCTGGCGCTTCATACGGCGTTGGTGCCCGCACTTCGTGCGTGCAGCGCGGCGGGCAGGTGGCAAGAGGCGCCAGCTCGAATTGACACGTGCCTGTGCTTTTGTTGCCGTGGTTTCGCTGAAAGGGGCAGCTCCCCTTTGGTCTGCCATAGAAACTTCGCGAAGGATTTGATTTGGTTTGCAACCCAGTTAGCAGCCAATATGTCGGGTTCGAATGAACGGGTTCAGGCTTGCAGCAAAGGACAACGCGCGTAGCGTTCGAAAGGATCCCATTGATGCGATGCCACTTGGGCTTGGGTGCATGTTGCCAGGGGATGTTAGGACTTTCATGGACTTTCACTTTTTGCCAACTCATGGGTTTTCCGTTAAACCACTAACAAAAACACTCGCTTTTTAGCAGGGCTTCGCAGATTTCGCAAGCGAGTGGGCACCAGGCCCTGAGCCTCACAGAGCACCTGGCAGCTACTCCCGTGGATTTGGCGGCTGCCCTGGGCATCGGCCTCATGGAGTGTGAGCAGAGGCGGGCTCAAACCGGCAGCTGTGAGGCTGTGAGTGCGCCCAGCCTTGCTGGCTTCCATGCTGCCATGCTTTGCCCGTCGCGGATATCAGTTTGGTGCTATTTATGAACGAGCCGCGGGTGTCAGTTTAGTGCCATTTATGAACGAACACGTGTTTTGCTGTGTGAGAAGATCGGTTTAGATTCCACCCTTTTGCTTCTCCAAACTGCCAGGCATGCCCTTTTTCCCGGTTTGGATATCCGGCCCCGCTCTCCCCTTCATGGCGTTTCCCCGCCGTGTCACAATTTTCATCGCTCCCAAAGTGGAGTGGCCTATGGTTAGTAACCAGCCCTTCCCACTTACGAAGCGACCAAAGCGACAGTATGATGGTTCCAAGATGGAATGGGGAGGGGGTTGCCCCATGTTGCCCCTTGGAATTCCGGTTGTGTCTTCACATGTTACATGTTTCTCTGCCTCCCATGAGTGAAAGCATTAGCTACATGAAAGTATTTGCGTGGTACTGAAGGACAGCCTAAGGGCAAGGGACCGGGGGGGCCGAGGCAAATTTAAACAAAAGGGGCTCCTTGTTTAAACACATTTTGCAAGTGGTTGCTTCAACAATTCCGCAACGTTGCCCAGTTTAAGAGGTTTCAACAACCACCACTGTTTAAACTTAAGCCAACCTCCTTTTCCCCCTTCCATACGAACCAGGCGTTGGTTACCTCAACGCACGTTGCCCACCCCGGGACCCCTCGCAGGCACGCCATGGGCCCGGAGCGCGCGTTGCACCGGCGCCTGGCGGCACAGCCCATCGCGCCGCTGGCGCAGACGGCCCTGCGCTGGGCTGCGCGCCTGCGGGCGGCGCAGCGGCGCCAGGTGGGGAATTCATGTCTGGTCTTTCATGTGACCTTAGCCTCCTATGCCTTTCGAAAACAACTTTCTTTTCCACTAAGCCTGTAAAAGGTAGACCTTCGCTCAGGGGGAAGAGCAACCCACGTCTCTTGTGGGTGCCTCAGATGGTCTGGGTAGTAAGGGTTGCTGCTAAATCACAAGAATGTTGGATGTATCTATTGGGGAACGATTGGGGAACGATGTTGTGTCTAATTTGCCTCACCAGAATTAGCATTTCCAAGCAACAGCGCCACAAGGGGAAGGAGAAGCTTGTCGCACGATTGCCAAGCCTGCGGTTGAATACAGCTTCAAAACGGTACACTTTAAGGAGGGGAGTCCAATATGGCAATGACGTTTGAAGGTGAATGGTTGGAGCACGCTGAATAATGGCTGGTGGACTGAAAGCCGCTGCTAAGTGACGTCCACCAAAGCGCCCCCTCCTCAAATCAATACCCATGCAAGTTTGGCACCCCACCCCTGTCAGCTTGTTCAGGGGCGGCTCTTATTAGCGCATACTTTGCCGGTGTTCTGTCGCAGGCGCCGCTGGCGCTGGCGCCCCTGGTTGCGGAGCTGCAGCGCAGCCCCGCGGGAGGGACCTTGCCGTAGCATGGTCAGACTTCACTGACGCACCTGTTTGCCCTCAAAGGCCCTTTTGTTATTATTATGATTATTCTTATCATTTTATTATTAGTACTATTTGTATTCTTACTATTGCTATGTTTGTCGTTATTATTATTGTTTTGTCTTTTGTATGGGGTTTGTCAGGTTGGTGCACAAGAAAGCCAAAAGGAACACCACAAAAGGTTTGAAATGGGAGGCAGTCGAGTTTAGGGTACCAAGGTCCAACGAGGGGCTGTACTTTAACAACCTCCAACTCATTTGTTTGCTCCCTTACAGGCTCTTTTGGGTTTCCTTCATTTTCCCGCGCCCAAATGTGCAGACCGCGATTGGCATCATGATTCAACTTGGGGCTTGCCATCAAAAAATCAGTCTTAACCAGCAAAATATAAGCTTGTGGCTTGGGGTTGGATCAGTTGCCCAAGGTACCACCAGGCGGCAGCAATGCTGCGGCACGTAGTGTCGCAGGCGGGTAGGCGGAGGGGCAGGGGGAGGTTCACTTGAGAGCTTGCCTGGAAGCCCCTTGGCACGACCCTAAAACAGATACAGTATCAGTACCCCCCTTCAATCAAGTGCAGCCCCGAAACGCTTGCTTACCTTTTGCACTTCCCTTGTTAAGCAGATTTCAATAGGATGCCGTCAGACTTGCTTCATAGGGTTTGGTGTTGCACAAGGTAATGCAGGCTGAGATATTGGTGGGATCCGCTTTCGAATGAGATTTCGTCTGAATCTAGGCACATCTAGGCATTAGACCATGTAGCGTTCTTTATGTCGGTAAGCCCCGGAGGACGGATGCTCACAAGGCTCTGAACGGGCCTAGGCGCGGGCCTTCGATGTGGACAGCATCGTGAAAGCCTTGGATGACTTTGGCCAGGACCCGCGACAGGCTTTTGGACAGGCGCTCGAGACTTGTCTCCCAGGCCCTTGCCCGGAGCTTGAGAACGGCGCCATGGCCCATGCCGGTGTCAATTTGTGGTTGAAGTGTTCGCCCTTGCGCCCAATGAAACCGTCCCCCCAAAAAGGGCAGAAAGGATACTGGAAGCCGTCCCCAGGTATCCCCAACCTGAATGCGCTGGTTCTCAGGCATGCGAGGAATCAAATGCCATACTCGTTTGAGAGATGCAATTGGGGTAAAAAGCAAGCACTTCCCTGCAGAAACTACGCATGCGTTTGAAGAGAACCTTTTTCCTCAGGAGTACTAAAAAACACATATATCTTTCAAAATATCTATTTCAGAGGCCAAAGTGATTCAATACTTTCTTCTCTTTTTTTACGAGCTTATTTGTGAGGATTTCGACCCCCTTTCCGCCCCCCCCCCCGGCAGGACTTGGGCTGGGCCAAGTTCGCTGGAGGCGACAAGGGCGAGGCCATGGTCGCGGCCTTGCGCTGCTCGGCCTTAGCGGTGGCCGGTCTTGGGTCCAAGAAACTGCCACCGTTTCACCGGGGTCTCCTCCAAAAACAGATTTGGCCATGGGTCCAAAGCCAGCGAACATCCCAATCCCCACTAAAATGGACTAAAATGGGTGGTGCACCTACGCTATTGGTTTTGACCCACAGCCATTTATAGCAGACGAAATAGGAAGCAGAAGCATATTTGTTTGTGGTGCACTAGAGTTGGGCCAAGTTCAAAGGGAAACCCAAAGCAGCTGGTGTGAACAATACTTCGTGGGATATCTACTATGTGGGTGTCGTAAAGTTGAAGTGGGGTTCTCAAAGTCAGCCCTGGCTAGAATGATCGATGGCTGATTAGCTGCTTGAAGTGGTCGAGGGTATCTGGCCATTGCGCGAACTCAGGCGGGTGCGCTCCCATGCAGTCCGACCCGTGCCTTTGCCGAGCCTTAGAGCCGCCTATCTGGGCTTTTTATACTTACCTTTTTGGGAGCAAAGGTGGCATTTTCAAGGCGGAGTTCAGCTCTTGCCCTGTGATGTTTGTTTATTTCGTGTCTGAGAATCATGGTTGAGTCCTCTTTGTTCAACTTTTTCTTGGCCGGGTTTGCAGCAGCCCTTTGATTTCATGGGGGCTGCAAAGAATCCCAGCTGTCTTGTGGTGCCAGCCTTGAGCCACACTGCCGGATGTCCATAAGAATGGATCGATGAACCGTGTTTGGGCAAACTTGCTAATGAGCAGACCAATCGACTCAGATATGTTTTATCAAGAGGCACGTGTGTGAGCACAAATCGCACATGTTGCAGGACCGCTCGTTTTGAGTCGTGTTCTTGCTTGCTTGCTGTGGCCTGCCTGCGTGCCTTGCTTTCTTTCTTCCTTCCTTCCTTGCTTCCTTCCTTCCCGCCTTCCTCCCTCCCTCCCTCCCTCCCTCCCTCCCTCCCTTCCTGCCTTCGTTGTCCACAGGCCTCAGAAGTTCTTTGGCCATTGGCCAGGCTCCAGCCCTCTAGCCAGAGGCACGCGGGGGTCCTGGAGATCGGCACCTACTGGGGCAACTCCGCCATGCGCCTGGCCTCGGCGCTGGGGAAGGCGGTGCCCATCACCTCGCCCCGCGGCGGTTTTGAGCCATAGGCTTCTTGGGACGTAGCCAGCCTACAGATGACATGGGGACCCTGGAAATCTTCCTCCAAAACTACTTTTGTATCTTCGGGCAGGCTTGAATATGGAACAGAGCCGGGCAACCTATTTTTGTTTGTATGCCGAATCCGGGCCAAGTTGAAAACGGCACTGCCTCCCGGAATCTCGCGATGCACGGAATCAGCCGCCTGAGGTTAGAGCTGGATCCCGTTCACGTGGCCGTGGCGCGTTGCTTGTTGGCCTTCGCCGGGTGCTCCTCGGTCACCGTGTGCACGGGTCACAGCCAGCAGCTGCTGCCTCGCTTCTCCTCGTGCCAGGCAGGGCCCAAAGGCCCCGACTTTTCAGTCTTGCCCCTTACTTCGGCACCGGCGGTAGGTGCCAAACTTTGAAAGGAGGCATCGCTGCATGAGCTGGGGCTAAGACTAGCTCGGTTCAGGCTTTGGGTTCGGGGTTGCTTTGCAGCTCGGGCCACTGGCGGCGGTATCAAGAAGATTAGAAAACCGTTTGGCTCGGTTGTTTAATGTTTGTTGGTTTTGTGAGTTCTTGTTCTTCCCGCTGTTGGTCCACGGGTCTCTGTCTTTCAGGCGGTGCTCATGGACCGTTGGGGCTCGGAGTACGACGCCTGGAGTCACTAGTGCGACGTGGGGTGGTGGGAAATTGGAAATCCATTTCAGGTGACAACGACATATTGGCATCACAGAAGTAGGAGAGGTGATTTGTGCCAACCATGGTGGGCTTTCTGAGTTGTTTACGTTGGTGCAGCGGGCAATGGTGGACAAGTCAAAACGAGCTCACCCAGGACTTATCTGCCGTCAACATTGCAACGCACAAGGGGTGGGAAACCCTTCCTTGCAAGCTTCTTTTTTGGGGAAGCAATTGTTCGCTTCGGGGGATTCTTCAGATTGGTCTTCTTGATTTTGTTGTTGACTTTGCCCATGAGACTTTGATCGGCACCCAGCTACCTTGTTGGCAGCGGTTGGCTCCTAGGAGGAGGACCTTGACATGCTGCAAAAGCTGGGGCTGGTGAAGGAAGGCACCCTGGTGGTTGCCGACAATGTGCTCACCACGGCCGCGGCCGGGTACTTGTGGAAGACAGGCCCACGTGAGCGGCGCGCGTCGGGCGTTGAGAGCAGTCTGGTACACTTTGTGGGGGGTCTTTCTCCCTGAGTTCCTGAATTTGACCACTTTTTGGGGGCACCAACCAAGTCTGGGCTTCGTCTGACCAATCCACGCAGGAAGTGAGTTGCGGGAAGCCCAGAGGTTGTGATCATGCCGCGCAGTTGCCGCCCTGCAAATCCTCGGGCGTGCTTTTTTACGCTTTTACCTGTGGCTCAGACAGTTTCTTGCGCAGCCGCGCATAGGTGTGCCAGATTGAGTTTGGGTTTGGATTGAAGTCTTCGGTGTCAATATGGTGCGGACTACATGTGGTTCATTTGCCTGTTGGATTGGCTGGTGTGATCGCTTCGGCCCAGTGTCGCCCTCGCTTGCCAGGCCCGGAGTCAGGGGGACCAGCCCGGTTCGCCTCGGTGCTGGTCGCTGTGCAGGAGGTGGTGGACCAATCTGAGGACCCCGCTTTTACGTGTTCGGACCCGGTTTGGCACATGTGTCTGTGTGTGTGTGTGGGTGTGTTTGTTTGTGTGCGGGTGTCTTTTGAGGGGTTGCTTTTGTTGTTGAGTCGAAAAGGGGAAAGCGAAAGGAAGCCACCTGTTTTGGAGGGGTTCTCTGATTTGGGATAAGGCCATGTCAGTCTTACAGACAACTTGGGGCATGAACGTCAACTCAACTTAAAGCTCGTGCAGACTGCTTTACTTCGGACGGAAGAACAGCGTGGCCTGGTGTGCATTTGGCGCATTGCTTGAGGCAAGGTTCCCTGCTTTGTTTGGAGAATTAGCTTGTGGGATCTTGTGCGCATGGATGGTAGATATACAAAAACAAGCAAGCTGCACATGCACATGCTGAAGACGTTCGTGATGCTGTGGCCAGCAAGATGAATCCGGGCTTGAGGCCAGGGAATGCAAGCAAACCCGCTCACCGCTTGTTCTGATCGGGGCTTGGACCGATCAACACGCCATGTTGGCTGTTCCAAGGGTCAACCGAAAGCCTAAGGTCCTGCATATATAGTGTATATATATATATACATACACGTATCTACACATATGATATGTTCTTCATTTGCGACCCAGCTGCCCACGTGCAAGGCAGCCCCACTTCAAGAAGCAGCAAGCCCTGCTCATTCCAAGACTTATCGTTGGCTCTTGCGAAAGAACTTCTGATGACTATAGTATCTGCCCCCTGCAGGGTCTTGGACTCTTGGATCGGCTCCCGATCGGCTACTTGCGTTCAAAATCAATCCCAAACCCTCATGCCAGGCGGAGTATCTGGTTTCCATGTGTCACTAGTTTCTCACCAAAAACGGGAAAATCGGATTGGACACCTCGCCCCATTTGGGAAAATCGCTCGACCGCCTGGTGAGGACTGGCTCTCGGTGTCCCTGGCGCTCCCCGCCGCCGCCGCGGCTTCGGCCGCGGCTTCGGCGGAGCCGGCGGAACCGCCGCCGGGGCTGCGGGAGCTGCAGCGGCGCTCGGAGGCGACCAGGCGGCTGGTGGTGCAGAAGGGCGGCGAGGCCCTGGGCCGGGGTCTGGGGGCTGGTGACTGGGAACTTAAAGCAGCTTAAAGCTTTCATTTGGGCGGGTCTGTCGTTATTCAAACCAACCATCTGAAATGAATATGTCTTGTTCAAGCTTCCCCTCTTGGTTTTGAAGGGAATCGATTGCACTACTGGAACAAATAGAGTAGATATTTTTAGTCCAGGGGGCTGGCAAACAGAGGAAAGGGCTGGGAATTCCCTTAAAATCAGCCTGTCCACCGGAGGTCCGTTTTTTTTTTTTTTTTTTAGTTTTACTGGGTGTGCAATTAAGTGCCCACAAGTTCTCATAGTTTGGGCCGCTTTGATCCACGTGGACCACAGAGTTGCCTGCTGCTTGGAGTTGAATGCGACCATTGCATCAGAGGATAGTCACCGACAGGAGGTCTTTTGGGGGAGTTGCCCCCCAGGGCCGCGAATTGGGGAAGGGTGCGAGCATTGAGCCAGAGAGTGAATTTCATAGACCACCAAATGAAGAAACAAAAACACCGCCCAAATAGCAAACTCTGAAAAAACAAACGCAATTTCAGACTCGGGGGGGTGCAGGAGGCTGGGGAGAGGGCAAAAGCTGGGGGGGGAGAAGAGGGGAGGGGGGAGGGGGAGGAGCGAACAACATGCAACAACTCGAGGGAAAAGGCAAACAAAAAAACAACAAATTCGATACAAAACAAATTGGAGTCCGAGTTGTTCTTGTTGAATGTAGGTTTTGGGGCTGGGTGTTTCCTTGAGTCTGTGTCAGTTTTTGGCGTTTCATGCGGTACAGATCCTCTCGATAGACGTGCTCATAATGCATTTCTGCTACTTACTCCTTGTACACCCAGTTAGCAAGTCCTGGAAGAACATGTCCCTCCGCAACAGAGTCGCCTCGGTTGCTACGTTTGTGTGCCTCCATTTGCTTAATGATGTTTGTTATGTTCCCTTGTTGGTTTTTAGGAATTCCTCACTACTGGACTTTTTTATTTGTTTATTTTTTCCTGGGGCCTTAACCCCAATAGGGTCCTAACGGCAGGGTGGTCCAAGGCAAGTTATTTTTCCTCGGGACCAGGTGGCTGCAGAGGAGATGCCGCAGCTGCGCCGTGAAGCTTTGGAAGTGCTGGCCCAGCACGGCTTTGCGGCGGTGAACAAAAAAAGAAAAAGACACTCCGCGCCGGGGGTTGGCGAGGCTTGGGGCGTTCTTAGGGCTTTTGGTTTTTCCTTTCTTTTTGTTGGGGGGGCAGAGTTTGGGGTAGAGGTCAGGTGAAAAGGGGTCAAAGTACCTTCTCCGGAAGGTTCTGGCATTGGTGGCCCCCCTACCTTTGACCTTGTGGTTGTCCTGGTTTTGTTGTGTCGTCTATCCCAAAAGGGCAACCTTTCATTTCCAGGCTGTTCGGACCGGGGTATTTGCCCTCAATCCAAGGCCTCACTGGACAAGACGTGCAGCGTGGGACCTTCGCACATCGCCACTGCGCCGGGGACTCGGGCCCTGCCGGCGCCTTCCGGACGACCGTTTGCGGCAGCCTCCGTTGGAGCAACGCCAGCCCTTCCTCGGTCCCTGCGCCTGTTTGCTGCTGGCTTTGCTTGGTCAAGTTGGTTTAACGCATGGCGAGCCGAGGTGATCAAGGACCAAGCCAACGGAGCAGATTGGTGTCACCTTGGCTGCAAGTTTTCCGAACGAGGTGTCCAATCAGCGCATTGACTTCAGGGGGCGTAGGACCTGTTCCCGTACATTTGCTTTGTGTAGGCAACAGCGGAAGACATCAACCAACTACCGCCCACTGACGTTTGCCCCCCGCCCCCAGTGCCAAGCAGTCAAGCAAAGTGAGTGCCGTACCCGGCGAAGTTGAAACAACCGCCGAACATACCGGAACTTGTTTGGGCACAGCCAGGTGCCTAGCCTAGAGTCAGCACTCGACGCGTCCCTCCAGTGCCAGACATGTTTTGGTGAATTCGAGTATGTGGGGCATAGTGTATTGCACACTGGGCAGCGATCACAACTAACTAGACTTGGCGCTTATCTCCACAATACTCCTGATTATATAAACCCTTAGGTGCGGTGCTTAGCCAGAACTGGGACCCTGGCGAAAGGGTTGATTCGCGGTTCTATCCAATTCTTTTGCGCGCGAAGATGCGTTTCGGGGTTTGCAGTGTCAGACGCCGTCCCCCGAGCGAAATTGGGGACCAGCGGACAGCTGATTTGAGCTGGCCATACAATTTCGCCTTGGCCCACCCAACTTGTGGCAGTGCGAGGCTTCCTGAATAACCTGGACCTCGGGCCCCAGGAGGGGTAGGGCTTGTGGGAGGTCTGTGGCTGGGGTTGGTTCCTTCGAGCTGCTCTCGTTTTCGGGCGTCCGAAGCCCTCAAAATTCTTTGGCGGGGTGACATTCTAGGCCACCCGTACCTCCCAGAAAGGTTCTCGGAAGCCTTCTCTTACCATCTCTTACATAGAAAACGACACCGGCTGGAACATGTAACACTGCATGACTTCGCTAGTGTCGGCCAGGTGTCGAGATTCACTCGGCTTTCGGCGCCTAAATCGTTGCTTGTTTCAGTCTAGCAAGGGCTTTCATAGCAGTCAGGCAGGGTTGGGCAGCACATGCGCGAACAATTTCCTGATTCATCACCACTTTGAGGGTTCCTTTGGAGAGACAAACCGCTGGCTTTTGCGCTGACATATGGATGGCCCGTCCCCGATTGCCGGCCTGCCGTTTGTGGCCCGAGACAGTCAGCCCGGCTTACGTTTGCTCAGGGAAGAAATGAGCAAAAAGGAGGCCGGATGATCCGAGGCGACATGTCGGGTTCAATGAGAGAGCAGCCCCTGTCTTTCTGCATCGGCCGCTTCGCCAATTTTCTTTCTAACTTTTGCCATTTCGCATGAGTGGATAAATCGCGCTTGCGAGGCCGACGGAAAGGAGAATGGAAAGGAGAATGGCTTGCCAGATCTGGACCCGCTGGGCTCCTTGAAGTTTCTGCCACTGCTGATACTGGGTGTTGTTGTGCCCCGCATCATCGGCGGGGCGGTGGCTGTGTACATCTACAAAGCGGGAAACACAGAGCTTTACCAGCAAAACATCGCAAGCCTGGTGAAGGGTGAGCACGGCTACTTGTACGCGGCGGCCGCTTTGTTTGGAGCGATGCTCAAGCTGAGATGTTGACCTTTCTCGTTCCGATTGTTCAGTGGTTTTTGCCTTCTATTCCCCAGTAACATTCATAGTCACATAGTGGAATCAACCCGAAAAGGTTCCAATTCCTTTTCTACCAGCTGGCTGGGTGTTTGGGCCCATTTGGTCCAAGAGGGGTGACAGCTCATTCCTCGTTCTGCTTGCACCAAGGATGGTGGCATGGATCAACCAGTTCCCCATGCTTTACAAGCACATGGTCATGCGTCTGGGGTCCGGGAACTTGCGTGCCAATATGATGAGCCTTGGCGTTGACAGTCTGGGCACTGTTTTCGTTGCCCAGAAGACAGGAAAGCCAGTGAACAGGAAAGCCGGAAAGCCCAAAGTTGCATTTTTCGTCCATAGGTGAGCAAACGAGGTGGTTCGTTTCGCCGAGAGAATGTTTTTAGCTGCTATCCCCAGCCCCCTTCGGTCTTTTGCGATTTCCTGGCCTTCCGGTGCTTGTTCCTTGTTGGCCCTTGCACAACCCCATCTCTCACCGACCAACAAAAGCGCATCTAAAAGGGTAAAGCAGGGTCTTTCCACCAACCCAGTTTGACCGGATCGGTCTTTCGGAAGACTCGGGGTCAGTCTTTCCGCCAGACTCTTGGCGAGGATTTACAAAGAGATTGGCAAGGAGGCGCCCTATGTGGTGCTGGAGACCAAGGGTGCCGTGGGCGCTTACAACCGCGCCAACCGATCCCTGGGCCATTTCACGGAGCACCTCGGAAATCGGGCCAAGCGAGGGTCAGCGCTCGTGCGGGCGCGTTTGCCCCCCAAGTCGGAAAAGCGGGCGTAAAGTCATACAGTACGCAGTACTCAGTGGTACACCAGTTGTCACTTCCAAGGAGGTGGTTCGGGGATAAAGCCCTCTTTGAAGATGGTCCACGCCTTTGGCCTTTTGGCCGTGTTGTACATTGCCCTATGTGGTTGCTTTCTTCGAGTTTTCGCTCGGCTCTGACCAGCCGAAGTTTCGGAGCGCGGCAGGACAGCGCAGTGCGTTTGACTGCCTTTGTCCAGCAAGGTCCTGCTCACAAATACTGGCGAGCTTGCCTGTCCCTGATGAAGGCCACATGCTTGGTAGTGCAGATATGTTGCTTGCCTCCTTCTCTGCTCTAGCTGAGGAACGGCCTAGCCTTTGTCCTTTGCCTCGCGCCCCGGCTGCATCCAGACGAAGCACGACTGTGACTATGGGGCATCGACTTCGGCCTGTCTAGAGCAATGGCTAGCTAAACCGATTGTCCGCACCAGCTAGAAACAGTTCAACGGTCTTCACCGCATTCACCGCGCGTTTTTTTTTTTTTTGCATAGCCCGTGCAATGCCCGAGAAGATTCAGCCGCAGATCTGCAGGTGCTGGCAGGCGTCGTCTTCCCCCAGCCCTGCCTAGCCAGAAGCCCAGAAGGAGGAAGGGCTGAACAGGTATCGGCAGGTGAGTCTGGTTGTTGACGGCGTTCTTGCGTTGTGTTGATGTTAGCGTTTTGTTGGTATGGTATGCGGTTCTAATGTTTTGTATTTGTTGATATGTATGTATATACATATATATATATATATGTGTGGTTTTGTCTATTTGTTTGTATTTGTATATTATGTGTATGGGTTCATGTACGTGCAGATAGCCATGGTGTTAGTCTTGTTTGCTGTGTGTGCATTTGTAGTGGTTGCTTGCAGTTGGTGTCCGTAGGTTGCGTTGTGCTTTTTCAGGTTTCAAGTCATTGTGTTTGTGCTCATGTTTTGGGGAGGGGTGGGCGCTCCTATTTTTGGTGTGTTTGCCCTTTGGTTTGTGGTAATATCTGCGAAAGGTTGGCAAGGTGTGGAAGAGGAGCATTCAGCAGACGTTTGCAGGATGGCCATTCCCAGCCCGAGTCTCGACATTTCCTTGAGGATCTTATGCATTTCCCTCTGTTTTGCGTATTCACTGGCACCCCAATGGCACTGTTGGTAGTAACGTGTAAGATGTCCGTGAGAAATTGCAAGAACACAAATCCAACATGAGGTTAGGTCAATATGTCTCACTAGATATCCCACCAAAAGCCAGACGACTCAATAAGTTTCCCGTGTCCTCTTGAAGTAATTTTGATTGATTTGACCTTGCCTCAGCCGCGAAGCCTTCGTGGAGACAGTCACAGACTGCACACTCAACTTGTTGCAAATTGGGCGAACCTGACCTAGGGAAGCTTCAGGCAGTTGCTCTTCCTTGTTGGCACCTTTTGGACACTTTGACTGGAGGGTTTAATGATGGCCTTTTCCCTGAGAATGCCCGCGTTAGGCAGTTTGTGCAGATTGTGTTGGCTTGGCTGCCTACACTGCTTTCTTGCTCACTTGCCGACATCTGCATCATAAACACATTGACCTGAAGCTTGCCTTTACAATTCTACAACGTACCTCGTGCCCTCTGTCGGGTGAAATTCTTACGCTTTTGCCAGGGCCAGGCAAAACAACGCGCTCATATCGAGTTCCCGGCACGTTTCCGAGATGCTGACCGCCAGCTTCTGCCTGGGCCGTGTGGTGCACCAGATGGGCTACGCCACCGCAGGCTACGGGGGACATGCCATGGGCTTCCTCATCGCCAGCCTGTCGGACGCCTCAGCCCAGCAGGGGCCTCGGAGCTGGGCAGTGCTTATGGTAGAAGCTGCTAGGGGCTGTTCAGTTTTTTCCCCCCTATTGGCTTTTTAAGGGAATCTATCAACACTGGAAAAGAATAGATACACTTGTTGGTTTTCCCTGTTGATTTTTAAAGGGAGTGTGATTCTTTGTTTCCCCTGTTGGTTTGTTTAAAGGGAATCTATCACTACTGTAGATGTGTTTTTGCTTGTCCTTTTTCCAGGGGGCTTTAAGCAAACGGAAGTAAAGCTAGCTGCCAGGGTCGTCAAGAAAGTAGTCATTAAAGACGCTTTTGTGGGCAGGGCTGCGTTGTGTATTGCTTGGACTTGGTACCCATGTTGTTTTTGCGACTTTCAGGGCAGCCAAATGTAAAACCGCACGTCTTCTTTTTTTCTTCCGGGCTGTAGTTTGAGATAAGCCCAGATAGATTGGCGACAGTTGGGATAAGTAGATGCCGTCCACATAGATCAACACCACAAAGGGTTCTTGGCTTCTTTTCTTCTAGCCTACTTTCATTGACTGGCGGAACCCTGCTGGCACTGAGGACAAAGAGAGCTTTGGGCACAAACCGACCCTGTAATTGTTAAAGAAGACAACTCTTGTGTGGGGAGGCTTGAGGGATTCCCCAAATATACTCCTCGCGTGACCCTTACATACACCATATTGCAGACTGGCGAATAGAGCTGAAAGGGTATGGTTGGGCCTAGGGGACGGCGGTTCTTATCCCCTCATGGGCCAAAATTTGGCCACCCTCCAACCAGCAATCGCGGAAGTGGAGAGGGCGTTTGAGGAGGGTCTGCTTGGTCAGCATCCTTCAAACGACGCATTCCAAGTTTGACTGAAAATAGGGGTACCCCCAAGGTCGTTTTCCTTCGGTTTCCCTTTGAACCAACTCCAAAACGGGTACCCTCCAAAGACGCACCCAGCCAGCCACCCACCCAGCCACCCAGCCACCCAGCCACCCAGCCACCCAGCCACCCAGCCACCCAGCCAGCCAGCCAGCCAGCCAGCCAGCCACCCAGCCACCCAGCCACCCAGCCACCCAGCCACCCAGCCACCCAGCCAGCCAGCCAGCCAGCCACCCACCCACCCACCCACCCACCCAGCCACCCAGCCACCCAGCCACCCAGCCACCCAGCCACCCAGCCACCCAGCCACCCAGCCACCCACCCACCCACCCACCCACCCACCCACCCACCCACCCACCCACCCACCCACCCACCCACCCACCCACCCACCCACCCACCCACCCACCCACCCACCCACCCACCCACCCACCCACCCACCCACCCACCCACCCACCCACCCACCCACCCACCCACCCACCCACCCACCCACCCACCCACCCGACGCAGGATGCTTTGCGCACTGGTGGCGCTGAAGTCCTTGGGCTACAGCAGCCACGTGAGTGAACTCATCCGAGTGGAGCTCTAGGAGCACATCGACGATGGGCCGAGCGCAGCGAGGGGTTTTCCCCCTGTGCCCTGTTCATACAACCCGCTGGCTGGGTTACTGTAGTGTTGCTATCCAAGTAGGTAGGCATTGGCCATGGACCAGTAGCGACAAGTGGCCATTAACTGGTCCGTGCCCAGGCGACTGGGAACACGGACGTCACGGCCCCTTGGAATACGTCAACTGCAGGACGCTTTCATTGATCTTAGCGGGAAAAGGAAGTCAACATTAAGGCATTGGATGTGAAAGAGGATGTATGCTAGGATCGCTTTGCAAGATTGGGCAACGTCCCAGAGACAAGCACGACAAAAAGGCGGCCAAAAAGGAGCGGAGTGGGTGTGTCTCGGTGCCAACAACACCGGCAAAGGCAGGCTCGTTTGCATAACTGAGCTGTCTATCATGGAACCCACCAAAACGCCGTTTTTGGAGGAAGTTGGTCCCGCTAGTGGGTAGGCTAAGTGGGCTAACGATTTCTCTCGGAACTTTGATGAAGGACGGGACAGGGGTCCTATTTGCATTGGAGACCCACCCAACCTGCTTGTGGTTTCCAGTGGTTTTCCTGCAGATATGGATTGTGGATTGAATCTTAAACACTCACTCCCTGAATTCCTGGACTTCAGAAACTTTTTGGGAAGACTCTTTTAGTGGCCAAATAAAAAGGTTTGACTTTCTGTGACCCGTCCACTCGGGAAGTGAGTGTTTTGGCCGCTCCCAGGCTTTAGCCATATTTAGCCTTTTAGGGTTTAGTGGGGATTTGCATTGAACCCACTGAAAGTTAAACCTTTAGCGGACCTGCCATTCTGGATAGGCAAAACCTCCATCTAATAAACAGGAATGTCTCCTGATGTTTTTTCCAGGAGAACTTCATCGCCCGCAACTCCATCCTGGCGGAGTACGCCGTGGTGGGCTTCGAGCTGGGCTACAGCCGCCCGGCGAGCGTCTCACCGAGCCGAGTGAGGCCATGAGGCCACCCCCACGTATGGGGCGCCATGAAATGGGCACGAGGCTCGACGAGGTTCGACGAAACGGTCTGTTTTAAGCGGTGTTCTGCCGTGAAGGCCAGTTTTTGGATGGTGTTTCAAGGGCAATCCGATATTTGGAGGGGTGTTTGTTTTGTCTTTGGCCTGCTGTTTGCACCAGCCTCAAGAAAAGGGTACCCTCAAAAAGGCACCCTGTTTCGCCCTTTTTCGGTTTTCTAGTGTTCGTCAGTACCGCAGTGATATTTCCCAAAGGTTGGGCAATCATCACACGGACAAGCGGAAGTTGTCCGTGGGCCATGGGCTAGAACCAGCTTGTGAAAAACTGGGGCACCTGCGTTTGGTAGAGTCGTTTTCTCAGTGAAACAGGGGCTTAGCTTGCGGCATCCAAGGCTTCACTTTGATCTCGTTTTCCTCTTGTGGCTTTCAACTTGCTCTGCAATGTCAACACAGCCACTTTAACTTTCCTAGAAAGCAAAGATGCGGAGGACCCAAGATTATTAGGGGGGTGTTCCCTCCAAAATTGATGAATCCACACTAAAAGGGGACGGCCCCCTATTAATCAACCAGGGGTTCTGCTTACTCCGGGGTCAACATCTGCCTTACGCGAGGCTACGAGAACCCCACCGCGCTGGTGGTTTGGGAGGCGCAGTTCGGCGACTTCGCCAACACCGCCCAGGCCGGTGGCCGACGGGCCCTTGGGTGCAGCTTCCCAAGGGCCGTTTGGCGGTTGAAACCTTCAACCTTCCCAAACAAAACCCCAAACCCCACGACTTTGACGGGGAACCTTGCTTTTAGCTTTGTGCTCACTTCCTGAGTTCATGGACTTTGAACTTTCTGGGAAGACCAACTTGGTGGCAAAAGTGTTGACTTTGCTTGGCCCATCAACGCGTGAAGTGAGAAAAAGGGGTGGTTTGTTTTCATGCTCGAACGCGCAAAACAACAAGGGGGTTAGAGGCTGCCACGGAGCAAGTGAGTACGCGCTGAGGGAGCCTTTGCCTTTTCCTTTTCCTCATGGGCTCAACAAAAACACAATCTGGTCCAAAACCCACGCAAATTCAACGTTGATCATGGCACGCGGTCTCCGTGGCTGGCAGGTTTCTCCCGAATCTCGAAGACAATTGTGGCACGATGGTATCGCATCAAGTGGCTATGAATTGCAATGTTCGAACACCCTCAACAAGCATTCCAACTAGAATCCATACACACATTTGGACCGCTTGGGCTGCCCAATTTCGCAGGACTACGGAATGCCAAGTAAAAAAATAGTTGTCCACAAGGGGGTGGATGCGTGTCAATGCTGCAATGGCAAGTCGGATTGAAGCTGATTTGTTTTGCTACTTCTGCCTACTCCACATTTTGCCAGCTATCAAGTGAGCCACAATCAACACCCCCGACCGTAAATAGGTGCGGCCGCCTTTTTAGTGTTGGATGAAATCATTTGGCTTGCAAGTCTTGTGTGATGTTGCAGCCAGAGCGTGCAAGCTTCGGTTCTGACCGGATCTGCATGTCCAGAGGCATCAGATACCTGTTTCCCATTTGGCTTTGGTGGAGTCAACCGCCGACAATGTGTCGGATGCTTTGGCTACCAGGATCACTTAGCCACTGAGGAGACGTTATATATATATATATATACATAGTATGTATATGATGTTATTTGCATACGGCGACAGATTTCTTGGCTTGGCGAGGTGATGACGGACCAGTTCATCTCTGCGGGCGAGCACAAATGGTTGCAGCAATCTGGACTGGTGATGCTGTTGCCACATGGCTCCTGAGCTAAAAGTTGTGAACATGCCGTCAGGGATCTGACTGTTTTTTAAGCAAACTATGCACACGCGCGCAAGGCTCAGACCATCTCAAACATGGGCACGCTGTGATATGTGTATGTGGGCCTAGTGATGTGCACAGCTTCCAAGGCTACATGGGCCAGGGTGCCGAGCACTCTTCTTGCCGCATCGAGCGGTTCCTCCAGTCGAGCGACGACGACGAGGCTGGGGCGTGTTGCCGTTGCTTTGTTTCGGTGTATTAGGTCTAAATATTGCGAGCGAGCCATTCACAACTGCAGCACCCGGGCAACGCACATGAGTGGGTGTCCCATGTTCCCTACCTGCAAAGAATTAGGACAATCATTTGTAGCGCTGGCACGTGTCCTCTGTTTGTGTTCCTTTGGGAACCATGACCATGACCATGAGCCGCAGAAGGTTGGCCTGAGTTCCCGGGCTTGCTCAGCTTGGGAGGATTTTAGTCTTGAATCCACACAATAAGTGGGACAAAGCTGCGCTGTGTCTCTCTAACACCACCCCCAAATAGGGGCACCTCTCAAACAAAGACGCCCCCACTTGGGTTTGGTTCAAAATAGGGGAGCCCGCAAATTTGGGTGGTTTGGGAGGTTTCCTTGGGGTTTCCCTTTCTTTCTATCCAACAAGGGTACCCTCCGAAAGACGGCCCCCGTGACTCGCGTGTTGGACGCAGGACGACATCCCGGACTTCGCGGATGGCTTCGGACGCCGCCAGGTTCAGAAGGCCAATTGGCAGGCCAGAGGGCCCAAGGGCGCAGAAACGGATATGGTCTGCAGGATGAGTGGTTGTCAAAACCGTTTTTGGGAACCCATTTTGGTTGGTAGGTGTAGGTGCACCACCCATTTTAGAACCTATTTTAGTGGCAATTGGGATGTTCACTGGGGGTACGGGATTTTGACCCATGGCCATACATGAGCTTGTATGTACGTTTGTACGTATACGAGTACGTATGTGGCCACACCAAATTATGTGTATATGTATATATATATATATATATTTGTGTATGTGTGTGTGTGTTTACCTATATGTATACATATATAGATATGTATATAAACGCGACACAGGCACTCAGTTACGTGTGTCCACACAACAAGTATGTGTAGCGCGTACATATAATATGTACATGTGATTACGTTTGTAAATGTAGCGGTTTTGCAGCTGCACCATGCCTATTCCGTTTCTTCCGCTTCGGGCCTTCGGCTGTGGGATTGCAGGAGGGTGTTGCCATAGCTCTTGATGTTTGTTTCCCTTTGGACTTCGGGGTTGCGAAGCTCGAGGCACTGCCAGGGATACAAGTCCCGCAGCACCAGCCTAACAACTCGCAAACGTTTCCGAGTTTCTGCCGACATGCTACAAGATGAGAAGGTGTAAGTTGAGGAGGCTTGGTGGCTCAAACCATATTTTACTGAAACTTACGCTGTTCAAGTAGGCTGTCAAACCTTCTGGCCCAACCACGCCCATTGCCCTGCGAGTCCTGGACCAGGGTTGCGCCAGGGGCAAATGATGTAGCGGTTCAGGTCCCCGCACAAGGCGCTACAACTTTGGCCAAAGAGAATGTACAGAAGCTCCAGGTTTGAGTCGGGCTTCCTTATGATTTCTTTTGCGCAAGGAGCTCAAGCAGCTAAAGTGAGCCGCGCAGGCCTTCTCAGCAGCTCAGTTGGGGATGTCCTTTTCACCATTTTGAAGGTAGATTCGAGCATGTCATTTTGTTGACCCAGTACAAACCAGTAGATGCGTATGTCGACACTTTTATGGTTTTGCCATAATCTAGCTAGCCCCGATGGATCTTGAGTGGTTGTGCCCTGTGCTTTCGCCCCTTTTCATGGCGGGGGTGAGTTTGCGAGATCGACGCAGCCACAGACGGCAGAGGTTCCTAATTCATCCTGTTGGGATGGTTTAAGCTTTTCTGTTCGTTTAAGTGAGCTTCCTCTTGGTTGTTCAGAAACATACCAGGGCCCCCTTCCCAAAGAAGCAAAGAATGCGACACATACTCCCCTCTCCCCCCCCAAGCAAAAACAAGCAAACAAAAAACAACAAACAGAATGACCCCGACAGATACCCCCTTCCGCAGACACAGAACCCCCTTCCGCAGGTCATGAACTTGTCCACGCCGGCGAACTACTTCCACGCCCTCCGGCGCCAGCAGCACCGAGACTTCAGGCCGGGGAGGGTCTGAAAGCTAAAGCCTGGTGAAACCTATGGACATCGGTGAGTTTCAACATCGATTCTAGGCAGTCACCTTCCAAAAAGGTCTTGGTGAGGCTTGGTTTTCTAGGTGTGGTTTCAACATACGTCCTTTTTAGGTTAGCTTGGGTGAAAATAGAAGGGTTCCACTGGTTTAGATTCGACTTAGATAGGTTTGTTCCATTTACCAGGGCCATCGATTTTTTCAACAGGACGCCTAGCTTGCGGATCCTTGTTGGCAGCTTGAGTTGTTGTTTTAACAAAGGTTGGGTTTGAAGGGGCCCTGTTGTTCTTTGTGGCTGCAACAAATCCGAACCTGCTAAAAGGCAGGAACTTCTAACATTAACACGCCATGTAGCTTAGCTGGGTAAGTTTCTGTGACATCTGGCGTTGTTTTTCTTTTATTTTTCAATTTGTCCAGAACCCCCTGTTCAACACCCACGTCAATTTTCAAAAATGTGGAAACGCTTGGGACGTAATGAATTCTTGGTGTTTTCAAGCTGTGGGCCATTATTGCGCCCAAGCCGGGTAGTTGGGAACTTGATCCAAATCCTAAAAGCTGTCCTCGGGGTCCACGTGCACATGTTTGGTTCGGCTCCGCTTCAGCCCGGATTGTTTTTGCCGCGTTTTGCCATTTGTTTCGGGCTTGCCAGTCCGGCTGGGCTGGTTTGCCACAACCTGTTGGTAAATCTTGCCTGAACGCATGTGTTTCTGTGTTTCTGTCAAGCTTGACTTGCAGTTTCGATATTAGTGGTTCACAAGCGTGGCACTTCTGGCAAACGCTGCCATCTTTCGGTCAGCCCTCTTTCAAGTTTCTCATGCCACATGGCAGTGTTTGTTCTTGTTGTAGTGATGCCCGAACGGTGTAAATTAAGGAACTTCGGACTAGGGACCTCCCCATTTGAGACCGCCCCCCCCCCCCCACCATTCAAGGGTCGGGGAAGTTGGTGACCTTGTGATGGGACATGGCGTTCCAGCTTAGCCAGGAAGCCGATGGTCGTGGCGTCCCCCAAGAACCTCTTCCGCTTGCGGCAATGTGCCTGTCCGAAATTCGTGAGGCTGACGGGGGCAGAAGTAATCCAGTTGGCATTTGGATGGTTGCCCAATATGGGTGCGAATGTCGGGGCCAACCAAATTAATGTAAAAAACAGGCATTGAAAGGACCAGTTGCTTCTTGCTGCAGGGACCGGTGCAAGCCCCGACGGAAACCGACCTTTGGGCGCAGTGAGGTAAGACATCCTGGCAACAGCAAAAGGGAAAGAGGACCCTGCGGCGATTGGTTCTTTTGTGTTTAGGGGACTGTGATTTGGTCCAAAGAGAAGTCGGACTCGAGACACTCGAGGCGTGAGCCCCTTGGCTGACATGGAGTTGGACACACGCTTCCAGCGCCTCATCAACGAGCGTGACCCGGAGATTGCGGCCCATCCAGACAAGGCACGCCGCGGGCTCGCGGACCAGCGAGAAAACTGGAAAACCCGAAGCTGCCAGCGCCAGTTTTGAGCTGAGTATCAAGGGGACATCTAGGGTTTCGGGGTCTCAATTCAATCCAGATCTTCCAATGAACCTGCACACAGGCATAACCAAGATTTGGGTTTGGGTTTGATTCCCGCAGGTGAGGAACTTGCGCAAGTCGTTCGAGAATCCTAATGCCAAAGGCCAAGTGTGTTGCATCTTGCCCTCCCCAAAAAGGGAACGGGAGAACCCACATGTCTAAGGCGCAGAGGGGAGCGTGCCAAGGGCGGTGGTTCGAACGCCGCTCAGCTCAGAAGCTTTGGGCTCGGGGCGCGCGCCCGCGCGCCCGAGCCCTCCAAGCGCGGCCATGCGCGCAGCATGCCGGGCGCGGCGGTCCCTGCAGCAGCTGAGGGCAGGTGGGAGCTGGGCCTCCCAAGAGACGCCGAACCCCAACGTCTGGAAGTTCGAGCCTCGGCAGCTGAGGGCATGTTGGGGTGTGCTCCAAAAGCGGGAGTCGTGTTTTTCTAGGGGGTGATTCCTTTTCCATTCTTTTCAACCATCGTTTGTTTCCAAAGCCAACTGTTTTTCCTGTTGTGTTTGATGGTTTCCTGAACAGAAGGGATCCCTGGAAAGAATAGGGAAGCTGCAACTGGAATTTTGGGGTAGGCTAAACATTCACCAATGAAAGCTATTTGCTTGTGCAAAACCGCACCTAGGGCCCCCTTTTTTCCCATGAGGCTTGGGATACCCCGTTCTTCACGAAACAACCCTAGCTAGGGGAATGCGTGATTTAAGGGACTCACCCGGCTTTAGCGCCCACAGAACCAGCAAAATGATACTTCTCTGTGGAGGAGGCGCCATGTGGTCAAGATGATTCAAGATGGTTCCCACTACCCAACAGCAAAAACCGGTGTAATTATATACCGTTTATAGTGTCTTTCTATGGTACAGCGTGCCAGCCACCCCCTCTCCAATCGCCATGGGCCAGACAAGTAACCCCTCCCTTTCTGGGGCCAGGAAAAAAACTCGGGGCCACCTTTTTTGTGGCTGTATTATCCCACAACCGCCCCTACCCTATGCTTCCTCGACTATTTTTTAAATAGGGGTTGTTCAACCCCTATTTTTTGCATTGACAACCCCTATTGTTTGACATTGGCCTTTGGGGTCCATTTTGGGTTGTTACTTTGTTTGTATTGAAATTACGCCTGCTATTGCAACCTCTCAAGAAGCCTTGGGAGCCAGTAGATTACTATTTATTGATAGGGTCCTCGGCGCCCTTTCGTGTTTGCACAATGCACCTGCTGAAAGTCTTGCGTAGACGGGGCCTTCATTCTAGCAAATTCTAGAATTTTCCTCTGCAATTTGCGCAGGTGGAACGAACAACAAGCAATTGTGTGCTTGTTTTTTTCCGCTCCAATCTTCACACAGCTCCAAAAACGATGTGAGCGTAGACAAACCGTAGACAAAGCGTAGAAAAACCGTAGAAACACCATTTTTTGGCGTAGAACCACTATTTTTTGGCGTAGAACCACTATTTTTTGGCGTAGAACGACTATTTTTTGGCGTAGAACGGGCAAATTTTGCAGGGGACCCAGAAGATCAACATTCTCACCCTGGAATGGTTGCTGTAAAGGGTAAATATTTTTGCTGTCCCGTTTTGCTTGGTTTGGCTAAGAAGGTGGGGCAAAAGAAGGACAGAAACGGTCAGAAGAGGATTCACCCTCACGCGCTACATGGCCATGTTAAGAAACCAAGCAACAGAGAAGCCAACATTAGCCTTGAAGATTATAACACATATTGCTGCATATGAAAATACCTGTTCGGCTTTGGGATCCTATGAGGCGGCCTTGGCGTCAAGTTTTTCCTACTCCCGTTCCAGTCCTAAACGGAGGCTGCCGCTCGTCATCAAAAAATAGTCTTTATCAAAAAACCGGGGTTGTCACAACGACTATTTTTTTAATAGGCTTTGGAAGCATAGGGCCTAGGCGTGCGGTTTGGGCGGTTTCCATCGGACAGCGTCGCGACCATCTCAGCGTCAGGAGGGCGGCCTGGTGCCCCACGAGGCGCCAGAGCAGATCCGCGCGCTGCCCCACGTGCGGGACGTCTTGGTGCACGAAGGCCGTTGGGAGTCCGAGCGGCGGGGCCCGTTGCAACTTGCCTTTCGGGGAGCCCGGGCGGGTGGTTTTTAGCAGGTTTCGGGGGGGGGTCGTAATGTTTGCCCTGGATTAGTTGATATTAGTTGATTCTTGCGGGGTGCCCCTGCAAGAGGCGATGCTCTACTTTTGGTTGTGGGGGTAACACGGCCCCTGTTCAAGTCACCGAAGCCTCTCCTTTGTTGGAAAAGCTGGGCATTTAGGCATTTCAGTCCGATGCACTTGCAGAGGCTACACGAACCCATGGTCTTTGAGTTGCAGCGGGTGGGGAGGAACTAGTCGAAGTTGAGCGCTTCTCCCTATTCTCCTTTTGATTCGCTGCTCGGTTCACCCTTTTACCCTGAGGGTGAGCCACAGTGAATCAGAAGGGATCATCCATTTGTAGGAGTTTGCTTGTATTTTGATTGCTTTTGGATTTTTCTTATTAAAATATCTACCCCCCCCCCCCCCCCAACTTTTTGCCACCTCACAACTCTCCCTGCGCGTGCGAGCGCGTGGGCGAGCCAGGAGGGGCCTGGCTGGCGGTGACGCGGCAGCCGGGCGCCAGCTGGCAGGCCTTGGCCCCACAGGCGAAAGGGTCGCGCGTCACGGGCAACGAAACCCGAGGCCACAAAAATCCACAAAACCTGAGGCTGCGCCTTGCGGATTTGTTGGGTGAGGCTACAGCTTGCTTAAAAAGGAAATCAGCAGGAAAGCCACAGTTTGTGGGGTTCGCATTTTGTGAGGCTACAGATTTCGGGGGTTCTGGGTTTCTTGCGAAGCTGGTGGCCTCTTCAAAGGAACTCTGTATGGAACCATGGTATTTTCGCTATCCATTCAGGCGGTTTTGGAAGGAGCGGTTTCTTGCGGGGTTTTGCGAGGTTTTGGGCTCCTGAAGCCCTTCTCGGCTGCTTGGGACATCACCTTTTCAACTAAGTCTTCTTTTGGGGTTGATACAAAGAACCTCGTGAGTCTGAGTGGTTTTCGCCCTCCCAACATGGAAACGTGGCAGGTCCGAGGCAGGCGCTGCTCCCAAATGGATGTGCAAAAAGTTAGGGGTTGGACCACTGAAAACCCGTTTTAATCCAACTGCCTGTGGCTATGTGCATTTTGGAGGGATCAGACCGGTGGCATATTTATGTGGGGGGAGGGCTCCCTGAAAAGACTCGATCACAGAGGTTGGCTTGGCAGTTAGGGAGTTAGGGGGGCAACCAAAAGAGAAAGCCATGTCACACTTCAAACTGGACTAGTCCCTGATTCTCGCATGGACAGAGGATGACATGTCGGGTTGCCCTGTCAAGGCAAAGGAGCCCACTTCGGCTGTGTTGGAAAGGCCGGTAAGAAACAACACGAGGGTATCCTTAAAATCTATTTTCCAGGCTAAAATGGGCTATGAACTGAATATGTGATTGTAGCCCAAGTAAAAATCCTTCAAGGTTGCACCAAGACAGCAGTTGTTGCATGATGGGCTTGTCATCGCGGCAGGTACAGCAGCTTTTGCAAGAGCTACCGGAGCCCTCGGCCGTGCAGGAACTGCGCAGTTTGCGCATTGCATGGGTAAGACCAGCTCACCTAGGCTCACTGGTATAGGGATCCAATGCATTCTTGTTTCAGGTGCTTCTGCAGGCTGTTGCTCTGTTCGTGTGCAAAGATCGAGCTTGGACCTTCAGCATGCTTGATCGGGTACCAGGTCACCAGTCCCTACACTCGCAAATGCACGCACGCCCAAGCAAGTTGAGCAGACAGGCGTTGGTTATGGAGCCCATGAAGGCTGCTGATTGCAGGCCCACGAGCCATGAACTCAACACTACAGAGTTTGCAGATTCCGACCTGGCAGATTCGTACTACTACTTTCCAGATGCAGTCCATTGGTTCTACCGCCAGGCCGCCCGCTGTTTCCAAACGAAATGCTCGGGTCGCTTGGGCAACGTTGAACGAACAAGCAAAAGGTACACATCACAAGTGGCGAACTGGATGTCAGAGGAAGAAAAAGAAAGAGAGAGAAAGGAAGAGAAAGCACAAAGAAACAAAGAGATACATTTCGCCCAAGGACAACCTCTCTGTTTTGCCAGGAGCCGCTGGAGAAGGGCGAGGTGGGCGGTTTGGAGGAGGCGGAGGAGATCTTGGAGGTGTTGGAGCACCGGATCCGGCCCTCGGTGCAGGCGGATGGTGGGGATGTGCAGCTGCAGGCGGGGTCGCTTTGGTCGGTCCGACTTCGATCGGTTGGGCCAAATTGGACGACTTGCCCAAAACGGATCTTTCTTTTTTGTGTTTTTGGACCCTTTGGTTTGTCAAGTGAGAGTTGGATCACGGCACGAAGGAGTGGCTTGCCCAACACCGGCCTTTTCACCTTTTTTTTTTTGCTGTGTGTTGGCCTAGTGGGACTGGATCGGCTTATGGAAGCGTCCAATGAGGTGGGTTGGACACCGCGCAAATGACCTGTTGTCCTCCATGCTTCTGTCATACACACACCCAAAATTCTCTTCTGGTTGGCCTCGGTTGTTTTTCTCAAAGTGGTTATGCCTATCTTTCTGTGAACCCCTATGTTTCCCCCCCCCCCCCCCAGGGTAAGAACGGACACTTCGGGGCATTTGCAGGCTCAATCCCGTACTCAGAGGGAAAAGGTACACCCTGGGATTTCACCTTGTTCCCCGACTAATTCGTTCTAAAAGGAACTAATTTGATCTATTTCGATTGATTTTGCTTTATTTTGATTTATTTTGATCCATTTGCGGCTTGTGTGGGGCATGTCCAAGAAGCAAGAACCCATGTCTCCCGTATAGTTCAAACACCCACGTGTTTGTTTCATCGCCAATGCTTTCCTTTCACGCTTCGGACGGATCGATGTCGCAAGTCCTACTTTGCGAGTTTGCCTTTCTTGGTGAAACAGGAAGTTTTGAGGTGGTCCCCACCTCGACATTTGAAGCTTTTGGACCCCAACAATCCCCCCAGAAGCAAACAGCCAAAATCAATCAAAATAATTCAGGAGTTGGGTGTAATACCTTTCACCCAGCGGTATTTGAGGATTTCCAGGACCCCTCAACCCCAACAATTCCCCCAGAAGAAAAGCAGCCAAAATCAATCAAAATAACTCAGGAGCTGGGTGTAATACCTTTCACCCAACGGTATTCGAGGTTTTGCAGGGTGTTTTTGGACCCCCCGAGACACCCCCCCTCCAAATTGGGAATTACTTTGCGAGTGAAGCTGTCTCATGACACATTGGCGACATCCCCGTGGAGTTGTCAGACTGTTTGTTTGGCGCAGCTGAGCCGCTAGATGGCAAGGATTGTTCCATTCAGCCCAATAGATTGGACCCACTCTCAATGGATTTTGTAAGAAGAAAGTCAAGCGAAGAAAAGATAAAACAACATAAGTCAAAATAAGTAGGAATGAGGGTGTAATACATTTTTCCTCTGACGTACAACCCAATTCACTTATAGAATTAGCCTTCAGTGTCCATTGTACGAAGGGCTCCCCCGTTTTTGTTTAAGATGGTTTCCATGTTAGTACTACAGTCACTCCCCCAAACCGGTACGCCGAGAGGAACATGAGGTACATGCACTGCCTGTGGCTATATCGTGGTTGCATAGTAGTTGCATAAGTTGTATACATTCGAAGCCCCTGGTGGCATTGGTTTTGAAGTAGTTGGAAACCATAGATTTGGGTCAAAGCAAACTTTTGCGTGGCTTCTGCCTCGCGACGCGCGAGGCATGGCACAAGGACAGCGGAGAGGTGGTGCTGCGGTTGCAGGGGGCGTGCCGGGGCTGTCCGCAGAGCGCTGTCACGCTGCAGGAGAGCATCCTGAAAACGCTGCGGCCACGGCCCCAGTCCCTTCAAGGAGTCCAGCGAAGAGCGAGCCGGCGATGGTGACCCTTTCCCAGTTGCCCAATGAATTCCGATTTTTTTCTCAGTTTTTTTGAAAGGGTTCCCCTTTAAGTTTAAACTCAACCAACCCAAAAAGGATGCCGATTCTTTTTTTTCCCAATGGAAATCCACTGGGCATCTGAGCTTTAAAAGAGGTCATGTACATGAGGGGGCATGACCCACTTTCGGTTTTGCCGAGGCATTTCGTGCCGGCAGTGCGGTCCGTGCGCGCGGAGGAGGAAGTGGATGACGCCTCCAACCCCAGCGCTGACATCCCTTGGAGCCATTCGGGAGAAGCTGCAGGCGGCGTTTGGGCCAACCTGGGTGTGTCTGTTTTGTGTTTTAAGGGAAATGGGTGCGGGTCAAAGTTACACAGCTGCGGTTCCGCAGGCTTTAGTCTAGCTTTCCATTTGCCAGGGTTTCATTTTGGACCCCGATTTTTGAGCCACACCCAAATCACACAGAAGACCGCCATGTTTTTGAAGGTCCCTTTGGCTTCCCTTTTCAAAAGCTACCTGGCTTGGTTGTTACACCAGTTTTGCCCGCAGGCGACACCATCCGAGAGATGGTGGCCGGCGGCATGCCCATCTTCTCTACCTTTGCGGGCATGAAGGCGGGAAATGAAGATTCGAAAGGCTTCCTTGGATTGCCATGCTGCAAATTAATGTGGAACCTGACACACATTCCACGCGACACCAGCCACACACACACACACCTCGCACGCCCCACGCCCCACCTCACTTTGAGGCAAAGTCCCCCCCTGTCTCCAGGTTCAACATGAGGAGATGTGTGAACACAACACAGGTATAGTCTGAACTCAATTCAGTCGCATTTTCTTGAATGACCCAAGGTATGGAAATACAGTGACAGATGCATGGTATGCTGTATTTAAAAAAAGAGAAGCATCTCAGCATGTTCTAGTGCCGGTCGTACCACAAAAGGGTGGGCGAAGAGACCCAGCTGCAGGAAATCAAGCCAGGCCAGACCTTCTAGCGGCTCGTTAAACAGCAGGATTCCGCTCCAAAGTTTTGCAATCGCCTAGCTGTTGTATATATATATATATAGGTATATAGGTACATATACATTGGTCGAGAAGAGGGACATCAAGGAAATAATGCCAACATTGCCGGGTGAATTCCGGTGACCCGACATTGAGCGACCCGACCAATTGGCCCAGACGCAAACTTGGAGCAAGGTTTGAGACATGATTTCTTTCATTTGTTTTCTTTGGGGAGAACTTTTGGGTGGTTTTAGGAATTCATCCCCTTTGTTGTTTCTTTGGGGGGGACTTTTGGGTTCATGTTGCTTTGCATAGGCGTGGAATTTTTCCCTCACCCAAATCAAACCCATGGGCCTTCTGAAGCTCCAGCGAGAGCCGAGGTGGACGGGCCCAAGCTCCGGCGGATCCGGTTCAAGTCGGAGGTCCAGCTTGGGGGCAGGACTGCGCTACGCTCACCTTGCCCAAAGCCGAGCTTTTGACCTTTTTGCCTTCTGGCGGACCACATTTTTTGGGTCCAAAGCCAACCTTCAGACCTTCCAGTTTGCAACCTCTCTGGTGCATGTGAAGCACTTGCCCAAGACCAACCCTTTATCTACTTCTAGTTTCTAAACGGTGGCTGCCGTTTATGTCGCGTTCCTTGCTTGAACGCGTGCACCAGTGGTTCCGATCCGTTCCCAAGTTTGGTATGATATATGCGGGACCTCACGTCATTTCTTTTGTTCAGGTTGCCTAAGTATGGCACAAAATCAAGACTCACTCCTGGAGTTCCTGGTTTTCAACTTTTTGAGAGGACCATTTGTGTGGCAAACAAACAGTTTAGACCTTGTTTCGACCAAGCTGAGGCTTTCGCTGGGAGAGAAACTTCGGTGGACAAGGGTACGGCACGAGAGAGAGAGAGAGAGAGAGAGAGAAGGTTACAGGTTGTGTGAAAGTAGATGCCGCAATTTTCCCATTTGGTTCAGCAGCTACCCGCACTTGGACACGAATCCCCACCTAAATTATCTCTACCAATAACCAGAAGGGTCCCTAATCAAGATTCACACCGGCGAATGGTGCCATCTACATTTAGGGGGTGGATCAATCTTCCTGGCCCCCCAGTTGCCACCATGCGGAACTTTCCCCATGTGGGAGCTATCATCTTAGCGGTTTTTGAACCAATGGTCGTTTCCTGTTTGCTGGACCTTTTGATCCACCCTCTTAAGCCCAGGACGCCAGAGCACATCTTCGTGACCTGCGTGGAATGCCACGCCAAGCGGACCATCGAAGATCCCTTGGACCTCCTGCGCCCGGACAAGGGCAACCCAGCTGCCAGGGCCGGCCTTTGGCGTGGAGAAACGGTGCGTTCTCCTGGTCAAAATCAAGGATAGTGGCTTCTTTATCAGTGTTACCCCAAAAATGATTCATCTTGTTTCATTCTTGCTGGGTTCAGAGGTTCCCCCCTTGTTTTTCTTTCTTGGACCAGGTTTTCCCTTGCGTTCCACCAGCCAAACGCGCCTCAGGCAACGCCACGGGCCGGGCAGCGGTGGCCATTTGCCCCACCTGCTGCGTGGTGATCTCCACCTGAGGGGAGGGTCCTGGCCGGATATCTTCCAAGTCGATCTGGGTTGCTGGGAGTGGGGAGAATCCAGGGGCAAAACAGGTTCAAGCAAGTAGACCCTTGGCCCCCTCTGAAGGAAAACTTCTAAATGAGATTGTGTAGACAACATCACCCTGGGAGAATCAGAATCCCCAAGATGCGTCCATTGATCCATTTTGAAGAGTCAAATTGACCAATGGGGGCCTGTTAAGAGGGCAGCTTCTTACGGATTGCGCAGTGGCACATTGCCGGGGCCGGAAAATCTGAGGTTGGTGTTTTTCGGCCGTTCACGGCCGATTTTCGCGCGGCAGAAAGCGCCCAAAAGAGGCCCACAAACGTGGCGCTTCATCGACGGAAAATGGCGCTGGGAGCGAAGGGCGTGTTTGTTAGCCGCGGGTGTTTGTAGAGAAGATGGAAGAGTCTCATGTCTCGCGTTTGTCTTCAGATGACGTTACCAGGCGATGCCAGATTGATGCCTGATGCTTGGGGTGTTATCCAACTGTCAATCCCCTCCATTCAAGAAGTGGCCTTGGGCGGGCCCCGTGACACGACGATGCTTTTCTTGAGCTTATTCCTCAAGTTATTTTGGAAATGCAGGTTCCATTTGCTTAAGCATATTTGTTTGTTTTTGCCTCGTTTGTTTTAAAGGACATTTATCACTACTGGACTTTTGCCAGCGGGCTTCAGCAAACGCAAGGGGTAAATGCAATGTGTTCCACCTTCATGAGCCTTTGGAGGGAGACTAATTTGTACTGCAGCCATGCCCAAAGTGGAGCTTGCGGGCACATGTGCCTGCAAATTGCCTACTTGTTGCACACATGGGTTCGTCTTGTTTAGGGACACCCACCACAGTGGTGGTTTTCCTCGTGGTTTTCCAGAGTACCTTCAAGAAAGAAGACACACCCACATTGAACAACGGTGTTTGCAAAATGCCAGCTGCCAATGCTTGCCTGTTAGCTTCAAACTCTCACCCTTATTTGGAAGACCGTGCTGCAGCCGGACATCGATCCGCATGGAGACCGACCCACTGTTTGCATTTGTCCGTCAGTGGATGTCAGTGGCCCAAATTATTGGACCTCCAACTTGCTTTTCTTGGGCCTCAAAACCAAGAGTGCAGTACGATCACATTGGCCGGTTGGGTTGGAGAAAGTTCTCCGCTGTCTGGTCTTTCAGACTTGTTTGGGAAGGTAAAAGGGGGCAATCATAAGAACCCACTCAGCTTAAAACGCCAAAATGGTGGGTCCAACACGGCCCCCACGCTGGGACTTCTCCGTGAGGTGGAGCGCCTCATCTTCTGCAGCGGCAAGATCTACTATGAGCTTGCCGCGGAGCGGGAGAGGCAGCTGGTCGAGCTTGATTTTGCTTGACGAGCGCACGTGATGTTGCCACTATAGCAGGCAGCCGGCCATGTTCCTTTCAGTATTGGAGTGGTGGTTCCATTGGCTGCCTGCTACACAACCCTGGTGGTGGATATTTTCTGGTTTGGTGGTTTTCATCACGTGTCTAAGCATGTTGGACCGCTGATTGTCCTTAGTCGGTTGAGCGGTTTGAAACATCACATTTGTTGCAAGTTCAAGGTTTGTTTGCCCTTGGTAAGAGCAATGTTTCCGGGAAACAAGTATGGTGCCCTTTTTGGGGTGTAACCCACGGACCTCTCATTTTGGGGGGTCTTTTGTTGAGACACCAGGGGGTCTTTTGTTGAGACACCAGATATCTCGGCCCAGGCTGGGGCTGAAGAACGTAGCCATCATCACCCTGGAGCAGTTGGCGCCCTTCCCCTTCGATCGCGTCAAGGAGGCCGCACGACTGGGAGAGGGCGTGCGCCAAAAGAAGGTTTTGGACACCAAGCAAAACCCGGTCCCGAAAAGGGGAACCACCCAATGTGCGGCATGTGCTCGAAAGTGGGGGACTGGGACGAAAAATGGGCCGTTTCCTTTGGATTTCCATGATTTCCCCTTAAACCAACGTGTAAAAGTCGCACACAAATAAGCACCCTGGTTGTTGCCGATGGGGGAAAAACGAGCTCACCTGTGGACAAAATTGCATGCCAGCACCAGTTGGCACGGATCGAGCCCTATGAATGCTGCACAGTGGGTCCAGCACTTGAGGGTCCACCTCTGATTTGTGGTTTTGGAATTGTCGTAAAATGTGCTCATGGGTCTGTCCCAAAATTTGGCGACCGTTAAAATGAGTGGTTTCCTTAGCAGTTCCTTTTGTAGCAACCCGAATCAACATGGGAGCCCCAACCGAACTGAGGACCCAGGATGAATCAACGCCTTGATGTATAGTTGTTGTTGTTGTTTTTGTTCAAACGGCATGCCCGGCCACGCCAAATTGCTTTCTTGGAATAAGTACCTCATGCAGGGCTTGGGAAGGAAACTCGGTGATTTCAGAACTGCCCTTTGCAGGGGATTGCACTCTGTGGAGCTCCCAACGCTTGAGTTCCTTGGATTGTTGTCCGGGCCAATGCCCAAAGGGTGCGAGGTTTGCCTTGAGTCAGGTCATGTCCAAATTCTCCGCTGTGGACGAGGGGGATGGCGTGCACCCGGGGCAGATCATTTGGTGTCAGGCGCGGCTGAAGGCTGAAGGCAAGCCAGATGATCTCGGCTTGGGACATATATGAAAATGGGGGGACCCCCAAACGATTGGTGTTTCTGGTGGTTTGCCTTAAAGCCAACCTGAAATGGGCACCCTCTAAAATAGAAACCCATGTGACATTTGTTTGGTAGAACGGCGAAGGATATGTGTATATATATATATATATACAATTGTATTCTCGGTAAAGAACAGAAAGCGTCCACCTTCTCCATTTGCAGGGCTAGGAGTGTTGCCCACAATCACGGGTTCCATTTGAGCAAACAGCTGAAACATGCGCATCAAATCAGTGTTCCTTTCCATCGGTTTGCATAGCGCTTGGTCATTCAACCGGATGGAGCCACTGTGTTCCTTCCAAATCAAGTGGCCAGAAACCTGGGATACGTCCAAGGCGTAGGTTTCTTGGTGGACAAGAAAACTATGACTAATGTCTGGGATAAATTGCCCACTAACTGGTGAAGGATTTTCTTTGTTTAAAACCCGAAACCCGGGTGGCTCACTTAAGTTAGCCAAAGATCCAAGTCCGGCGCAGGAAGAGCCAAAGAACATGGGCCCATGGTCCTATGTGCGGCCGCGCTTTGCGGCAGCCTTAGGGCTGCTCCGCGCTCCCAGCGGACCAATTTGCGCTTCCGAAAGCCAAAATCCCCAGCACAATTTTCTTGGCCAGCGAACAGTTTGGACTTCTTTTGGTCGCCTTCAGGAAGTGAGAAGCGGCTGATAAAAAGACCACCCGAGTTGTTGAAGAAAAGGGTTTACGCCGCTTTGCGCATGTTTGCGTGGCAGGCTTGGCCACGGCCTTGTCATCCCGTGTTGCACCTTGGGCCGGGCACGACGTAGCCGTCGTTTCTCAGGAAGCTAGCCTGAAACACACTTGACGAAGGTCTCGGTATGTACTCACAGCATGTGCATACATGGCTCTGTTGAAGAGCTCAACCAGGGCCGCGCATTTGTTTTAGCTGCACCTACCCATGGGAATGTATTTTTTTGTGTGGCTTGGCCTTCCCCTGTTGGGGTTGGCTCGCTTTCCGAAAAACCTCTTCTCCCTCATCTGCTTCCCTTGGCATACTTTTCATTCTATGCTAAACCCGTAGTTGTTGCGTTCAAGTTCGGCGCGTGCAGGTGTTGGGGGGCTGGTGCTTGTCGCACCTTGATCACTGCTTCTTGCAAGAGTTCCGCAAATGCGCAGGGTCCGCAATGGCAATGCCGACCGTTGAGTTCCCACCAAATCTGACGCTTAGTTAGTGGTTCAGTTGCGGCCCTTGTATCTTTTCTTGAGTTGCCCCCCCCCTCCCCCCCGCGGCCACAAAGATCAACGAGAATGGCGCATTCGCACCTGAGGTGACAACTGCGCGCGAGGGCTTTCACACGGACTGCCCAAGTGTCGGAGGTTGCGGTTGGCCAAAATTGAATTCCATTAAGGGACTGATTTGCCTTTGGGCCCCCCGGGGCTAACAGTAATAAGGCCTAGCAACCAGGGGTTCTAGGTGTTTTCATCAACTTGTGGTTGTTGGACCTAAGCATTTCTGCCTTTTTTTGAAAAGGCTTTGCGGAACGAAATTCGAGCAGCATGTGTCATGAAATCAACTTAACCCCATTGATCCTTTGCTGACGCCTTGCTCACTCGTTTGTTGGCGCTTGGTTGTTCCCTGTTGGCCACCTGGGTACCCTACAAATACTCCCTTTGGCTTTTCTTTCGGCAGTCATGAAAAAGTATTTGCCTTTTCGCAAATGGGGCACTACTCTAGGGGAGTCCTTTCAGCGACGATGCAAACACTTGTTGTTTGTTGCGTCACTCTCGGTACCTCTGTGGCCTTCGAACATCCTATAGGCTGCTTTTCTGTTGCTTCCGTTTTGGCAATCATCCAACGCGAGGCGTTCCTGCAAAGTCCACTCAAATAGCAGGGTTAATCGGATGCCAAAAACACAGATTGTCGCATACATGGTTCCCCTTAAATTAGCAATCGTCCAAAGAAAAGGTTGCCCTCCCATCCACCAACATGGAACCTGCCGAGAGGGTCCTGAGGGCAAAAGGCACCGAGTCAGGTTCCCCCATTTTCCTTAGGTGACCAAACCACCCTTTTACAAGCTGCGATGAAGGTGGCTGGGGAAACTGGCTACAGAAACTGGGTGCTTGCCTACTTCAGCGGCTTGCCAGTGGCTTGCCCAAAAGACAATACCTTCCATCCAGTAGCATGAAGCCTGGGCAACAGTGAACAAGCGCACCCGGTAAAGCTCACCTGCAACGAAGGCCCATTCCCGTCCGGTCTGAACTCCACTCTTTACCACATCCCATGGAAACCTAGCTGACTGGGGCTGCGCTCCTGGAAAACCCGCCCGATCGCGCGGATCCGGGCCGCGCGGAGCGCGAGCAGAGCCTCAGGGCGCGGATCCGGGGCGCGGGGAGCGTAGGACCTGGTGATGCGCTACATCGGCCGCCGCGCCGCAGCCTCCCCGGCCACCGGGTACCCCAAGCTCCACGCGGCGGAGCAGGAGGCCATCCTCCGCGAGGCCACAGATCTGGGATCTCGGCAGTTGGTTTGGTCTGGAACCAGCGTACAAGAACCCCGGGTTTGGAACCAGCAGGGTAAAGGGGGAGTTGTTTGTGTGTTTTTTTGTTTTGGAGGGGTCTTTTTCTAGGGTTTCTTCAACGGGAAGACAGGAGGAAAGTGACATGTGTTTGGGTTTCCCGGTTTTGACAGAGGCCCGTTTCGTTGCCTGGCCCGGGCTATGGCGGATGCACGAAATCGGTGGTGGTTTTGTTGAACCTGTTGGTCACCCTTTAGATTGCGCAAGGATCCGATGACAAGGATCCCATCCTTTAGATTGCGCAAGGATCCGATGACAAGGATCCCATGGGTGAATGATCGCAGACGTTTAAAGTATCTATAGATACCTATAGCTTCCTTGCCGACTCTCATTGGTGTTGGGTGCAAACAGTTCCTTTTGCATCCAAATCGGCTCAACCTTTTTGGTTTCCCAACTTGAAGCCCTACTAAGTTGACATTTCCTTTTCAGACCGCATGGCGGCGACCACCAGGGCGAGGGGCTGCATGAAGGGGTTCATTCCAAAATGTTTCTGTCTTATATGCCAACATGTTGATTCTATTTACAGTAGAAGGGTGCTCCTGGGTCCATTTGCAAGGCAGTGAGACTTTTAGGATGCCAGTGTCATGTTTTGTCAAAATTTGATTTGGATTGCAATCCATGGTTGCCACCTCAGCACCTGGAGGTTCCAGATTTGAACATCGCGCGCTGGGTACGCGGGAGTGTGCACCAGCTAGTCTTCATTTCTTCCCGCGCCACGGCACCACTTTTGGGGCGGTGGGTTTTCCGGGCAACCGCAAGGAAGCCACCAACGCCGTCTTCTCTTCTTTTTTTTAGGAGCCATGGTGCCACTCCGCTTCTTTTTTGGCGGTTTGTCCTTTGTTGTCCGGAGAACCGCAAAAAAAAGCCACCAACTTTGGGCCTTTCCCCGCCTCCGTTTGGGCGGAGCCTCCGGTTGCAGGCGCTGCTGGGCACTTCGGACGCGCGGGCGGAGGACAACTACTCGGTGCAGCGGCCCTCGCCGCTGCTGGGGCACCAGACCTAGGCGCGGAATCGGAGTTCGGAGGGGGGGTGATGGGGGGAGCGGGATTTTCGGCCAGCAACAAAAATCGAACCACCTCAAGCCACAAGGCTGCGCGGTTGACTCAGTATGGACCATGATTTGAAAAGGTCGGGTCCTGGAAGTTCATCGATTCGTCGCATGTCTTCTTCATGCGGCAGTGGCTCCGCTGAGAAGTATATGGGGACATTGTTCAAGCTAGTAAGGGTTGCCTCCGCACCTCCAACTGCCTCTGACTCTAACCCTTTGGTGGCAGTCACTGGGAAGCCGCCTTGCAAACGGACATGTGGTCAAGTGCAGTTCCCACTAGAGTTCCGCGCAAGACCTCGGAGAAGGTTGTTTGTTGATCCTTGTGGTACAGCAACCGGCAACTTCTACACTTTTGGCTAGGCCTAACGGCTTTGCAGGTTGGTGGGGATTCTCAGCTGGTGGGCACATAGCAGCTGGTGATTTTGACCCGCTCACCAGATTTTGCCAGAATGTGGCTTGGGGTGTTTTTGGCTTGGGTACCCCGAGCTTGTGCAAAGTGCGCTCATATGCAGGCTTGCTTTTTGGCAATGCGGCAGGCCACCGCTGAGCAGCGAGTGTAGATTATCGCTTTGGCCGAAGGCCATTGCAAGGCTGCCTTGCTTAAAGCAGTCGTTGAGGCTTGCACGTGGGCCGTTGCATGTGCTTAGATGCCCGCATGTGTCTAAGTGCCAGTTCGTGGCGGTGTTTTACCTCGAGTTCCTTCAAGGTCTATGCCCAATCTAGCCGCACGAGGGACTTGTAACTGGCACGTGGAACTCCATTGCCTGTCAAGGCGTGGCTTGGTCCACATGGTTTCATTTGGATGGCATTTCCGGGGCCTGGTTTCCATCATTTGTTTTGCTCTTATATATATATATATATACACATATGATTAGATATACAATCAACATGCTGGGTCTGGACTGCTTTTGGTGTTTGTCAATAACAGGTACCCACAAAACAAGCTACAATAACAGGCCTGGCTTTAGGTGGCTGGAGCTAATCGATTTCAAGAGCTGGGAGGATGGCGAGCTGAATGCAAAAAGACGAGCTTCGAGCCAGCGAGCAACGAAGTGTGCAGGGTGTGGGTGGGTGTGTCTCTTCTCTTCGGGGTTCCCTTTTTGCCTGGTTTCAAAAGGAAACCAGGAAACCCACAAAAATGTTGGCGGGTCCCCTAGTCTGAGACCAAGTGAACTTTTCTGGAAGCCTCGGGGCTGCCTTCATTCTTTTTCACATGACCACAGCCTGCAAAAGGCTGTATACCGACTATTGCTGCCGCAGGGCTCCATTCATGGGCCAAATGGAAAGTAGTGCCTTCAGAGAAGCATTCCAAAGAGAGGTCCCAAAAGGACCCTATTAATTAGTCCCCCACTGGTATTGGTGGGGGCGTCTAGGGCTTCGGGCAACATGCATTGGAATTGCTGAGGCTTGAGGCCGTTTCAACAAGTCGGAAGGTTTCAACTCGGCCTTGTTTTGTGCTGCGCCAATCCCAATCTGGCGCAATTAGCCCAGTCCCATCAGCTGGTGCGCAATGAGAGACCCAAGCCACGTCCTTTCGCCCTTTCGGCAGCCTCAAGTGACCTGAGGCTAGACGCGAGGCGGGCGCTCCAGAGTTGTGCGCCGGGAAGCCTAGGGCAAGCCAATCTGGGAGCTAAATAGCCTGGCAGGCTCAAGCACGGTGGTATTCGATTATCTAGCCGCGGTTGATGTCTTATCTATTTATGTTTTCCTTGGAAACTGACAGGGGATGGGTTCAGACCGACCCTCTTTCCGGCCTTGAAGCTGTGTCAGTGGCTTGACTTGCCGTGCTGTGTCTCGCGACGGAGACACTAAGACAGTTGTTGCTTGCGATGTCTCCGGTCTAGCGTAGACGCATTTGTGCAAGTCATTAAGAGGCAGCTTTTCTCGACAACACAGTGGCATATGTTCAGCTTTCATGGTGCTCCACTTCCGCCATGTGGAAACCTTGGACATGCTTCCCAACCACCTAGGGATTTGTTGAAAAGAAGCAACGCAGCTACGCAGAAAGCCAGGCATGTCAGATCTCGATGTCTGCGGTTTGGAGGCCTAAGCTGAGCGGTGCCGGAAGACGGCCTTTAGGGAAGCTGCTCTATGGTCACTTGCATGGTTCGAACACGGCGATCCACTGCCGCAGCGCCTCTAGGTCTTGTTCTTCCGGTTCGGACCAACGGGCGGAACTGCTGCAGCACCTGGAACACCTGAAGCAGGCGATCTGATGGAACTGGGGCTGGGGGGGGAAGGCCCCCGCATGCCCCCGCTTCGGTGAACCCAAATTGGGCTCCTTGGCGCCTACACTGCCTAGAGAGAGTGCCCCATGGGAGGTGGTCCTTGATCAAGGAAGCGGCACAATTATCAGGGTTTGGGTCGTGCGGTGAAGATTTGGTTGGAGTTTGCGCAGGAGAACGCGTGCTTCCAGCACGTCGCCATATGGCAGCAGGCGCTGGCCGTGCTTCCTGCGGTCACAGACGCGAACATGTTTGAATTTCCGACGTCGCCCTGCAACCGCCAAGGAATGTTGTTGGCTGAGGCCAATCAACCACGCTCCATCCCATCCAGCCTATTGATCAACATTTGCCATGTCCCAAAGGAACTTGCATGCCAGGACCGTGATAATTAAGACCGTTCTTTACGTATGGTGAGGAGCCAGTTGTTAGAACATGCAAGCCCCAAAGGTTGCCCTCCCATTTCGTGGGATATCTCCAAATTTGTGCTATTTGTACCCCTTGGTGGGTATGCTAACTCATTGTTGATTCTGTTTTGGGGGCTTGCTCGCTTCCAAAGCGATTTGGCCGGGATCAACATCCCGCGCATGGACGGCCACTGGGGCTAGCCGCATGCGTGCCAACGACATCAAGCGACGCCATTTGCCAGGCCTTCTGGATGGGGGTGGCAAACCACCACACTCTGGTCTTTGACGCTTGTCGTGAATTTAGACCAGTGTTCTTTTCTGCTCGTTGCTTTGCTCTTGTTCAGTATTGTTCAATGTTGTGAGAAGCAGTTTTGCGGCCCTTCCCCCCGCTTACAAGCAATCCAGGGACTGACGCCGAAAATGGAGAAGTGGGGCTCCCTGTTTGCACTGGGCGCACCGTTTTGCTGACGTCGTTGCAAGACACGCAGGGAACACAACTCGCGCGTTGTCCGTCTGGCGTGTGCTCTAAGCGGATGACCCAGGCACAACAATGGCAACACACCAGGCACCAATTCCTCGTGGCTTGCTTGTTCTTTTTGAGATTTGGCCCATTTCGCCAAAAGATGAACGGTCTATATCAAGGGTCCCCCCCTCACTTTTTGCAAGTGAGGCATGCTCAAGAGCCAAGGAGTATTTCAGCGACCGGCGCTTGCGAAGTCTCAAGATTGAGTGGGGCGCTGCCCTCGGTTCCTGCAGAGCTTGGGCAACTTTTGTGGAGTGGAGGTGCACATTTTGAGACAAACTCGCATGTGGCTGATTGTGGTTGGGTCTTTTTTTGACGGTACTCCTTGTTTGTGGTTTTAAAAAGAAACCAAAAGAAGCGCCCACCAATTTGGGGTTGCCGCCAGAACGCACATATTTAGCTTGGTAGTGGGCGGACCCTCACAACCCTTTGATATGTAGGCTTTGGGTAGTGAAGCTTCTTGTGAAATGCGGATGCCTTCGATATTGCCTGCCTGTCATCATGTTTGGTTGAGTTGGATCTCTGCCACAAGAGGCCCGTGGCGAGATCCCCGCAGACTGGTGAATTGGCGATAGCTTTGACGGCGCAAGAATGGCAAGGTTCCGCCTAGTTCGCTTCCTCGCCAGATCATGTGTCAAACATGGGCCTTGGTTGGTGGCTTCCGACGTTTGCCAACAAGGGTAGGGTTGTGGCAAATTGGTCATTTTTCCAGGTGAATCTTAGGGTTATGTGCGCAAGGCGTCCTGTGGCTTGACGTTTGCAGCGTTTTTGGCTTTGCAACGAGTTTGCAGAGCGATGCGAGGCAAGGATGGGTTCTTCTTCCTGGACAGCTTCGAGGACAGAACTTGCTGCCGTGTGCTGCAGGTTATTTAAAGCACACAGCCAACAAGTGTGTTTTTGTTTTTGGAAAAACACGGGTCAGAGGAGAGGGCGTGGGTTTGGCATCCTATGAAACATGAACTCCGCCCGGTCTCGTGAGTCCAGGACCCGTGCCCCACAGGGGACGTCTTCACGAGGAAGATGTGCCGCATGCCGCCCGGGAAGGCGGGGAACAGAACGCGACCGGCAACAAATTGATTCTGGGCCACCACCGACATTCAGCAAGTGGTCCGAGGTGTCCTAGTTTGAGGCAGACATGGGCTCACCTTCTTAGGCCCTTCAAGCCTGCCCACTGCCAAACACCATAATTGACCAGCGCGTCCTTGAAATAGGAACTCACTCCTTCAGTTCCTGGACTCTGTACTGTTTGGGAAGCCCAGTTTTTGGTTTCGGGCTCTGATCAAAGAAAGTGTTTAAACAATCCGTGCCCTTCGAGCAGTCTTTGAGGTAGTACTAATCAGTACTATGTTTTGTTAATGCATTTTACTAAGTAAAACTGTGTTTCTTTGTTTAGTATTGTTTAGTATTGGTTTTAGAATGAGTCAGTTTGTTCTGTAGCATGTTTTATTTTCTGTCTTATGCTTCGTGTGTTGGGGCGAGCCCTGACTTTGGGGTATTCCGAGCTTGCAATTGTGGCACCCTCTTCCATGGGTATTGTGGGGTTGCTGAGTATGTTGTCTTCTCTCTGCACTTTGCTGTAATCAGACGGCTCGTTTGTGAAGATGGGCACGGGGGTACGTGGGTATGTGTCAAGGCCAGGCACGGGAAAAAACAACTATCGCCAGCTGTCTGGAGGGAGACCTACTTTGGGCGCCCCTGTGTGGTTCAGTCACAAGATTCGATGGAGCTAAATTCTGCAACAATTACTGGAGGGCCCGCTCGGACATAGCATCCCGCAATGAGCACAAAGACTCCCACGCAGACAGGGCATGACCCCAGCATTGCTTAGCCGGAGGGCCGGGTCAAGGACACAGGCTACCAAAAAACCGGCAAAAACGGGCATGGGGGTCTTATTCACAGGAATGCTCTCAGAAGTTCAGGAGACTTTGACATGGTGAACTTGTCAACGCCACACAATTACCATCCCGCAGCGGGCCAAGATCTAGAGCACACAAACAACAATCCCTGACAGAAAGGCGAATACGTTGGCCTGAGCAATGGCGAGCAAGCCAAGCGCCCGGCCCGCCTAGCCCAGCCTGCCTGCTGTCAAGGCGTGCATGGCTGGGGGCAAAGTCCATCATGGGGGCAAAGTCCATAAGAGAAGATAAGGGGCTGAGATAAATAGTTCCTAATCCTCGACTCCTATAATCATGAACAAGTGGACAAATCAAAAACTCGCTTTTTTAGGCGCTTGTAGTAATTTTCCGCATTGCCCTTGTAAGGTTTTATTCAGGTCTCGCCGATTGGGAGTGAGTGGCCCTGCGGCTTTGACGGCTTCAGAGTCACCGAATGGGTTCTGCTGCAGGCCGTTCGCTTGTTGATCAGGGCTCCTTAAAAGATGCATTTTGTCCATTTGAAATACGGCTTTTTCCACCAAAACAAAGGGACACCACCATTTACAAGGCAATGTTCAGGTGTATATTGTAAGGATCCCTGTTGATGCTTGAAGAGGCCTTTTCCATTCTGGGGAGCGCCAACGAGTCTGTTGTCCGGCAGTCCGAGTGTGCAGACAAGCGTCCCTTCAGGCGCACATGATTCGCCACGGCTAGTGTGACATGCCTGTATGGCCTGTGCATCGTTTTGATGTTTAGTGGTAGCCTTTCAACACAGCTTCAATCAAAGCGGCACGGGGGACAGCATCCGTTGGCGGACCCAGAACGAGGCGTGTGGCGTTTGTCAACGCGTTTGTTGGAGGACTAGCTCGAGATATGCCCAGATGAGCCAGGGCCAATATTCTTTGTACCAGGGTAGCAGTTGTGGGCTGCCATGCATCGGTATTGCAGGTTTATCGGTCATACCCCTTTACAATCAGTTTTTTTGGTGGACAGGTACATGATGTCTACCAAAAGGGTCCCCCAGTGGTCCTCTAACATGGGACATCTATTGATCAAACTGGTGGCTTTCCACTTTTCAGGTGACCCAAGCTAAACCCCGAAAAGGCCTCAAGATGAAAAAGCCGAAGGCTTCAAGAGGAAAAGCTTTAAAGCCGGAGGCTGCAAGAGGAAGCCGGTGGGGCCCCGGGTTGTGGGGTGGGGCCCCGGGTTGTGGGGCCCCGGTGGATCTTCAGATGAAGCTCTTCTTCTTCTACGACCAGAACTTCCTGCCGCTCCGAGACCAGATGGTGGCCTCCATGGAGCAGTGCGGTGCGCTGGAGGGTCTGCAGCTACAAGAGGACCTCCGCCTCCGTCGCAAGCTGCGTTGGGCGGAACATTGGCTTAATATGGGAGGGCCTGGACAAAACAACAACAAGGTGACACAACTCACAACTCACTCGGACGCCGCTGAAACCGAGACCCACAAGATGCCAACAAACAAGCCTCCAATCCACAAAAACATCCACAACGAGCTTTCATGAAGTCAAGATAGACCTACTATAGACTATAGACACTTTCAATAAACCAACCGAGTCCTCAAGAAGCCACACAAATCAAAGCAACTGGTTGATTCAACGATGTGACGAGGGAGGTTGAGGCCGTTTACAAAGGCCTTGACAGGAACCACCACCAGAGGCACATTGCGTGTTTGTTTGAGCGGCAAGCAGTTTGCAACATGATTTTGTTCAGCTGCCTACGTTTGATAAGCTTGAACCTGTTGTTGTCGTCGGCCTTTTTGGACAAGTAGGACTTTTGGCAGCTGCCTTTGGGCTGCCGGCGGAACCATTGAGCAAAACAATTCGATGAAGTACACTGTGAGCCTGTGAGCCTGCACGTCGACCAATACTATTCGGGGCGGGCTCGTTCACAACCAACAAGAGCTCTGGTACCGAATTGGCCACACCGCGTGGAAGCAGAACCGTGCTTTCCTTTCCAACGCCTTTCCAAGAGATGGGTTGCCTCCTGCTTCCTGGCGCGTCCGAGGTCTTCGGGTCGGGGTGTTAAATTACAGCAGCAGGTTTCAGTTTGTGCGTGTAGGACATGGGTGGAAGGTGCTGCAGCAAAACATGGAGGCTCACGCACGGTCGATATTTCCACCTCCAACTCATGCCAGTGAGAGAGGACATCTTGGACGACCTGAAAGGCAACAATCGGGCAGGAGGAGGGATGCCGACCTATTTGCAACTCGGCAATTCACTTTTCTCAGATTCAGATTTCCTATCAATTCGAGTTGTTGGCTATTTGTCGCATTGGTGGGATGGATTCTTCTCAGGTCTGGATCTGTCAGGATTGCACGGTTATTGCCGTTTGAGCAGCCAAAAGGAAACGGGACGGTTGTGTGCTGCAGCCCCACCCCTGCATGATTATGACAATGACAAGCAGGCTGGAAACATATGGGGCAACCAAACGGAGGGAATCAAATTGCGTTTCTGACCTGCTTGTGGTCATTTGTTCTGATTCCATTTGAAGCTTTCTCGAAATGCAACTGAATTGATGACTTGCTTTCTTGAGGGGCTGACGGTTCGAGCCGGGCTCTGCTTGCGGCCACTTCTGCCAGTGACAATGGCTCTTGCAATTTGGTTAGTCATTTGTGCCCCCCACCTCCTCGAAATACACGGAAGGGGGACCATACCCTGAACAGCAAGGAGGAACGGATCCTTCTGTTTGCAAGGGAGTTAGTGGAGGGGGCCTTCGCCCCACCTGGTCCCGGGGGGTGGGGATCAGGTACAAATCTGCCAAGATCCGCAAGGCCCTGGATGAAGTCGAGGACGGCGAAGTGTTTCTGTTCACCGATGTGGACGTGCAATACTTCCAGCCGGTCAAAGGAATTGTGGAAGAGCGCATGGCCAGCGGGGTGGACATGATATTCCAAAAGGAGCTCCTTGGCGCGAGTGAAGAGATCATATACCACTGTAAAACCAAGCAGAGAGCCATTGCAGCCCAATAGTGTTAAGGACAACAAAAGCTTATGAAGTTACTGAGGCCTGTTTGATGGCGAATCAGTTTCGGAGGTTTGGAAGTGCAGTTCTGCCTTGCGCCCTGCCTGCAACAATAGGCGATGGTAACCGGCCCACGTTTACCCACGTTTACCACCTGTTGCAGCCATCGAAGAGGAGAGCAGATGGAAGCGACAGGCAGACAGGCTGACTATCCTTTGGAGGTCCGTGATGTTTCGCGTCCAGATAGGCCCTTTGTCCGCTACTTACTTGCAATGTTGCAGCTTCAACCACGCTGCGGCCTTGGTTCTGCAGCCACCCCTCGCAAGGAATAGCCCCCGGGCAAAAATGTGCTCTCCATCAAAGTTTCGGTTGACATAAATCCTCACGCAACGATGCCCACCACAAGATCCAAGTTTTTTTTTTTTTTTTTTTTTTTTAACAACAACAACAAATCATACCAATGTGTACCAAATGGTCAGGTGCACTCTTAATTACTCGGGGTTGCTGGTCATGAACCCCTTAGCTGATAGTTCCAAAGGAGCCATGGCCGGAACCATTTTTCCATGGCGCCCATCAGGAAACATGTCTAGATCCTGCGGTACTTCAGGATTAGCCTTACTCCTTGTTCCAGATGGCATTCGTTTCCAGTGTTGTAGTGGCGTCTCACTACGGATTACCGATTAGAATTGGGCCCCCTTCCCATTTTGAACAGCCCAGCCTCTCGGGTTGTTAACTTGTTGGGCAACCGCTGGGAAATGCATTTTCGAAGAACTCTTCTCATTGGTGCCCCTCATGGACTCCATTATTGCGAAAAATATACTGAAAAAGTGCTAAACGAGTGCCAAACGAATCGCTCGAGGCCTCACGGCCCTCTCCTCACGGCCAGGTTCGAGGACATCGGGGTGAACATCGGCTGGATGGCCTTGCGCAACACGGGCCCCTGCCGAGCCTTCTGGGACCACGTCTATGGAGAGATCAGCCGCACCCAAGCCCTGGACCAGCGGGTGGTGAACAACAGCCTCTACTCAGGAGCCCTCGATTTGTTTTTCTTTCTCAGTTCTTCAGTGGCACCCATTATTTTTCTTCTTTTTTGTTTTTTGTTGGGGTGGCACCCATTTTGTTGTCTTTCTTATTTTTTTTGGGGTGGGGTGGCTGCCCCACTAGAATGGTCTTCCCAAAAAAAGGTTTTTCTTTTTTTTAGGGTCGCTGAACAACTGAGAATTGGTCAACCCCCAGCCAAATTCACTCTATTCTTGACTGCTATTGGGTTGGATCTTTAGACTTTAGCTTTTTGGGCATAAAAGTGTGTTCACTAAACCCCCAAAGAGTTAAACCTTTTGCAGCGGGGTCAACCGCAAGGTATTCAGGAGCAGGGTTGGGCCAACAGATGCGAAAACCAGATGCACATCCTTTGCCTGCTGGGCCTGGAAGACCCAACAACTTTGTTCTGCCGAAAAGGGATCAATTCTGGGTCTTCCCCCGAGCAAAGCTTCTTTATAGAAGCGTTCGCACCTGCAAGTGGGAAATCAAGCATATTTTAGTGGAAGATCCAGCAACCCGAGCCCTCACGACCGCCACAAAGGATGTTTAAATAATTTAAACATGAGGCCAGAATTTCCATTCAGGTTCGCCCCCCCCCCCCACCTAAAACTTGGACCACTCCCGGAGGGGTTTCCCATTCACCCTCTACAAGAACCAGGGCTTCAAATCCAAATCCAAACCAATCCAAACCACCAATTGAAAGTTACCTGACAAACAAACATCCACGACAAGACCCTCAAAAATTCGAAGCCCCATACCCTGGACCAAAAGCTAAGGCCCTGTAATATGCACCACATCCACATCCATGCAATTATATGACCATGGGTCATAACCTATGGTTACATTTTGGGGCGGATGAACACCCATGTACCACCTATTTTGATGTTCACCAGGGGTACAGGGTTTCGACCCACAGCCATCTAAGGGTTGGTGCATTTTGCAAAGGGATGTTAGGACTTTAACTTTTCGCCAACAAAGGCGTTTTCCGTATGAAACCACTAAAAGCTAAACTTTTAGCAGGGCTTCGCAGATTCCGCAACCGAGTTTAAGGCTTTGACCCACAGCCATTCATATAAGGGTTGGACAAAAACCCTCCCACAACCTCCCGCAATGCAAGAAGCACACCTGGCTCGCTCTGCAAAGACCCCCGGAAAGGCTTGGTGGATTTCGGTGAACGGATCTCCAGGTCACGCGGCCTCGCTGGGCCTGCGCTGGGACCGCTGGCCCAGCAGCATCTGGGCCTCGTCCTTGGCCTTCTCGGGGCCCTTGCCGGAGCTGGTGGCGCCCTGGGCGAACATGCGACATGTTAGGCGAGGTCCCCCAGTAGTGAACTTGTTACTCCCTTTTTTTTGGGGGAGGTTTTTTTTGGGTACTAAAATTGGCCACAGGAAAAAGGGGTACCCTTATTCTAGCCTCTCTACTGGAGGACCTAGTAGGGGTACCCCCCCCCATTCTTTCCAGGGATCCTTCCTTCTAGAAAACCTCCAGAAACACGGGAACACCGGCTGGTGTTCGAAAACCAACCCCCCCAGACCGTTGACTTTGCCCGCGGCCTTTGGCCCTTCAACGCGAACATGGACAAATGAGATCTCTTTTTTCTCTTTCTTTTGGAGGCGGCACTTTGGACAATTTAGGAGGTTCCCTTTTTTTGAGGGCTTCCTGTTTTGAGGATGGTTTTTTTTTGAGGATCCCCTTTTCTGGTTTTTGGCCCTGTGAAAACAGTAGCAACTCAACAGGGGTTCCCCTAAGAGGAAACTAGTCTTCCAGGTGCCCTCTCACAGGTGCTCTTTTTTTTTTTTTTTGAGGAAGGGTAGGATGCCTCCTTTTTGAGGGTGCCCTTTTTTTGAGGATGCGCTTTTATGGTTTGTTGAGGTGGCCAAATTTAGAGGAAAGCCCAAGGGCATGTCACCTTCCTTTTCAGGACTGAGGTTTGGTGTGGAAAGCCTCAACAATCCAACTGCTGCAGGAGTGTGTGGGTCCTGGCTTGGACCATTGTCCTTTTAAAACAGTACGTCAGCTTCCATGTGAGAAGGTCGGGAGTGCCACCTTTGTACTTCTCTCAAAACAAAGAACAAACAAGTATTGTTTGTTGGCTTTGTCTTTTGGCCTTTTCCTTTTTTTTGCAAGTATCCAATGGAAGTCGACAGCTGCTGAGGCGGTTCCGCCAGGTTGAAGGTGTATACCAAGGGACCTGTACCCTATGTGTATGTGAATATGCACCTATATGCACCTGTTGGAAAGTTTAAACCCAGCCAGGGACCAAGTTGCCGTTGAACATTCAGATGAGGTAGGTGTACACCAAGGTAGCTATACCCCATGTGTATGTGAACATGCGCAATGTTGGAAAGTGCAACCAAGTTGCCGTTCAGAGGTGGGCAGGTTTGCAGCCACAAAGGGGCCCCCCCCAGTTGTGCAATGCAACAGCATTCGAGGGGTTGATTCCCCATTCTTTTCAACCATCGTTCTTTTCAATCAACCGCCGTTGTCCCCGGGTTTTGCGGAGGTTTTCTAGAAAGAATCGGATTTTTGGGTTCAGAATGGAAATGGAAGGTAGCCCTATGAACGTTTTGGCAGGTGCACCACGCCAACTTCCTGGTGGAGAAGGCGCCCTCCGCAAACCCCGCGCCCAAGCTGTCACAGCTCCGCCAGCTTCGGGACCTGCAAGCGGCAAAGAAGGCGAAGGCGGGCAAATGCTGGGGACTGAGTGGCGAAATCAGCCCAACATGCGAGTGTTTAGCCTGACATGTTTGATCGAGTCGCCCAAAGAAGCGTCAAATTGTGTGAGAGGATCCCCTAGATGCCGTCTTTCCAAGAATGGAAGTGTACAAGACGAGGATAGACGAGGCCTTTGCAAGATGACGCTAGTGCAATGACCTCTTGTGCACTTCCATGATTGGCATGTTATCTGAAGTGTCCTAAACCACCCTGCAAGGCGCCCGAGGCCGCTGCCGCGGGCAGCGATGGCGACTGGGAGGCGTTCATGGCAGCAGCAAGAAGCTGCCAGGCGATGTTGGACTACAGGCGTGTGGGAGGGATCCCAGACCCATGGGGGGGGGGGGGTCTCAGGGTACCCTTTTCACCTTGAAGGGAAGCCTAAAGGAAGCCACAGCGGTGGAAAGTCCGCTAGTTCGCACACAGGTTGCCTCCAGTGGAAAGCTACATGTATTGTGACGTGTGCTTTTTCTTCTGGTTTTCTTTTCGCGGCACGCCAAGACTCGACCCTTCTTCCCAGTCCTTTGCTGCACTTTCTAGGGTTCGCCGAATATGGCGCATCATCTAACAACGACATTTTCGGGTGCAACCGCCGCACCTTCATATGATATGATCCATACTTCCTCCTGGTAACGCTGAGGTGAGAGGCTGATTGTATGACCCGACATGACCCTGGCTCCACACCCGCTGGGAGACAACCCGGAAAAAGGCTGAACGAACCCCGGCTTCATATCCTCTCAGCCAACCCACTAGGTTTTCCAAAAAAAAAGGTGGACGCTTTCTATTCGGTGAAAGTGAAGCCAAAGCAAGACAGGTTCTGAGGCTTTAAAGGGAAGCCAAAAAGGGAAAACCATTGCCAGTCGGGGCCTATTTTGAGAACCGCCCACTCGCCTTTGCTTCGCGCCTTCTGCTTTGCGCCAGGAGTCGGCACTTTGGGTCGCGGCGCCCGGGCCCCGAGTGGTCGCTGCTGCCGGAAGGCCATGTGGCGCGGCCCGGGGGGTTCAGCGAGCGTGCGGCCAAGAAGGCGCGTGCGGCGGGGCCCTTGTGGCGATCGATGTGGATTTGTGTATAGATGCATAGGTGTCCTTTTTTTTAGCATAGTTTGATAGGCAAAAGACATGGGTGCCACTGGTTCAGATGCGAGGGCCGTCTATTTTTCCAAAAGGTGTCTTTAATGAGTTGGGCAAACTCAGTGTCACGTGCTAATTGGATCCCGCCGGAAAGCAGCAAATGCATGGACAGATTGAAGGTAAGCTAGAATCGCAGGATTGACGCAACACCTGCTGGATTTATGACTGTGGCCCTTGTTGAATTCCACATGGGGGTGTTTGTTTTCCTTATTTTTTTTCTCGACTGGACTTTTTTCTTTGGGGGGAAGAGGAAACCAATCCTTGACCACCCCACTTTGCTTTGCCGGGGGTCAGGCTGCGGCGGCTCTGCCGCCGGAGCCGGCGAAGAGCGCTGAGAGTTGACGCTTGACGTGGGGCAGTAGCGCGAGTCCAAGTCATGAGCAGTATGGCCAGCCACCCACAATAGCTCAAGGGTTTTGGTTTATGGGGACCCAGACCTACAGCAAACACGGTTGATGCATATTGTTGAGTCTTCCGAGCTGGGAGTCCCAGATCGGGAGACTACACCTGTTTACCTGTTTGCTTCTTCCAGCCACGAGCCACGAGTGACCAGGCAACGCAAGCCTCACGTAGCCAAAGATGCGACATGGACGGTAAAGCTTGGAAACTGCCTCGGAGGGGAAAGGTGCGCTTCGGGCTTGCAGACTCCGCATGGGAGTCAGGGAGTTGCGGTTCGAACCTGGGGGCCTTCATGCAATTACGTGTTGGCAGCGCCCATGGCAATGTGTTCCATGGTTGAAATGTGCTGGCCAGGGGTCCGGGACCATACTTCACCTTTTGAGTTTTCCCTTTTCCTTCTGATTGAGCATCCATTTTCAATCACAGAGGGTGTCAAAGGCAAACTCCGTCCCCCAACCTGTCTCCCTTTGTATGTTCCTTCGGGATTCCAGCCATGACTGCTTCAAATCCCACTGGCCAGCGATTCCACTGATCGGGGGGGGCCACGAGCAATCAATCCCGCCCTGTGATGAAGGTCCCTTTATTCGAGTGGATGAAATTGGCCATGGGTCAAAATCCCGTACCCCCGGTGAACATCCCAATTCTCATTAAAAAAAGGTTCTAAATTTGGTTCTGAATTCACTTGCCCCAAGGGGCACCAGACCTGTGGGCCTCCATGTGGGACCCATGCACATGCTTGTTCCAAAACGCATAGGAACTCTGCATGCAGGACACACATGCAGTTCCACACGTGTTGAGTCCAAGGGTTCCAAGTTCCAAATCTTGAGTGACTCACGAGCAAGTTGTCCGCAAAGAAACGATAGTGCCTTGTTTGGGCTACGTACAAGGAGCTACCAGGAGGCCCCCAAGATAATGGTTTGGGGCAACCATGTGAATTTGTCGCTTGGTGGGCACACATGGTTTTCCACTGACGGTGTTTGTCCAGCCTCTGGAGTTTTCAGCCAGGTGAAGGATCAGCCGGGGCCCCAGAAAGGCACGTCATTCGCTGGGCCCCTGTTTGCTGCCCACAACTTTCTCGGTTTCGCTTCTGTGCGATCCACTAGGCTTCAGGCATCAACCCCACCAGGAGTTGGTCTTACAGAATGGATTGATGGAAGCTGTGGACTTTTGCTGAAAGCGATTGAGAGTTCTTCCAAGCCAGGCTTCCCCTCGCAGCCTGGCCGTTTTCTAGCCTTATCCTCGATGGCTGGAGGATAGAGTGCCTCAGTGACAAGCAGTACGACCTCATGGAGTGGAACTGCCAGCATTTCTGCCACCGGCTCAGTCTTGGTTTTCCTTCCTTGTGGCTTCCCGGCGTTTCTTTCACAACACCTTGGTGAAAAGATTTGGGCCTGGCAACTTCGTAGCCACACTCACGCGACTAAACCACGGGGCGACCTTCCGCTTTGCTCATAGCAAGGCCACTGGGCGACGACGCCTTGGTCCCATTTGGCTGTCTCCAGCAGAGGTTATTTCCTGGTGCTTTCCAGCATCCTCACTTTGGATGGAGGTGTTCCCCTTATGGGGCCTGCCGGTTTTGGCTTGGAACTGTTCACCTAGATGTTTTTCTCAACCAAATAGTCAGGTTGAAACAAACAATGACCCTTTTGGATGGTGTTCAAGGCGGGGCAAAGGGAAGGACTGCTGGTATCTCCTGAATTTGGGGGTAGCCAAGTTTGCAGTACTTATCCCCTGCAAGTGGCAAGCAAACAAAACGACGCAAACTCCCTTGACTCTTGCCGCACAAGCCCTGCCTGAGAACCTGAACCTGCCTCCAAACTGTATCCATCCCTCAACCTAGAAACCTTGATATGCTTTACTCCAAATTCCCAAAATCCTTGAACTTCTGAAGCCCTTAAGCCTACTGGACAAAGGACAAAGTCTGCTTCCAACAAGGCAACTTTCATGCCAACCACTCCAGGCGAAAGGGCTTCTTGTAGCTGGGGTTCAGGTTCTGAGGCTTAGGGTTTAGGATCTGACATTTGGGGTTTAGGGTGTAGGCTTGAGGTTTATGGGGTGTGGGGGGCTTCAGGATTTTGGGTTTTGGGCAACTCAAGGGCCTAGGGTTGTACAGCAACCCAGGACTCTCCCGGTTCCATTTTTGGCTTTGTAAGTTCCAGTGCCGCTGTCCCCGGTTCGAGTGAGCTGGGGGATCCACATGGGGCTTCACACACACTGTGGGGGTTCTGCATACAGATACCCGTGCTGGAAGGCTACGTAGTTTGACGCCAGTTTGCTGGGGCACTGTCTTACTCTGATAAAGAGCCTGGTCACCTGGAAGTCGTAATGCTGCGCGCCTGGCGGAAACTCGCTCTGTTGGTCATTGCGCCTGTGCTTCTTGACTTGCTGCCCCTTGGCCGTGGATTCGCCAGCTTGAGCCGCTACAGCACAGCTCACGTGCATCGCTGTCGCTTGGTGCGGCTTGCCACTTCCGCGGCCTCTGGATTTGGAAACTATGCAGATTCGCTGAGCACTTGGGCGCCAGAAAAGCGTCTCCAATACATATCAACACTGACGGAAGGCAAGTTTGATAGCTTGGGAGACGATCTCACCAAAGAAAAAGCAGGCATTCCACAGTGCCTGCTTCATGCGATTGGCTTGGCTGCAGAGCCTGTTGGTGTCGGCATTGCGGGGGTGGACAAGGGTGGTTCCACACGCACCAAAACAGCCATACAGTATTCCTCAGATCTTGACCTGAACGTCCGGACGACTCGAAACATGACTCGACGAGATAGGGTGGAGTTTAAGGACGCCCTGGTGGCCCTGCTACCGAGCTACACTGATGGATGGACATTTGTGCATATGGGCAAGAAGTGCATCAAGCTGCAGAAACCTTTGCCAGGCGGGAGAAAGCGGGAGGTGGACATTGCCTTTATGAACACCACCTTCGACTGGTCCGGCGTAGACCGCGCTGAGAACGTCGCCTTCTTCCGCAACAAGCCGGCCCCGCAGAGGGCTGTCAAGATGTTCAAGTTTTGCTTTTTGGACGTGTCAGGACTTTGTGGCTTTCACATCGAGAGGTTGGCTGTTGCGGTATGCCAGGCAAAGAAAAGCGAGCTAACCGCCAAGCAACTGCATGACAGCATGCTGCAGGAGCTTTGTGGCAATGGGCCACAGTTGCAGATAGTGGTACTAGAGGCAACCCGGGAAGGGCTTGGTGTGGAGGACGAGGACTATCTCAGAGAGCAGGTGAACAGGCAGATTTCAAAGATGCGGAATGTTTGCAAGAATGCTGGTTTTTGAGCAAGAGCTGGCCACATGAGGTTGGTTCTTTTTCCGTGTCATCAAACGTCTCACACTGGCAAGCTCGGAGCTCGATGGCGTTGTGGTCGACGTGCTTGCGGTAGCCGGCGACTGCTCTTGCATGACAGGTGCTTTGAATCCTACCAACTCTAAAACCAAATTTCGTCAGCACGGCTCCTGATTAGCCCCCCCGCTCATGTTGCTGACTTGGCTGAGCCCGTTTAGGTTTGTCTCTTTGGATGGTTCAACAACCGACTGGAAGAAGTGGACCCATTGCCCCTTAGACCGCGATTGGGCAATTGGACAATTTGACGCATGCCCGTCTGAGTTGTGTTTTTGTTGGCCCTCAGGTGCCCACATCTTCGAGAGCATTCCTGAGGTCTTTGCCGGCGGATATGGGGCCTATGGCGCGTAGGCAGCGTCATGGAGTGCCTTCAATGGGAACCACCCATCAGGGAACCCTGTAGGGTTCTGCCCATGCGGGGTAGCCGCCCTCCACCCAAATATTGTAAGGCAGTCACATGGCAAATGACAGAGTTTCGTTGGTTCTCTTGTTGCTTCCGACACAAGATCCCAAACGGCTTCAAATCGGACATTCAAAGACATCCCATTTTCCCCTCAGAGTGACCCTCCAGGTTCCACCTTAGTTGAGAGGGAGAGTGGCCATATTGAATTCGTACAGGACTGCAGGCCGAGCACTCGCAGTTGGACTTCATGTAGGGTTTGGGGAAAATGGGCCATGTGGAGGGGCTGTTGTTGTTTGGTTCTTCGAGGCTAGTGGCCGCATTTGCCGACCCTTCTTGGATAATGTAGCCATGCAGGGAGACGGCAGCTTACGTGTCAGGTCATTAGTTTCGCTGCTTTTGCCCAACAGGGGAGGTACGTCAAAGCTGCAAGAGGGAGAGACAAAGATATACAATATACGTGCATGTATACACGGGGGCACACACATACATGTATGCATGCATCCATGCATCCATCCATGCATGCATGCATGCATGCATGCATGCATGCATATATTTATATTCACATACATTATGCTTATATATGCAAAGACCGCCCGGCCTTTGACGGCGTCCAACATAGGCAGCTTGAGCCCAAGCACGTACAAGCCAACTGCGACAATGCTGAGGCAAAAGTGCCCTTGCACTGTTAGGCAAGTTTTGCCAGCTATTTGGCTCCAAAGGGAGCAAGTGCCTAAACAAGGCCCACGTGCACTTGCGTGCGCCAATGAAAGTGGAGATTGCACCGCTGCATGTGGCACCAATGGCTGAAATTGACATGAACAAGTACTGCGAAGATCTATGATAGCAGGGGTACCTACTGCAGGGGCGGACATGGACCCAAAAAGGGCGCCCTCATTGAAACGCAGGTTGTGGCTCCATGTTGCTGTTGAGGTTGTTGTATACCTCTTGAACGTGCCAGCGCTTTGAAGCAGCGGAACTTCCTAGCACAAGGTGGTGGGAAAGTGGGTTGTAGGGCTATTTTCGAGAAGGATGCCAAGGGAACCGCCTCAAAAACGCCAAAGTATGCCAAAGTCACAAAGACCACCCACTTTGGCATGACGGAAAATTGATTTCCCCCCACCACGCCGTACGAGGCAGCCGTGAAGCCGGCCTGAGCCGAAGAAAAGCTTCAGGGGTGGGATGCGAGCGCCTTTAGCGCCAAGGTTTTGGGGACTGGGATGGGTTCAGTTTTAAGTCTTGGGCCCCCTTGTGCATTTTTTTAGGTGTCTTTCAACAGGTACTGCGTGAGACATAGTTCTTGGGTCCCGGGGGTTTATTCCGAATGCTTTGTGCAGGGGTTCAGACGGGTTACAGCCCAAATATCACGGCGTGAACCTTGGTGCGGCCATCAGGTTGTACACCGGCTTCCTATGGTGTTCCTCGGCCTTTATACCATGGTCAAGAGATCCCTTTAGTTTGTGTTGGTATGGGTGGTCTTCAATGGGGGTTTTAGACACGTGAAGGTTCCACTTGCGAATCATGACCACAACCCTAGGGATTGTTGAGTGTTGCACACATTGTTCTTGGATGGAGTTTGCGCACACCTATATCAATTACGACTTGCACGCCCAAACATTCGAAGATTGAGCAGACAATCAACAGTTGTCAGGTGCGCAATCCACGTAAGCGCAGCTTTGCCCCTCCCCCCACGCAGGCGGCATTTTCTCTCGCTACTTCCAGGATGAAGGCCGCTCGGCGCGTTGGCTACAGTGGTTTGCGAATTGGACGGGGGCTATTCTCAGGCAATGGTTCCATGAATATGTTGTTCCATAGTTTTGACGGGGATTCAAACAAGGGAACAGCTCTGACATACAGGGAGAAGCAGCCAAGGCCACAAAACCACAATGGTTCAGATCAAACCGTGAGACACTTGATTGCACGCTTAAGTCGGCCTTTTGTTTCCTGATGTTGGACCAGCCAAGTCCGGTCTAGTACTGCCGAAGATGGTGCTTGGGTGAGATCGCACCTGTTCAGGTGACCGGACGTCACCGCCAGCACCGATTTTTGTTGGCTTTGGCCTTAGGGCTCGAGCAAGCTGCTATTGACGCCATTTTCGCGGGGAGAGGTTTCGGACCGGAGAGAAAGCAAACAGTTCCACCCATGAAGGTCTCTCAACTATTTGTGTGATCTCTCTTGATTTTGCGTTGCGACTCTGAGAATCTCTAAAGCTTAGCTGTGGTCCGAGTTTTTCTTTAAACAGGCGTCTGGAGAATTCGGTGGGCCCAGGTGTGAAGCGCTTTCACTTGGACATCCTCTACTTGGCCCCTGCCTTGGACACGAGTGGCACGTCCCCACCGAAACCAGCTTCTCCTTCAAACGCATGTAGTAGCCCCCGATGTAGTCCACATCCATTGCTTGTGGATCTTCCATGCTCGCCTTGGTAGGAAGGCCAGGTGCGTTCTCCATCTAGCACCTCTGCTGTAGCTAACCTTCCCAACCTTTCAGTTCATGACTGATGACTTGAAAACGGTTGGATACTTTCTTCCCCTTCAGTTGGGTGTTGCATAGGTGACTGTTTGACACGTCAGGCGCAAATGCCTGCCTTTGTTTTAGTGAAAGGATCGCACTATTGTTTTAAAGGCACGCATGGCACGCATGCCACCAGAGGACGTGCAATTTCTCCCCTGACCTTGACCCGCCAAAATTCCCAGCTGCCCTCACGCCAACACCATACACCATGTTTCAGATACGGGTTTTAAGGTATGCTTGCGCGGCACTGTGTGTGTTTGTGGTTGTGGTTGTGGTTGTGGTTGTTGTTTGTGTTTGTGGTTGTGGTTGTGGTTGTGTCTGTGTTTGTGTCTGTGTTTGTTTTTGTGTTTGTTTTTGTGGTTGTGGTTGTGTTTGTTTGTGTGTGTGTTTTTGTTTGTGTTTGTGTCTGTGTTTGTGTTTGTGTGAGTGCGCGTCATGGCTCATAAGTGAGTATATAAGTAGTATAGTATCTGTTATCCATGCCTGAAGAGTTGTTGCAACCAGCACATCACCCAGGATGACTTGCCAGCCTTGAAGAACCGCTTGGACCAGCATGAGCTGGCTGCCCGGATGCCCAAGCGCCCGCTGGGCGATGGCAACCTCACGACTGGATTTGTCCATCGACCTCTTGGCTTGTTGGCTCTTTTGCGGTTTGCTATTTTTTATTTTGTTTTGGAATGCGATTCAAGGCGTGGCCGCAGTAGCCGACTGGTCATCGGAGTGACCATTCCTTTCATAGTGAGCCTGCTTCTGGTCAGTGATTGCGGTTTACACAAGGCATGCCATGGAAGCTCTTCAAAACAGTTTCGAGGAGCATTACTTGAACCATGTTGCACTTGTAAGACTTTCGCAAGCGTGTTTGGAAAAGATGAACGTTCCAGGCCGGGGTTGTGCACTAAATGCAAATGGGAGTTGCAGAGATCATCCTAGAATTGCAAGTTGAAAGCGCCCGGGGGTATCGCACATGGGACACCAACTATGCTTCCCATTGAAGAACTCGATCAGTGTCCAAGCGCATGTTCTGCGTGCCCGATATCCAGGTTGCTCAGTTTGCGTTCCTGATGAAAATGGTCATCTCCAATAGGGTTCCTTTTTCTGCCAGCGCCACTCAACTGGCTGTGGGTCAAAACCAATGGTGCCATTTTGGGGTAGGTGAATTCACCACCCATCTTAGATCCTATTTTAGTGGGGACTGGGATGTTTACTGGGGGCTAGCCGGAGTTTTGACCCATGGCCACCTGAGTTCTTCAGACGCTTGGTCCCTGCGCGTCACGTTTGAAAAAGCGATGCGGGCCAAGGCCACCACTCTGGAGGCCAGGCACGTTGAAGCCTTGTCCGAAGGGCTGCACAGGCAAAGTGCCGAAGAGGAAACGCCTATTTTTTTCGGAGGATGTGATCCATTGCAGGGTTGGGGGGGTTGGGGGGTGTGGGGGGGGATGTGGGGTGTGGGGGGTTTGGGGGGGGGGGAGGCTATCCTTTGGCTTGTCAGTTGCCCCGTTTGAAGACTCGGCCTGGAGGAGCTTCGCCAGCGCACGGGCGTTTGGCTCTCAAGCCCGGCCCCTGGCCTGGGGTACGACGCCATAGCAGGTCACATTCAGCAGCATGTCACATGCGGAGGTGAGGGATTGACGGGAGGTGCCTATGAGATTTATACTATTACCTCTGGAAGGGTGCTCAGTTGCTGAGTCTTACCTCTGGACTTTGAACAAGTTGGAACAACGCTGGACTTTCTATCTGGCTCCGCTTATGGCTATGGTTCCCAGCCCTCTTTTTTTTCGAGGTGCCGCCATTCAAACTGCACACCGCCGCAAAGGCGACCTTCATTTGCTGCTTGCACCCAACCGCTTCCCTTGAGGGAAGCCTTGGAGACCTTGCACATTCATTTGACTGCTGTAACTGCCACCCATCTCGGTTTGTAGAGTTTCGCTTGGGTGGATTGTGGGGGATTCCCTTGCGAGTGTCAGGACAATGCTGAAGCAGATTGGGAGTTGACAGGAACAGAGCATGTTTCACCTAAGCTCCAGCTGACCTGTTTACCCGCGCCAGAATGATAGTTTGGCAGATGCTCGCCTTGGGTTTGGGGGCGGACTTCTGCACTCTTTCACTCCCCCGCATCGAGCACGAAGCGTGGTGCTCATGCGAAGCAGGATCGGATTTGCGCAGCCAGGC